ACTCACTACTGAAACGAGAATTTGCTTGGGATCCAAATATTTAGTGGCCAGCTCACAGTTGATTGGGCCTACATTCGATTCCCGGGCAAGGCGAAACGTTAGGCTACGTTTACTGACTAACCGACGCCTCTGTACACCTAGCAATAAAGAGGTGTATTGTTGTTAGTTAGTCGTTGTGGGTCACGTCCTTGGGAAAATTCAGTCGTTAATTTAAATTCTAGACTTACGTGGGATCTCGGTAAGCCAAATAGGGAAGATTGGAAGACAGGGAGAAGAGACAAGGGATGGAACGGGGAGAGAGACAGACAAGGGAGGGGACGGGGGGAGACAGACCAGGGCGCAGGTGGACAAACCTTATTTAAGAGTATCTGTAAAATAGAACGCCTGACCAAGGTAGGAAGCCCGACGTTTGGGGATAGCCTCATTTAACTTTTCAAGATGACTCACAGGTGGGTACTGGAGTGTCATGGGTCAGTCGGAGTCAGCTCCACTGCCACGGTTTAAGAAATATTGTTATACATAATGCTAACTATGTAAACAAAATTATTCGCACACCCTTCATCACTATGTGATGGAGTGCGAAAAGATACGTGAATTCAGAGATAATTCTATAACAAATGTTCCAGAGATGTGTAAATATTTCATTCAAAATAATCTGATACTAGAAATATTGGCCAAATATCCCCAGTTTGTTAACTGTAGGTAGTAACTAAGTGATTGTAACCTATCCACCGCTGCCCACTGGATGGGGGGCGGTGTGCAGGACAAACATATCAATTGTAACACTAGTTCTCCACATGTCAGTTGCTTAATTTAGAAACTGTACTTGTGATCGATCTCGAGCCCATTGTTGATGTGACGATATGCGGTGAAATTTGTAACTAGCTCATCAAGACTGTAACTTAGCTAAATTAATTGTGGGGTTCAGTCCCTGAGCCCATTATGTGCCTCTGTAACCCTTTCCACTACCACCCACAAGATGGGTATGGGGTGCATTACCATTAGATTTGATCTAATCTAACCTAACTATAGCAACTTCTGACTCCTACGATTTTCGCGAAGTCTAAAATCACAAATTTGTTTTCTGTAGCGTTTGAGCGGTTTTCTTTTGAGCACTTTGAAACATCCACTTATCTGGGAGAAAGAGGAGAGAGATGATGTTGGTGGAAAATGAAGATGAAAGGGGCGAGAGTCTAGAGAGGTGGGGAGGGTGTGAGTGGGGTGGGGGGAAGTGAGAGAGAGAGAGAGAGAGAGAGAGAGAGAGAGAGAGAGAGAGAGAGAGAGAGAGAGAGAGGGAGAGGGAGAGGGAGAGGGAGAGAGAGAGAGAGAGAGAGAGAGAGAGAGAGAGAGAGAGAGAGAGAGAGAGAGAGAGAGAGAGAGAGAGAGAGAGCGGGAGTTTGCAAGGAAGGAGAGAGTGGGAGAAGAGAGAGGAGGAGATGCTTGGTAGAGGGGGTTAGAAAAGAGAAGAGTAGAGTTGATTGGAGAGAGGAGAGGAGAGTTTGGGATAGGGGAAGAAGGGGTGTTGGGAAGGTGCCTGGGTCTGTCTCTCTCGCCCCTCCACTTCATCTTCCCTTCCCCCATTCCACCCCCTCTCCCCCCTTCCCTCCTCTCTCTCTCAGGACATACAATCCCAACAAATACACAACGTAACCACAACCTTACTTTTATAATTGCTACTTTGATGCAACGTTATAAGTTGGCGATATTATGAACAGCTGAAAATCTACTGAAAACTCTATGGAATACTAAACCCCTATTTCAGACTTCATGTGAGTCGCTGGGATAAGGAATTGGAGTCGGTCGTTCTTAACGAGGGACATCGGGGGTCGACCCATGACCACTTTGTGACACTCCCTCATACAATCACAAATCACCGTGCAAAGGTCTGACACTATCCTCAAGCGTCTGGCCTTCAAACTTGGACAGACAAGGGCTGTAGCTCTTGGGTTTAATTTTGTTTTTAATAAAGGCCTGTCGGCCATATATCACTCCATAAAAGACGGACGTAATGTATGTTGGCTTGAGGACCATTCCAGCTTGACGCACAATTGATGCTCATGCGGCCCCAGCATGTTGAAGTGATTTGATAAAATATCTGTGCCCAAAATAGTCACGAGCGCTGTCGGGTATTTGGGTTAAAAGTCAGACGATTTCCCAATACTTTTGTACAGTCTGTGGCTGAGTGGTTATAGTACTAGACATGCCAAGGGGCATAAAGGCCCTGGCTAACCAGGTTCGAATCCTTTAGGAGTCAATAGTTTTCTGAGATATATATATATATATATATATATATATATATATATATATATATATATATATATATATATATATATATATATATATATATATAAGCAGACGGTAGCCAAGAGCTGTAGTTCAAGCACAGCCTGGTATATACACACATGATGAGCCTTCCGCCTGTGTTTGTCCTGGGGCCAGCTGTAGTTTGGCCTGACGGGTGCTTCTTTGTTTCCTGCTATCTCAGATTCTCTGCCTCTGGTATATCATTTTCGATCTCCTATCATCAAGGAACCGATGTCTCACCTTCATGGAACATTGCAACACTTGTTGAAGGCTGAGGATTCGAGTTCACGTTAAAAACAACAGAATAAACGTTTCGCATAGACTTCATAGTAGTGAATTTTGCATCTTGTGTTGCTACCAGCGACCGACTTGGCCCTGTAAACGTTTGTTTAGGTGCGATGCCCTCTGTAACATATGTGTGTCATTGCTGTGGTCTGCTTTATCCCAATGTCGAACTATAAGACGAACGATTGGAGTCTGTAACGTTTAGTTGTAAGATTTTCTTTGTTAATGGAGAGTTATGGCTGTGTTCCCTGGACGCGGAGCGGCTCCGTATTGATCCTCTCTGTTACGCCTCTTCCCCCAATATTTGGCACACTCCACATCGCATTTCTCCTTGATACCCCTCCCTTAATTTCTTTTCCTCTTCGTAATTTAGTAATATAAACGTGAGCAAGACGCAGGTGGCACAGACGTGTCTCTTTAACTGAAGTTGCCCACAGTTAATTCAGTGTATTTTGAAGGAGAAATATTTGTAAGCTTTGTGTGGGTCAGTGTGGCAGGCAGGCCAACATCAACCGCTGAATGTTAATGCAATATATTTGGTTACTTACGTGCAGGACTGATTTAGAACTTGGAATTTATATGTCCCACGTGACTGGAAATATTATACCTTACACACGTCATGGTTAAGCAGGCGAGGAAGAAGGTGTGATACATGTTTAACTTCCAGTCAGTATATCGCTGCCAGGTGCAAGTGTGCTCACTTGCCAAAAATTTGTGTGGCCGCGCATACTTTGGATACAACTGTGTGTAGCAATGTAGCTGATACTCCCACAAGGGAGGATGCAATAACACGACACAACACTAGATTAGACAGTTGTAACATCACTCGCGAAGTGTACCACTACACAGTAGCAACAGCACTAGCAGTGTACCACTACACAGTAACAATATCACTAGCAACGTGTACCACTACACAGTAGCAACATCACTAGCAGCGTGTACCACTACACAGTAGCAACATCACTAGCAGCGTGTACCACTACACAGTAGCAACATCACTAGCAGCGTGTACCACTACACAGTAACATCACTAGCAGCGTGTACCACTACACAGTAACATCACTAGCAGCGTGTACCACTACACAGTAGTAACATCACTAGCAACGTGTACCACTGCACAGTAGCAACATCACTAGCAGCGTGTACCACTACACAGTAGCAACATCACTAGCAGTGTGTACCACTACACACTAGCAGCGTGTACCACTACACAGTAGCAACTTCACTAGCAGCGTGTACCACTACACAGTAGCAACTTCACTAGCAGCGTGTACCACTACACAGTAGCAACATCACTAGCAGCGTGTACCACTACACACTAGCAGCGTGTACCACTACACAGTAGCAACTTCACTAGCAGCGTGTACCACTACACAGTAGCAACTTCACTAGCAGCATGTACCACTACACACTAGCAGCGTGTACCACTACACAGTAGCAACTTCACTAGCAGCGTGTACCACTACACAGTAGCAACATCACTAGCAGCGTGTACCACTACACAGTAGCAACATCACTAGCAACGTGTACCACTACACACTAGCAACATTACTAGCAACGTGTACCACTACACACTAGCAACGTGTACCACTACACACTAGCAACGTGTACCACTACACACTAGCAACGTGTACCACTACACACTAGCAACGTGTACCACTACACACTAGCAACGTGTACCACTACACACTAGCAACATGTACCACTACACACTAGCAACGTGTACCACTACACACTAGCAACGTGTACCACTACACACTAGCAACGTGTACCACTACACACTAGCAACGTGTACCACTACACACTAGCAACGTGTACCACTACACACTAGCAACGTGTACCACTACACACTAGCAACATCACTAGCAACGTGTACCACTACACAGTAGCAACATCACTAGCAGTGTATCACTACACAGTAACAATATCACTAGCGACATTGCTGGGAATGTACTATCCGTGTTCCTGAACAAAATACGTAACTTGAACTGAACAAAGACATGTACCAGAACTCGCACGTCTAGGAACGACCGCATGCATCTTTGTATTGACAACTTACACATACAAATTAGCAGGAGTGTGTGCATGTCTAAGTGTCCTAGCTATTGATCTAGCAGGATATAATTGGCTTCCATGTCGGAATGTCCAATTATTTTCATCCCAGTTACGAAACTCAATAAATTACGTATTAGCAAAACGCCTATTGCCGTGTGTCCTAGTTCACTGCTATTCGTGTTAGCATGTAAAGTTCGTCAGCAAGGTATATATTTGTGGCGTGTTCAGCTTGTTGTCGGAATACAATAAGTTTTTGTGCACACTGTAATTAGAGATTGTAACGGGTTGAAGTTAACACATTAGGGTACAGGAAGTGGGTTGTCTCCAGCAACAAGGAACAGACACGTTGTTCTTACCTGGCGTGTGTAGGGCGTCCCTCGGGTACTGGCCGCCCTGCGCCACTCCCACTCACTACACCTCCTTCACACTAACTTCATTCTTCTTTCCAGTTTATTTTCCTAGCCAACAGGATGTCATATCATGTACACCGAAAGTATATCACTAGTGATAACTAGTTGTTATCCTGATAGCTTCAAAAACGGTGTTAAGTGATTCTGTATTCTCGTTATCATGGCTGCAGGTGTGTGGTGGTGGGAGGAGTACTCTGGTGCAGGAGTACTCAGGCAGGAGCAGAGAGCCCCAGTGAGGGTAAACAGTGAAGGTTGAGTGTGTGCAACACGTGGGTGGCAGCGGTAGGCGGAGGTGAGCCAGGACTGCTCCACCACATGTTGGCAGGCCCGCCCCAGCCACCACACTGCCGCCCCTCTCTGGCTCTTGCAAGCCCCGCCCCGCCCCCCACTCTACTATATGAGGCTGCCAGCCCCGCCCCGCCCCCCACTCTATTATATGAGGCTGCCAGTCTCGCCCCCTGTCCTCTATATGAGGCTGCCAGCCCCGCCCCCAACTCTATTATATGAGGCTGCCAGTCTCGCCCCCTGTCCTCTATATGAGGCTGCCAGCCCCGCCCCCAACTCTATTATATGAGGCTGCCAGCTCCGCCCCCAACTCTACTATATGAGGCTGCCAGCCCCACCCCCAACTCTACTATATGAGGCTGCCAGCCCCACCCCCAACTCTACTATATGAGGCAGCCAGCCCAGCCCCCGCTCTACTATATGAGGCTGCCAGCCCCGCCCCCAACTCTACTATATGAGGCTGCCAGCCCAGCCCCCAACTCTACTATATGAGGCTGCCAGCCCAGCCCCCAACTCTACTATATGAGGCTGCCAGCCCCGCCCCCAACTCTACTATATGAGGCTGCCAGCCCCACCCCCAACTCTACTATATGAGGCTGCCAGCCCCACCCCCAACTCTACTATATGAGGCTGCCAGCCCCGCCCCCGCTCTACTATATGAGGCTGCCAGCCCCGCCCCCAACTCTACTATATGAGGCTGCCAGCCCAGCCCCCAACTCTACTATATGAGGCTGCCAGCCCCGCCCCCGCTCTACTATATGAGGCTGCCAGCCCCACCCCCAACTCTACTATATGAGGCTGCCAGCCCCGCCCCCGCTCTACTATATGAGGCTGCCAGCCCCGCCCCCAACTCTACTATATGAGGCTGCCAGCCCCGCCCCCAACTCTACTATATGAGGCTGCCAGCCCCGCCCCCAACTCTACTATATGAGGCTGCCAGCCCCGCCCCCAACTCTACTATATGAGGCTGCCAGCCCCGCCCCCGCTCTACTATATGAGGCTGCCAGCCCCGCCCCCAACTCTACTATATGAGGCTGCCAGCCCCGCCCCCAACTCTACTATATGAGGCTGCCAGCCCAGCCCCCAACTCTACTATATGAGGCTGCCAGCCCCGCCCCCAACTCTACTATATGAGGCTGCCAGCCCCGCCCCCAACTCTACTATATGAGGCTGCCAGCCCCGCCCCCAACTCTACTATATGAGGCTGCCAGCCCCGCCCCCGCTCTACTATATGAGGCTGCCAGCCCCACCCCCAACTCTACTATATGAGGCTGCCAGCCCCGCCCCCGCTCTACTATATGAGGCTGCCAGCCCCGCCCCCAACTCTACTATATGAGGCTGCCAGCCCCGCCCCCAACTCTACTATATGAGGCTGCCAGCCCCGCCCCCAACTCTACTATATGAGGCTGCCAGCCCAGCCCCCAACTCTACTATATGAGGCTGCCAGCCCCGCCCCCAACTCTACTATATGAGGCTGCCAGCCCCGCCCCCAACTCTACTATATGAGGCTGCCAGCCCCGCCCCCAACTCTACTATATGAGGCTGCCAGCCCCGCCCCCGCTCTACTATATGAGGCTGCCAGCCCCGCCCCCAACTCTACTATATGAGGCTGCCAGCCCCGCCCCCGCTCTACTATATGAGGCTGCCAGCCCCGCCCCCAACTCTACTATATGAGGCTGCCAGCCCCGCCCCCAACTCTACTATATGAGGCTGCCAGCCCCGCCCCCAACTCTACTATATGAGGCTGCCAGCCCCGCCTCCATTGTACAATATGTGACCGCCAGTGTACTACAAACTATATCTTGCCCTGCCTCGCCTATACTATTTGCTGCTACTAGTTCAATCTCCGGGAAGAACAAAAATGCTCGGGCATGTTTCCCTTCACCTGATGCCTCTGTTCAACGAGCAGTAAATAATTATCCAAGAATTAGGTAACTGTTGCGAGTTTCATTCTGGTAAAGGCCAGTAATTCGACCTAGGGAGATCTCTATACTAGCCTAACTATAGGCTATACTTCCTGTCCCCGACAATAATAATAATAATAATAATAATAATTTATTATTATTATTATTATTATTATTATTATTATTAGTATTATTATTATTAATTAGGTGCTCTTCAAAGATAATAAAATAATAATAATATAATTTGTTGAATAATAAGAATTATACATCTGCTGCCAGCCTTGCCCCTGCTGTAATATATAGTGTGTTATTGCTGGCCCCACTCCCACTGCATTATATGGTGCTGTTGCTGGCCCCACTCCCACTGTACTATATGGTGCTGTTGCTGACCCCACTCCCACTGTACTATATGGTGCTGTTGCTGGCCCCACTCCCACTGTACTATATGGTGCTGTTGCTGGCCCCACTCCCACTGTATTATATGGTGCTGTTGCTGACCCCACTCCCACTGTACTATATGGTGCTGTTGCTGGCCCCACTCCCACTGTACTATATGGTGCTGTTGCTGGCTCCACTCCCACTGTATTATATGGTGCTGTTGCTGACCCCACTCCCACTGTACTATATGGTGCTGTTGCTGGCCCCACTCCCACTGTACTATATGGTGCTGTTGCTGGCCCCACTCCCACTGTACTATATGGTGCTGTTGCTGGCCCCACTCCCACTGTACTATATGGTGCTGTTGCTGACCCCACTCCCACTGTACTATATGGTGCTGTTGCTGGCCCCACTCCCACTGTACTATATGGTGCTGTTGCTGGCCCCACTCCCACTGTACTATATGGTGCTGTTGCTGGCCCCACTCCCACTGTATTATATGAAGCTGTTGCTAGCCCCACTCCCACTGTATTATATGAAGCTGTTGCTGGCCCCACTCCCACTGTACTATATGGTGCTGTTGCTGACCCCACTCCCACTGTATTATATGAAGCTGTTGCTAGCCCCACTCCCACTGCATTATATGGTGCTGTTGCTGGCCCCACTCCCACTGTATTATATGGTGCTGTTGCTGACCCCACTCCCACTGTATTATATGAAGCTGTTGCTAGCCCCACTCCCACTGTATTATATGGAGCTGTTGCTAGCCCCAACCCTACTGTATTATATGGTGCTGTTGCTGGCCCCACTCCCACTGTATTATATGGTGCTGTTGCTGGCCCCACTCCCACTGTACTATATTGTGCTGGTGCTAGTTATATTTTGAATGGGGAGTTCGTATAAACAACTGGACCTCTACCCTCCAGACCTAATTGTAATTGACTCTTTATCATCCTTAAATGCTCTCAACTCTTTAAGACATAACTGTAACATGCTCATGTCCGAAGCTAGACACAAATACAACAAAATTATTAAGGATGGTAACAGAGTCCATTTCATGTGGTCTCCATCTCATGTTGGCCTCCGAATGCATGACAGAGCTGATAAGTTAGCCGATCAACCTGTTCTCTTAAAAATAACATCGCTTTTGGCCGTTTACTCGTATGGCCAAAAGTGGACGTAATTTGAAAATGAAAAAAAAATGAAAATAAATTTGGGATTTTTTTTTCAACAACAGTAAGTTAAGGGTCCTCTGATAGGTTAGGTGGGCAGGAAATTCTCAAAAAGTTTCAAAACGTTAATTGAAAGTTTCCTCTTCTAACCTTACCGAGTAGGCCGGACGACTCAAACAGAAAACGGGACAGTATGTCACTTTTGTGAGTCGATTTCATTTCAAATTATGTCCAAATTTGGCCATAGTGCGCATACGAGCCAAAAGTGACGTTATTTTTAAGAGGTTGGGTTGAAGAATCTGCCTTTAAAGGAGACATTGAGTGTAACCTTGGATTGTCAATGAGCAATCTAAGAGCAGCAGTACACCAAGAACTTCAACAAAATCTTGTAGATCTGAGGCTAAGTGAAATCGACACCAGTAATTCCATCTATCATCATACTATCATGCAAGAGGAGCCACACATCTATGGTTTATCCAATAAAATCAGCAGACTTCTAGATGTTACTACTGGTCGGCTTAGACTCTGTTACAAGTATCTCAGGGAATTCTCATTATCTGCTGATTTAGACCTGACCAAATGTAAACTGTGTCAGCAAAATAATTCGCACACCCTTCGTCACTATGTGATGGAGTGCAAAAAGATATGTGAATTCAGAGACAATTCTATAACCAATGTTCCAGAAATGTGTAAATATTTCATTCAAAATGATCTGGTACCAGAAATTTAAGCCAAATATCCCAGTTTGCAAACTGTAGGTAGTAACTATGTGACTAACCTATCCACTGCTGCCCACTGGATGGGGGCGGTGTGCGGGACAAACATATCAATTGTGACACTAGCTTTCCACATGTGTCAGTTGCTTAACTTAGAAACTGTACTTGTGGTCGATCTCGAACCCATTTATGATGTGACGACTTATACTAAATTTTGTAACTAGCTCATCAAGATTGTAACTTGCTTAGATAAATGAATTGTGGGGTTCAGTCCCTGAGCCCATTATGTGCCTCTGTAACCCTTTCCACTACCACCCACAAGATGGATATGGGGTGCATAATAAATGAACTAAACTAGCTATAAACACTCCCACTGTATTATATGGTGCTGTTGCTGGCCCCACTCCCATTGTACTATATGGTGCTGTTGCTGGCCCCACTCCCACTGTACTATATTGTGCTGTTGCTGGCCCCACTCCCACTGCACTATATGGCACCATTGCTGGTCCCACTCCAACTGTACTATGTAAGGGCTTATGGAATTTTCTTGGTTGGGCATTTAGGAACTTTTTTTGTTAGTAAGTAAACTTGTCATAACTTTCATATATATATGATAAGGAGTTCTGTATCTGGTAAATTGTCTGGTTGCAAATAATATTAGACAAGTTTAGTTTCTCATAATTTATTCATTACACATGTGCTGGTCATGTAACAAACAAGCAGAAGAGACTAAAACAACAATATACATTACTTACTCATAATAAGGAATGGTTGCACACATCTCGCGTGTTCTTAACTGTAATCAGTATAACACACACAATGATGCTAAATAAAAAAAAATTATATTCATTCATTTTCTTGCAGAGCCAACAGAACCATATTTCTACCCTTTCAAACAGCCTTTATAATTGTACCTAATGACTCATCCCAGTTCATATTTTAAGGGAAAGCTTGAGATCATAGACTCCTGGATGAGCACATTCCCTACAGATCAAAAAGTGCATATTTTATCAGTACCATTAACAAAATATTAACTTTTTTTTTTGGCTTCTTATACTCAAGTGACATTAAAGTCAAACAATTTGAAATACAATCACTAAAAGTGTGTGTTAAAACTTTCCTTGAAAGACTTAAGCTTAGTTTATATAAGTTCTCTTATATAATGAATGTACAGTACTGTATCTGTATATGCAGGAACAACACTATTAAAAAAAATTTATCTTCAAGAAGTTCCTTTTCACTTTATTGCAATACTGTACAAATATTAATTTTTTTTTTATTCATTCAAAATATATTATATACTCCTTTGTATTAACAAAATAAGTACTAAACTTTGGCACCATTGGTTTGGTTGAATGTATTGGTATCCTCTGTGACTAGAAGCAGAAAATACACATGCAAATTCAATAGGTTAAATTAATTATTATTTAAATTGGTAACACTTTACAAAAATACCACTACAATACAACAATTTCTATAAAACCCACAATAATGAGGACTTTTCACGTGCACAGAACATTATTCTATTTTACGGTGTAACTGCTATGCCAAACTGTACAGTGTATGTGCAAATTAATACCACCAATGTAAAGATACTGTACCACCATTATTTCAGACCAGACTAATTAGCTACTATAATAAATACACAAAAAACACAGCCAATTACACTGAATTTTAAAGTAATCAAAATTACTATGGCAAAATTTTTTTTTGTTAAACTGGAAATGTGTTTCCCCCATTTAGCTGGATATGGAGTACAATATATATTTGTGCCCATTGGGCTAGGATGAGACTGCACTGCAGGGAGACCAGAAATAATACCCCGTAGCCCATCAAGTTGTGTCACCTGAATGACCTTTTGTTATCAGTTAAACTCTTAAGAAAAAGTAACATATTTATAAACGTAAGTTTTGAATTAAGTTTTAAAATGCACAACATGGCACATTTGATTGATCAATGCACTCAAAGCTATTTCCAGGGCTGATCTTCATGATCTAATTCCATCAAGCATTAGGCATAGTTACTAAGCTCATAATGGGTACATCATAAAAGAAATGTTTTAAGGTTATAAAAAAAATCCTTTCTCGTCAAATGTTACTGTGCCGCTCCAAAGGTACATAGTGATCCATGCACTGTACAAGGATCATGACATAGTTTAGGAGAAACATACAGGTCTATGGTGTCTTTTTAAGACACTTTAAAGACATGGGAATCATCAGAGAAAGTATCAATCTGGTCACTATAATAGGTATTTAAAAGGGGTCTGTTTCCAGACCCACATTCATGCTGACCTCTATGAAAATATGTCCAATCCATATATATACCCTCTAAGGACAGGGAAGGATGTAAAGGAATGAGTCGCAAAGAAACTCATGCTCAGAAAGGACTTCTCACAGGAGTAATGGATATTTTCTAAGCTTTAGTATTCTGCTTCTCCCAAATGCTTCATGTGGAATTTCTATGGAATTACACTGGCATCCATGGCAGGTGCTTCTGGCACCTGCTATGGATCCTAATGCATTTATATTGTAAGAAAATGACTATTGTGGTCCCAGAGCTACAAATACCTAATTGGAAAATAATCTGCCCAGGATTACACATGAGCAACTTCCTTAAAGTAGCTTTGGCAGGCAATTGCCAGCTAACCATGCAATTTAATTTCCATAAAACCCAGGTTTAAGTCTCTTTGTAGTACTGTAGATATCCAAGAAGAATGCTTTGTATGCTGTGAAATTTTATGGATAAATAACCATAGCATAAGATGACCAAGCCACACATCAGAAAATGAAACGAAACGACAGTCCATCCTGGACCATTATCAAGTCGTGAGTCAAGTGATAATGGTCTAGAAAAGGCCAAAACTTTATCATTTCTCCATCTTCTGTGTGGGTTTGGTCATCTTAACTTTAGCCATGTTATTGTGACTCGCTGTAGACCATAGTGGTTGATTCAGCCTATTCTTAGGGTTTACAAAGAACTTCAACAAACAATTCCTGGAAGCCACTAAATATATTTAAAGAGCCACCATGATCATGGTGAAAACCAAATTAAAGAATTAATTATAATTGGTTGCAGATAAAAACCATCTCTCCTTTTTTTGGCAGGAATGAAGGAAAAGGGTGAATCCTAACAAACGAATAACCTCACCCAAAGTGAACAAAACTTGACATAAGAAGGGAAAGATACTCACTAACTCTGCTGCATGAACATAAACCAAGAGGGAAGACTGTTTTTACAGTTACATCAGTTACTGTAGGGGTTAATTCTAAATTTTTCTGAACAGAGAAAAGCCAATGCTGTATCTAAGCACCACCTTCACCAGAAAGGTGTATGAGAATGCCATATGTGAAAAAGGCTCTGTAAGCTACCCATTTAAAAAAAAATGGGGTTCAATAAATTAATATGTAAACCTAACTTAATACTGTATATTTGAAAAAGAACTGCTAATTACAATTAAATAGCATAGGACAAAAGCTTCTTTCAAGTAAACAACAGCATAAAAAATCCATAATGGAGAGACCAACTGGGGAAGCTGCCTCCCTGGAAACAACGTATACAGGGACACTTACTCACCTATCACGTAGTCTTCACCCCACAGTTATGTCAAGTAACATTCAGTCAACAGACTGAATGAAGACCATCCCCCCGTCCCATCCCAAATCTTTATCCTGATCCCTTCCAGGTGCTATATAGTCGTAATGGCTTGGCACTTTCTTCTGATAGTTCCCTTCCCCTGAATGTAAGAGGCAGCTCTAATTCCCATTAGCGTCTACGAACCAAGTCTGGCACCCTGATTAGTTGTACCAACTAGGGGTATTGCAGGTCAAATTCATTTAAGCCCTAACACAATTGGCAGGTATTAAAGTATCCACTTGTGTGGTGAACATGTCTACTCACCCAACAATGGTAAGACTAAAGACTGTTGTTATACAACTTCAAAACACTGATGAGTGCATTTTGAGAGCATGTCTCCATAAAACTGACAGTCTCCGACAGCCTCCCAAAAGAAACTTCACAGCTGGCAACATACAGGCCTATACTAACTCAAGTCAATGAACCTGAGCCCACCAGGAATGTTATGGACCAAATTACTTATGTCCAAGACAGTTATGTTTAAAAACCCTATTAACAACCTGAAAGCTCAATCAAGCCACAACACTTGGTTTAAAAGACCTTTTCCGAATGTTACCCTGGATAAACACATACCTTCAGTGACTCCCAAGGTACCTTTAAATGGTGTTACAAGGGCACTGTAGTTCCAGTATCAATATCATCATGTATAATTAATATATGTTTGTCTACTCGACTGTGCCATGATCCTAGTAAAGGCACATGGATCACTATATAATTCTGAAAGTGGCAGAATAATTAACCTCGGAAACTATTTACTGACAAAAATTATATCTTACACTGCATTAGTATAGTGGTTCTATAATACAATATATAATAAAAGAAAAAATCCTGTAAAGTATTCATGCCATAAAAGGCTTATCTAATTATTATAACTTTCAACACATGGCAGGGAAAACATACAAAATTATATACTTTCCTCTGAATAGATTATATTATAAGCTTGTAGGGCATCACTGGTTACTATTTAACTTGTAATATGAATTATACCACAATTGAATTCTTGACCATTACTAGCATGACACAGATGAATATTAAATAGCTAAACTAAATGCTGTGTTTGGGATTTCATATTAACTTTCTTTGTGGCGAGATTGAAATATATTGAAATACACTGTTTTGATGCACCATGTTACACTACTTCCCAGAGTTTAGGGTTGTGTCTCAGGCAGAGTAGTGTCTTGGTATGAATGGAAACTGGCTGCAGTAACATAGTAATTGGCACCCAAAATTCCACACAAAGTTGTTGCAGAGCCTCTTGTTCTTCTCTGCTCATTTTGACATAAAAGAGCTATATGGGCACTCATTCTACCGTCTAAAACCAAATAGGTAGGAACGAGTTTAGTTATATTATGCTAGTATTAGGGCGTTTTAGTGAAGTTATATACTTTTACTATTTACTGTGTGTAAGTGACATGGCAGCTCACATAACCACATAGAATCTTCCATGGCAACATCACATGACTGACTTGACCACTCAAGAAAGAGTGACAACATAGCATTTGAGTTGCCATGATATCAATAGATAAGAATTGTGATCCAATCAGTTGTACTAAGATTGGCATAGCAGTCTTGGGAGGAAGATGTACAAAAAATCACTGTAGCTAAAGTCTATCAATATGAAGGCTGTGGGTTTGTCTTGGCAGTGAAGCTGCAGCTCTTTTGTAGAGACTTGGGAAGTACTACAGGCCCTCTCTTAGCATTCAAGTCTCCCATGTAAGATTAGTAGCAAGACTGTTTAGACCTGTGTGCATGCTACCATCATGTCAGGCATTGAGAAACTAGTGTTTTTCACAGCCAGCTCTGAGTGTGGATGTCATGTTCAAGAGATAAACTGCTTCTGCGACAAGAGGAGACAGTTTCCTCACAAGTGAGATGTATACACATGAATTCTTTTCTCTTCAGTGAAGTGTGACAGTGTGAGCAAACAACTAGATATTGGTCCAGGACAGACCAAAATGTCAATTTCTTCATTTTCTGATGTGTGCTCTGGTGATCATACCTTCAGCCATGTTACTGTGATTCATCATCTGCATTTGAAACAATCTTGCCTGTGGAGCAGCAAACTAGCCATTCTTAAAATAGTTGTAAATATTTTGTGTACATAGCTACTTCTTGTTTTAAGTTAGATTTTACAAGTACAGTACTATATGTAACAATTCCCAAATGACTGTTCTACTGTGTGGTAAAAGTAACTAAAGATAAAATGTATTATCAGGGAACTTTAATACTGAACACCACAGTACATAGTATTTCATCAATGCCTTTGACTGTGCTCCTTTCTTCTTTTCCAGCTTCATCATGAGGTAATATATAATATCCACCAAGTGGTAGAGCCGAAAATTAGTAGATTCCCAAGTAAATCGCTACAAACTTGAGAAGTTGTGGGCAGTGACACTTGTATATCCAAAATGGTATACAATGCCTAAAAGTCTGCTGGGCCTTAAAATGCAGCTGGAAAAGATCTTCAGGGCAAATGGGGGGACCTTTGACAAGCCACCGACTTTCTTCCTTATTGAGGCCACTTGTATTATTGGCCCCTCAGGTAAATTCAGGTAAATATAGTCATGTAGGTTACCAAGGAGCACACCAGTTCACCTACTCATGCGGTGCTTGATTTGAATAGTTTGTATCATATGAAATACAAATTTGAATCCAGATAGTTTTTACAAGTTAATAATGAATAGTGTGTGTGTGTGTGTTTTCCAAGTGAAGATTACTATATTAAAACTTCATCCTCTACACTCAAAAGATAAGTAGACTATGTTGCTACAAATACATAATTTCTGTATATTGGAAATAACACACTAAATATATCAGCAAATGTGTAAAGACTAATTTATTTTTGCCATTTTAAAATTTGGTGTTCAAATATCTATCAGCTCATTATTGCCTCATTCCTACTTCCATCAGGTGAATATGTATCTGTCCAAAAGAAATACAGTGCACCCTTGATTCAACGAACCGAGGGTGTACTTTTTGGACCAATCCCAATTCACTGCAGCGAGGGATTCGTTGCAACAAGAGATTGTTCCAGGAGGCCCACTTGTAAACAAAAAACCAGGAAACCGCAAAATGAAAATGAGCCATAGAATTTGGTTTTAAATGTGCTCAATGGTTTTCCCAGGGCCCCAACTCTTTCTTCTATAGTTGCACCCATCTACAAAAATAATTAAAAACATGATTGGAGCTATATTAACAGAGTTACCATTAAAACCCTAATGTTTCCAACGCACGATGGGCTGATTTCAGTGAACGAAATTTCAATTTCAACCTGTCATGTGAAGGGCAGCTACCAAGAGAACTTATCTGTAAAGGGATTTTAACAACATCTAGCATATTTCCCATGCCCTTACCTCAAAACCTCATTTTCAGAGAGAAACAAGCCTATACTTGTGAACGAAAACCAGGAAATGTCAAAATGAAAATTAACCAGAGAATTTGGTTTTAAATATGCTCAATGGCTTTACCAAGGCCCAAATTTGTCTTCTAATTTTGTGCCCATCTACAAAAATCAATAAAAACATGATTGAAGCCATATTAATAGTTACCAATCCTACTCTAATATTTTTCATGCTCTATGAGCTGATTTCATTAAGGAAATATTTAATTTTTAAGCTATGATATAATGGGCAAGTTTTCCACCAGTCTGTCAACTCTGTCCCAACATCCTAAAAGCAAATCCACACATTTCCCCACTTCAGCGAACAAGGGTTCGTGGAATCGGGTGAGTAAATCCAGCCTGGAAAGTGTGCACCCCAACTGGAGATTCACCGAATCGAGGTTCGTTGAACCAGGGGGTCCAATGTAATGCAAATTGGAAATGAACTACAGTAATGACGGATTTTGAATGTGGTAGTGTATACTGTACATATGTAAGGTCATGTAATATTTAATGGTTTTATTAAAAAATGTATTTGATCCACTCCACCAATGTAAAATAAATGTTAAATAAACTGTTAGCCTGGAAAGACATGAGAAAGGAAAGGAGTGGTGCTATTGGTGCTATGTATTTGACTTAAAAAGTTCTTAAACATGTATACAATTTAGTCTTTTAACTTTCTCAACTTATCCTAGAAGTGTATACAACTTCCATTAGATGTTTATTGACACATTCTAGAATACAGCACACACACATACACACATTTTGGAATACAGCACACACACATTTGAACATTTTATAATACAACACACACATTTGTCATACTTGCATACATCTATACAGTACAATACTTCATTTTAGAGCTTTGCTCCCAGCCAATAGCACAGTGTCCATACCTTGAACCAAATACGATTTTAGGGGTTCTACTTTTCTCACGGTAGTATGTGCATGCCAAGAACATCCATATGGACATCAACCTTTATTGTCCTCCTCCCTTTGTGTGCCGCATCTCAATCCAAAACAATTCTAGATTAGATACAGGGAATCATCACTTAAATATATTCTTAGCTAAATGGGGTAGGTACAGTATATTAAATCTCAAAGTAAATAAGAAATAAATAGTAATAAATATAAATGTATAAAATACAAATTAACATGCTCAGTAGTGCCCCATGCTTACGATAAGTGCATCATTCACATTTTAACCAATTCAACTGGCTTATATTTAGTGTCTCATGGCAACTTTATGCCATGTCTTGTAAACCCTTTCACTATTAAATATAATCCCAACTCTGACGTTTGTTCTGTTAATATATAAATAGGGTATATATATAATTTTCACATGAAAAGAGAGATAAGCCTGCAATAAAACTAAAATACAAAATAATGAGTATCTCTAATATGTATCTTGAATATGTGTCAAGCTTGAGACATTAAATACCTAACAGGAGCTTGTTATAATAAACACTTGCTCGAGTTTGTGAAAAACTTCTTCTTTTAAATAAAAATCTTAAGTGCTTTTACTTCCTTAGGTTCAATTATTATTATTATTATGGTAGGAGAAATGCTGAGGTCTAGCACTAAAACCACAGATCGTTACATTCTTTACATTAAATGTTTAGTGTCAAAAACTGTCACAAAATATCAAGCTATTACTTCTAGGGCATTATTACCATTATATACTTCCATGTAGTACAGATACATTATTTATTCATTATAATTAAAGGTTCAGTCATACATGTACAACATTTCATCATCTTAATTCCTTTTTTTGGCAGCTTCTTGACGTTCTTTAACATCAATCTCACCAAGAGTAAGTGCTGCATTGTAGCCTTGCATTAGGGCTAGAAAGGACTTTAAAACTCCAATGGGAAAGAGGCCAATGGACATCATACGCCAGAGACCAACTCCTGCTATAATAGGTCCTTCTGTGAAGTGGAGCAGGTAAAGTGCAGAGTAAAACAGTTCATTTCCGGCACACATGGTAAAGAGGACGGCACGAGACGTGTAGTATATGCGCAAAATAGGGTTGGCATTCGCTTCCTGACCTTTGTGGCTGGAGCAGCCAGCCATCACAGTTCTGTAGAAGTGTCATAATGTGATTCATGTTCACACTAATAATTTCATAAATATTGTTAGACACATTATTCACTTATACATTGAACAAATCTTACTTATGCATTAAAATATTGCACAATGTTGAGAGGAGGGACTGGACTGAAGGCTATGCTAACATGCTAGAAGTACAGAAAGTTGAAGGTTGTGTTTTCAGAACTATAGTACTGGACTAATTCATTTCTAACAGTAACAACTAAGCTACCTTTAGCAGTACACAATATAATCAGAACTAAGGTTTTGCTTTCAAGAAATTTTTATATATATACAATTATCACAAAGTTGAAACAGATTATAGTTATGAGGAATATTGAAGAAGCTATGAATAGATTAAATAATGAAGCTCCTGGAATAGATGGAATAACAGTGGATATGGATGCCTATAGTCAGGGGGGACATCTTGATCTTGAGGTTATCTTGAGATGATTTTGGGGCTTTAGTGTCCCCGCGGCCCGGTCCTCGACCAGGCCTCCACCCCCAGGAAGCAGCCCGTGACAGCTGATTAACACCCAGGTACCTATTTTACTGCTAGGTAACAGGGGCATAGGGTGAAAGAAACTCTGCCCATTGTTTCTCGCCGGCGCCCAGAATCGAACCCGGGACCACAGGATCACAAGTCCAGTGTGCTGTTCGCCTGGCCGACCGACAAGAAGAGTGTTCAATAAGGTTCCCGAAGCCAATGATTCGGCTTTACCAGGGTGCAACCCACAGCTGTCTTACTCTCAGCTACATAATTGCTGCTAGGTGAACAGAATCATCTGATACGAGGAAACAGACCTAAACATCTTAACCTGTCTAGGAATTTAACCCAACACCATTTGGTAAAGACGAATGTCAGATGACATGGTAGGAGAGTGAGGTGTCCCATGATTGGATTAAGGCCATTGATGTCCCTATATACAATGACACAAGTAGTATGACAGAATATCAGAAAAATAGGAGTACCACTTAATATCGCAAGAAAATCTGTGAGTATGAATGCAAACTGAGAACAAGAAATAAAAGAATGGTGGATAGGGAAATACTGTAATACGATGAGTAGAGGGGTTATATAGATCAAATTTTACTTTGAGAATGGTTATTGAAAAGTTTCAAGCTAAGAAGAGGAACTTGTATCCTGCCTTCATAAATTTATAAAAAAAACAAAGGAATGGATTGATTGTGATACATTGTGAAAGGTTTGAACAATCAACACAATAGTAAGGGAGGTTATTAAAAGCATTTAAATCCTTTTATATAAAAAGGACAACATGAGAAACAGGGAAGAGCAAAAATATAAGAGAATTTTAATTTTGGGATGGGTACAAGATGGCTTTTTAATGTTACCTTGGTGCATAATGTATATGAATAGGTTAGGTAGGTAAAGCCACCTGGAACAGGAGTGAAGTATCAGGTGAAAGTGCCAAACAATTATGACTATACTGTATAGCACTTGGAAGGGGTCAGGATAAGGATTTGAGATGGGATGGGGGAACGGAATGGTGCCCAACCACTTGGACGGTCGGGGATTGAACGCCGACCTGCTTATAGTGAGACTATCGCTCTACCATCCAGCCCAAGTGGAAATGAACTTTTATGGGGTAACTTCTTGTAATTGACATGTTTGTATACAGATGATAGTGTTCATTCTGAGTGAGGAGAAATTGCAAAAGATTGTGAATGAGTTTAATAGTGTGTGCCAGAGAAGAAAGTTGACGGTCAATGTAGGAAAAATAATATTATGGTGTATCAGAGAAGAGAATGGAATAATTACACACACAAATCACAATAGCATGATGAATGATTAATGGAATAATCCTTTGGGGGCAATGAGGTGACTTGAACCAGCATTCTAACGATTCCAAGACACCTGAATAAACCCATTTGGCCACGTTAGGACAAAAGTCACTCAACCTGGAACTCTACTGAATTCACTGGGGGAGGGGGGGGGTCTGGTGGACCCAACTGGTACCACAGTCTTGGGGACCCAACTGGTGCCACAGTCTTGGGGGACCCAACTGGTGCCACAGTCTTGGGGGACCCAACTGGTGCCACAACCATGATTTTACAAATGGCCACCCTACACCCTGGCCTGCTAGTAATGGTGTTTCCACCCTTTCCTTTCCTTTTTGTTCTGAAGGAACACAAAGTAATCACAATGGCATAATACATCAATGAGAATATTACAATGCCCCAAATGATTTTCTCATCAATTTACAACACCCTTGTAATTTCTTTGGGGTAATGAATAGAATCTTGCATATTTTGAAAAACTTTATTAGAGTAGAGACTGATTTGAATTCAAAGATAAAAATGAAAAAAGAGATGTTAGAAGATGTAGTAAGTTTTAAATGTTTGGGAGCAGTATTAGATAAAAACTGGAGAATGAAAGGTGAAAGAAGAGAGAGATTAATGAGAGAAAAGAATGGTACAAGAGGTGACCAGCCTACAGAAAGGGAGGAATGTTACAGGTGGGCATTAACCCCTTAACTGCGCGGCCTCCAAATATGACACCCCCCCCCCCCAGTGCGCAGGAAATAAAATCTCTAGAAAAAATTATTTTCTGTTTTTTAAAGTGTCAAAAACCCTTCCCTGAGTAAGGGTATAGTAACAGAAGATCGAAATTGTAAGTACTTTAGTTGCTATGGGGTTCGTAAGTTCATGCGTGACGTCATCATTCCCTGGTCGCCCGTGGCATACGCCCCCGGGGCCGTTAGGGCGCTCGGGGCTGGATGTGCGAGTTGCCGCGAATATATTTTTGTTCATTTTCTGCGCACTGTTCCAAATACATTTTATATGCTTTTGCGTGCTAATCCTATGTATAATGAACACGTACATTATATCATGGCAGTAGAACATCCGTACTGTCCGAAGACACTGTGTTACGTGCACGACACATGTGTACACATATCCGGCACATATTTCCATTGTATTATGCTAATGTATGTATATATACAGTCTATTTACACACTATCACGCACTATATAGTCAGGGGGCTATACCTAATAAATTCCCTGTAACCTACCTTACCCCTCTATTGTCAACCCATGTCTTTTTTTTTTAAACGACGCTGTTTGTCGACCTAATTGTATTTGTGCTGCTTTTTCACCCATGTTTCCCCCTTTTTATATCTTTTTTTTATTTGTTCTCAACTCATTTTATTCTTTATGCTCAATTAGTATTAACCCTTAAAGTGCGCATCACGTCATATGACGTGCTGGACGTTGTTCCAGTCAACTGCGCATCACGTCATATGATGTGTTGGAGTACTACGCAAGATTTAAACAGCCCGCGGATACACGGGGTTCACCACACCTTCATCAGGGCTCTTGTAAACAGACGCCATTTTTTTTTTAAATCGTGGGCCAAACTCCCGGGTGTTATTGGCCTCAGTATTGAGTGAGCAACCAAGCCTGACACACGCAGCATGAGCTAACAGCACTGCTGTTCAGCTTGTGACCACAGCATCGCCTAAAAACGCCAAATTATACTTGGTCATGCTATTATGTAGAGATGATATTATTACAGAAGACCCCTGACTGTGATAAAACTGACCAGGGTTCTGATAATAGCAGGATTGTGGTGATATTTAGCGCTGTGCGCCATGGAGGGAGGAGTAATACTGTGGGAGGGAGGGTGGTGGCGATGTCTTTTGACTGTGTGTGGCCACCTTTTATTGACTGCACTCAGCATACCAGCTTAGTGGTTCGCTATGGTGAACACAAATGTAGATACTTATATATAACGTGAGTATAGAGGGTATAAACAGCAAGAGAAGGTTTGGAGCCGCCATTTTGGTGAGGGCGGTGGCGTCGTCTGCACGACGCCACCGTGCAGACGACGGTGTTGTTTACTGGTTACCACGATGGTCTTTGGGCACCATACCAGTTTATTTGTACAAGTATGGTGAATAAAACAGGTTGATATTTATATATAATGTGTGTATATAGCATAACACCACACAGTATTGTTGGAGGAGAAATATTAGTGCGTCTGGCCTTGAGGGCAGCCGCCGATCAGTTGACTCTGTGAGTAGCCACATCTTTGTGCCTTTACTCACCATACAAGCTTAGATGTACAGTTATGGTGAACAAAACATGTAGATACTTATATATAAAGTCTGTATATAGAGAATTATAGCAAAAACATTATTGTGGGAGGAGAATGTGGGTGAGTCAGATGACTGGAGGGAGGGTGGGAGTGGCTGGCTGGTAAACGGCGGTCACTCCTCGTTACTTTTTGACTCATAATAGCTACTTAGTGGTTTGTTATAGTGAACAAAACATGCAGATACTTATATATAACCTGTGCTTATAATGTAATAATCGACAAAGTATTTGTTCACTGATTGATGAACATAATTGAATCAACAATATGCACACCATATTTTTTAGTACAGCAATGATTCACTCATTTTATTATATAAACATATCAAACTACACACTATTGAATAATATTACAGCAAAAAAAGTATGAAAAATCAATCAGAGACATTGAAATAATTCGGTAATTATCTCTTTGTGGCAACTCCGGCCTGACAGCTTGCGAGCAACAGACCGCCTGGGACGCACGCTGAGTCAGCGCCTATAATTTGCCAGACTTCCCCGCCCTATAGCGGGCAATATATGCCACTTACGATTTTTTTATTATTTTTCCCGTGATCAGTGAACACAAATTAATAGGTTAGGAAGAAAAAATAATTTTTTTTTTTTTCAAAATGACATGCGCCTGTGGGGATGACAGGATATTAAACCCCTAGCATGTTAAGGGTTAAGCTTTAGTCATTTAAGTTTTTCATGCCCGAAACGCTTTGCGTAATAGTGGCTTTAGGCCTTGTATGTACTAGCCCTATCTATAAATTCATCATTCTTTGTAAAATCTCTTGTATGTATGTACCTTACCTAAATAAACATTTATTTATTTATTTATTTATTTATTTATATATACATTCACCATGAACACACTCAGAACTCTGCGAATGTCAGCTGCCACACCCTCACTCCTCCAACATCCAGTCTCTCCCTCACTCCTCCAACATCTTACTCACCAACATTGCTCCTCCCACCATACTGTTATTGTTTGCATTACACTATTTACACATGTTATGTATACCTCTCTACATGTTTTATTTACCAGAACTATGCAAGTAAGCCAGTATTGTGTTCAAACTTTACAGAGGCCACCATACATTGCATGAGAAATCACACAGCAGCCAGCAGACGACGCTAAGATTGTGTCACCTCCCACGCCAAAATAGCTCCTCCCAACATACCCCTGATGCTTTTACTACACTATGTACACACATTGTACTGTATATACCCAATTACAAATGTGTTCACCATAGCGAACCACTAAGCTAGTATGATGAGCAAAACAAGTGGCTGCCACACAGTGAGGCTACCTCGATTCTCTCCCCTGCTCCCTCACCACAATTCCTCCTCCCACAATAATACGCACATATGTACATGGATATATACACACATTGTATATACCCATGTACATATGTGTTCACCATAGCGAACCACTAAGCTAGTATGATGAGCAAAACAAGAGTGGCTGCCATACAGTGAGGCTACCTTGATTCTCTCCCTCGCTCCCTCACCACAATTACTCCTCCCACAATACTACGCACAGTGCTTATTATCACCACAATCCTGCTGTTATCACAATACTGGTCACTAAATCCTGTAAATACATAATTAACCACAAGTTTATTTTGTAAAGGAACCTAAGAAGTCATTTGAAGATTCCTAGATGGATGAAATAATGCTGTGGTGCTGCGGCTAGCGCTGTGAACATTGTGAACAGCATTGAATCACTAATATTTGAACATTGCACACAGTCATTATCACACTCAAGCTCTTTTGTAACACTATCATGGCTAAATAAAACAAGTTATATACACAGGTATATATTTTGACATTATTAGGTGATGCTGTGGTCTCAAGCTGAACAGCAGTCTGTGAGCTCATGCTGCGTGCGCCGGCCTTAATTACTCACTCACTACCGAGGCTCTCACACCCGGGAAGGTGGACCACAATTGTTTTTAAAGATGGCGACTGTTTACAAGAGCCCTGAGGAAGCTGATGTGAACCCCACGTAGTCGCAGGAGTTTTGAATGGAACGTGAAAAATACAAATACCCGGAGGTGCGTAGCACACCCCAGACGTGGGCCTGCAGGTGCATTGGGCAGTTAAAGGGTTAAGAAATGGGAGGATACTACACTCAGCCCTGACCTACTGAAGTTAAATATGGGTATGGCAAGGGAAAGTGTGCTCATGAGTACAACTAGTGGAAATGAGTTTGGGAAAAGCAGCTGTATGAGGAATGGGTACAATAATTCGGAAGTATATGAGAGAGATGCTATTAGTGAAAGGGGTAAGAGAATGAATAAGGTGGTGGAGTGGGCAAAGTGCAATACACTTAGGTGGCATGGATATGTTGGTTAGAGGCTCCGACGAGAACACAGGGCATCAATGTTATCAATATGCACTAAGAAGCAAATACTGATCTAGCTTTTGGTTTAAGCAGCAGTAGCACAGAAACATTGAGTGATGATCAAAAGAACTGATTATAATTCTCAATGAAATGCTTTTTTGACAAAAGTTTGGAAACGTCGATAAATTCTATTTTATATACTGTACCTATAATCACTATTAAAATATAACATTAAAATGGCAAATAAACTTAGTAATAAACTAAAATAAACACAAAATATACATTTAACTTTGTTTAATCTTATCTGTGATAACATGAACACACCCTCTAGTTTTACCATGACAGCAGAGAAAGGTATTTTCTTCACTCCCACTTACCTGGTCATAACACAGCATGTTCTCACGATTTGACACTCCATAAAAAAATTACTGTTCTGCCTAACCAGAAACATTTAAATCAAAGCAACCTACATAATCAAACATGGGGAATACTCAGTAAAGTCAGTATTATGTAATAATTTTTTACTAAAACTAATTTTGATGGATTGGTCGAGTGCATTCAATAATGCAATACATTAGATGAGAGGGCACATTGAATGCAGAGGGATACACTACTTTACTTTAGAAAAACATGATTCCATAACTTTAGTTACCAATATTTGCATTATTCAATATATTAAGTTCAATTTAGTGCTTACCCAAATAATCCAACAGCAGTACTGTAATATATAAAACAAAAAACCAGCGTTGAATGTAATGAAACGCCATTTTCTGGGTGAGACCCGGAGGCTCCCCCCAAAAAACATAATTTTAAGCCCTTATTAAATAATAAATGTATACATAACCCAAGGAGGACATACGTGTGGAGGTGAAGCCAGTGACAGGCTATGTCAATGGTCATGGAGAGTTGGAAGAAAAACATATATTTTGGGTAGAAGTGGCTCAGAGTCACAAGCAAACACATGGTTCCACAACGATCTGTTAGCATGTCCAGCATTGCTCCGAATTTTGTACCTGTAAATTAACAATAAAATTACATTTAAAACTAAGAAACTGTATAACAAATGGAAATTTCATAGTTAGTTAGTTTAGTTCATTTATTATGCACCCATACCCATCTTGTGGGCAGTAGTGGAAAGGGTTACAGAGGCACATAATGGGCTCAGGGACTGAACCCCACAATTCATTTAGCTAAGCAAGTTACAATCTTGATGAGCTAGTTACAAAATTCAGTATAAGTTGTCACATTATCAATGGGTTCGAGATCGACCACAAGTACAGTTTCTAAATTAAGCAACTGACATATGTGGAGAGCTAGTGTCACAATTGATATGTTTGTCCTGCACACCTCCCCCCCCCATCCAGTGGGCAGCGTAGTACAGTATCTGTAACTTTTAAATACTATAGTGTCTTATTAATCAGTCTGTACATATTGTGAAGATAATGAAATCTTGGGCAAGGATCACTAGTAATTTTGTCCAAAGAGGTTAAAATGAAATGTTAACCTTCATTTATGAGGCATAATCTCTAAAATGAATGACTGGAAAATCTCTGAATGGATATCTAAAAACCAGATTCCTAACTGAATGATCTCACATCAAGCCTCTGGTTGGCCTGCCAAATGCATCTTTGAAGTGAAATATGAATATATGCTGTACAATCAAGAGAATATGCTGTACAATCAAGAGAATATGCTGTGCAATCAAGAGAATATGCTATACAATCAAGAGAATATGCTATACAATCAAGAGAATATGCTGTACAATCAAGAGAATATGCTGTACAATCAAGAGAATATGCTGTACAATCAAGAGAATATGGTGTACTGGATATAACATGACACCTGCCTCACTGAGGATTGCTTAGTGCACTAAAGGTTTTAACTTTAAAATCATGAGCCTGCATGTGAAGTGTCTTTAAATTGAATTCAATTACCCAGAATCAAGAAACCCAAGGGAAAAACATCACCTGGCAAATTTTTTTATTTTACCTTGGTTTAAGTGTGTGAATTAGTTTAAAAATTCTTCTATTTTATTTCAAGTAATTGTAATATAATACAGTACTGTACATGGTTCCATTATTTGGTTGGATATTAGTAATAATTACCACCTCCCTATTATGCAAGGATAAAGTTGTTAATTATTGGTCACATATAAGAATTGATTCTATAGACTTGACTGTTGGGTCATTTAATAAACAACTTCTCTAATCTACACCATAACTGTACATATTATACAGAAAACATTATAAACATCTGTTTATTCCCCCAGCAAACAAACAAAAACTTAAGTGGCTGGGGGACTGGCTACCTTTCTGAACAATTAAAACAAACACTGCAGTACAGCATTCAAGTCAACTTATGGAGTAGGTGTAAAGCACTCAGTGAATTATAGTATCACAAACAATTGCCCAAAATGTAATTGTTTACAATATCTACCCTTTTATCGTCATTCCTTCCTAATTCACTAATGAACACTTTGTACACCTCCCCTTTTACCTAAGGCATTACATTTCTAAGAAAAATTATCTATAAAGCTCTATCTAGTATTTGAACATATATTGCAAAGTAATATTGTCTCATATTAAACCTACAGGTGATAACATTAACACTTTGGTGTACCCCGCGCGCCACCCCTCAACTGTGCGATATGGGACCCAGGGTGTCACGGGAGCGCGCGTAAATTCTGAAAAGTGTATACGCTCCAACTTTGTCACCTTAATTCTCGTCCTACGAGATTAAATTTGGTATCATTGTGTTCGCAATAGAATTCTCTACAGCACTAAGTGCATATAAACTCCAAAAACCCGGCTAATTACCCGCAGCAAACGGAGAAAGTGCGAACGAGTTACCCAGGAGCGCGCAAACGCGATAAAATGTTTTCACTATTTTCACTCTGGTCACCTCAATTTTTGTCCTAGGTCTTTCATTTTGGTCTCAATGGGTTCGCAATAGAATTCTCTAGAGGAACATTTGCATATAAAATAAAAAACCTGGTCACGCTCCAACAGCCGACGAGATGAAGACGGGCCACACGTTAGACGCGAGTGAGCGCTCAGATGCCTTCCAGCTACACCTCCAATTCCCGCCCTTTTCAAGCCTTTCTTTCGCAATTTTCTTCCTGGAAGTTGCCTTGTTCATGATCACTATCCATCGTGGAGTAAGCGTAGATAGTTTCTAAAGCCACAGTAAGAAATATAGCCACGGAAAATAGCCGAAATGTTCACACGTTTGAGATGCAAGGGGAGGCGACATTGGTCACAACAGTGGAGCGAAAACAATGGGCCCACGGCGTGTGCCAAGCCGCCTGAGGGCCACGAGGCTCAACAAAGAAAATGGGAAGACATCGGCACGCATTTTAAAACCAGTCTCAAAAAAATCGGATAAAAACCTGACTTTTGGCGATTATTTAAAGTGGCGACAGTAAACGGATGACGCAATGCTGCGTCATGCCCGGGCGAAAGTGTTAATGTTTATTTATCAATAACTAGACAGTGGGTATGTTACATTGTTTACATTTATGATACAGTACTGTTATATTTTTTGTAAAAAGACTAATCATCCTTTATTGTAAACACCGCCACATTCACAGAGTTAAGCTTTTAAAATTATCTAGTTTCTTTAAATGCATTTGTATACAGAACTAACACGACAAACAAATACAAAATTTTTATAAACATTACAGTACAGTAGGGCCTCGATTTACGATGGTAATCCGTTCCCAGAGACATATCGTAAGGCGAAGCAATTTTTCCCATAAGAAATAGAGGGAATTGAATTAATCCGTTCCCCACCCTCCAAAATACTAACTTACAAATACATTTTATACTGAATACAATTTTGTTCTATAACTACAATACAGTACATATGTTTATCTTACCTTTATGGAGGACTCTTTATGGCATATGGAAGATGGTGATGAGGGGGGAGGAGAGTTGTTACTGTTTGGAAAGGAAGGTTCCTTCCATTATAACATCAGGCAGTGATGACTTTTCTGGGATACACACACTGGCATGTTTTGCCTGAATACCACTAGGACCTGCTTGTGGCTCACTGCTTGCTTGTCTTACTAAGAATCTGTCTAATGACACTGTTTTTCCCTGCATTTTAACACTTGTCTGTAGTAAGACATCACATTGTCATTTAAAGGTAAATGCAATGACCTGCTACAGCTTTATCTGGGTGAGTTTTTTTCAACAAAACTTTGCAGTTCTTCCCATACTTCACACATTTTCTTAATGAGGAAGGAACATCCTCCACTGCCTCTACTCACAACTATTTTTTTAGGTTGAACCTTACCACCGACTTTCCTGGGACCCATGGCGTGATTTTCAGTTTTATGTTCAAAAAGCAAAAAATCACCACCAAAAACCAAATTTCTTATAGGCGTGATCGTCACTAAATGGGCAGCTCTAGTAAACTGAGGCAGGTCAGCCAGCGTGACCGGGAACCATGCGCTCGGTCGACCCAAACGTGTACCAACAAATATCGTTAGTCGACGACACTATCTTAAGTCGAATCGCAATTTTCGATCAAATTTACATCGTAACTCGAAATTATCGTAAGTCGGGGCAATCGTAAGTCGAGGTGCCACTGTACTTATATTATCTCCTCGTATACTTATGAGGAATGATTATATTCCTATTGAGATAATCTGAAAGCTATAGTTTCAGTATGTGATGTTATTTAAGTGCAGAAAATATTGTTTTCCTCTATGGGAAGAAAAAAAATGGTGGCAGCGAGTTAAATGCCAGAACTTTGCTACACTTTACCAAACCTGAACTAATCTAACCCTAATAGAGAAAGCAGAAGACCCAAAAAATAAAACAGAAGAGTGTTTTGTATAAAGTATGGTAGCCCTATCAAGATTTTGTACCACTACCTAGTATTGGTACACACACTCCAATTAATAAGATAGTACAAATACAACTGCTCTGCATAGTAATAAAACTATGCCTTTTCTTATGCTCTTAAAAATCCTGTACCTAAATCAATCAATTTTGTTAAGCAATTCATTTAAAGAAACACTAAAAATCTTGAAGAAATATATGTGAGCTGTTTTTTGTGGAGCTCCTTGATGGCTTCCTGAAGCTGTTTTGCTGAGACAGTTTCAAGGAGCCACCAGGGATTTATCAGAGAGCCTTTTTATTACATTCAACACTGGATTTTTTGTGCATTATTCATAAAGACAACATTATTTTTTTACCAGTACATTTTATCTGAACATATTATTGTACTGTAGTTAGAAATATTTTCTTCTGGAATAGTAACTAATGTTAACCATTCATTGAAATATACTGCCTAAATTGCTTAAAAATACTGTACTGTATTTGAAAACTAGTGGAAATGAACATTAAAAACTATAAATATACACTTTGTATTCAATATTTTGTCAGTTTATAATTTCAGGACGTCTTTCTCCTCAAAATAAGTAGCTGAAGGCACGTGGGTTAATCATCATGCCATTAGAGTACAAGTATACTTCTTTAGCCTGTATAAAATATAGTTTTATAAAGAATTGAGGTTCAGTTTGTTAGCAGTCTCCGTGGTGTAGTGGTAAGACACTCGCCTGGCGTTCTGCGAGCGCTATGTCATGGGTTCGTATCCTGGCCGGGGAGGATTCACTGGGCGCAATTCCTTAACTGTAGCCTCTGTTTAACGCAACAGTAAAATGTGTACTTGGATGAAAAAACGATTCTTCGCGGCAGGGGATCGTATTCCAGGGACCTGCCCGAAACGCTACGCGTACTAGTGGCTCTACAAGAATGTAACAACTCTTGTATATATCTCAAAAAAAAAAAAAAATCTCAAAAGTTGCATGCAATCCATATTTAATTAAAAGCATAACTATTTTTAACACTGAGTATATCTTAGCATATACCATGGTAAGATTAAAACATTTTCTTGACTAACTGGAAATACCTTGATTAAGAAGTCTTGCAGCATGGCCATCGAAAGCATCCAGGAAACCAGAGAGAATATACATCGATGCTGCCATGATATGATTGGTAGGCATGTAGTAAAATGACAGCAATGCCAATATGATGCGGCCGTAACCTGTAACATGGGAAGATCCATGAAGGACTGACCCTATACACTGCACTGGCCACCAAATATCAGTATCAGCTACAATGTGGTAGACTGTACATAACTTGATAACCAATATACTAATGAATCATACCACAATAGTGACAGCAAAAATTATGAATTTTTATATTTTAAGTTGCTAAATATTTTGAATTTTGTTGTACTGTAATTTAAGATGAGTAGGCACACTTAAGACATATATTTTGATAAAGAAGACAGTATAATTAATAGCCTTTGTAAAGCGCCTAGTTGTGCTTAGCACTTCAGGCACAACATATAGCAAAATTAATGGTTAAACTATATTACAACACTGTACTGTACTGAAATCAGCATTTTAAATAAAATAACCTTGAAACTAAATACTATAGTGCCCTTCAGCAGAACATAAACCTGCTTAATATCTTGCAATGTCAGACTTGTTCAACTACGTGTGCTGAAAGGCGAGTGTATTCCAATGTGTATTTGCCATCCCCCCATCGTGACCGAGGCCGGGCGTGACAGCCCCAGGGTGACCGAGGCCGGGCGTGACAGCCCCAGGGTGACCGAGGCCGGCCCTGACAGCCCCAGGGTGACCGAGGCCGGCCCTGACAGCCCCAGGGTGACCGAGGCCGGCCCTGACAGCCCCAGGGTGACCGAGGCCGGCCCTGACAGCCCCAGGGTGACCGAGGCCGGGCCTGACAGCCCCAGGGTGACCGAGGCCGGGCCTGACAGCCCCAGGGTGACCGAGGCCGGGCGTGACAGCCCCAGGGTGACTGAGGCCGGCCCTGACAGCCCCAGGGTGACCGAGGCCGGCCCTGACAGCCCCAGGGTGACCGAGGCCGGGCGTGACAGCCCCAGGGTGACCGAGGCCGGGCGTGACAGCACCAGGGTGACCGAGGCCGGGCGTGACAGCCCCAGGGTGACCGAGGCCGGGCGTGACAGCACCAGGGTGACCGAGGCCGGGCGTGACAGCCCCAGGGTGACCGAGGCCGGGCGTGACAGCCCCAGGGTGACCGAGGCCGGGCGTGACAGCACCAGGGTGACCGAGGCCGGGCGTGACAGCACCAGGGTGACCGAGGCCGGGCGTGACAGCACCAGGGTGACCGAGGCCGGGCGTGACAGCCCCAGGGTGACCGAGGAAGAGCGATCGATGCGGCGATCACGTCAAGTGACAGCTCCGAGGGTGAAATACAGCTCTCGCCCCAATACTGCAGCTTCCCTGAACATTACTCACCGATAAGATTTGGCACGAACAGGAATATGTTCTCAGCCATGTTGGTGTGGACGCCGGGCGGGCTGGAGACGTGTAGGAGACGATGGCTGGGAGACGCGGTGAGGAGAGGCCCTTGAAGCTCCACTGTGTTGATCCTGGCAACACTCACAGGGAACCTCTCTCTAACAACTTAATCTCATAAAACTCAAATTATACGCTATTTAGTTTTTGATAATTATATTTAAGATTGTTAGGCATATTAAGGGAACTCAAGTTTTTGTTATAGTTTATTAGATTTTTGTTTTGGTCTTTATCGCGTACTTCCCTGAATACTAGCGCCAAATTCGAAAAGCCACGTGGACTGATTGACTCTGATTTTTTTTTTTTTTTTTGAGATATATACAAGAGTTGTTACATTCTTGTAGAGCCACTAGTACGCGTAGAGTTTCAGGCAGGTCCCTGGAATACGATCCCCGCCGCGAAGAATTATTGTTACAACCAAGTACACATTTTACTGTTGAGTTAAACAGAGGCTACAGTTAAGGATTTGCGCCCAGTAAATCCTCCCCGGCCAGGATTTCATTAGTGATAATGATAATGTTTATTCAGGTCAAAGTACATACATAAATTCATAAAGAGTTACAAACAGAATGTTGTATTTCTAGATAGAGATAGTACATACTATGCCAAAAGCCACTAATACGCACAGCGTTCCGGGCAAGATGTGGGAAAAACACTTAATTAAGACTAAAACTTACAACTTAAAACAATTCATTCATTTGTGTACAAGAAGCCACGAAAGGTTTTGCCAAATGTTTGGTCACTAAAACACTCGCTTTGCAACAAACAGAATGGATTATAATTTATTGCTCTAGGTTATAATTAAATTGTTTTCATTGTGTAATAGAAAAATGATTGTCATTGTGGTTTTTCATTGTGATTACAATTTGATTGGTTGTTTTTCATTGGGATTGTAATTTTATTGTGATTAAATCCACAAAGGCCATGATGAGGGTTTAAACGTACATCCAGAATGATCCGAGACGCGCCTTAATCATTTGCCATCATTTTTATTACTGATGTTAATGTTGTCTATCTGTAGCTGAATTGCATTTGATGATTTGTTTCCAAATAAGATGTAGTAAGTCTTTTCGATGTTTAATGTTAGTTTGTTCGTTGACATCCATAAGTGGACTTTTTTTAATTCATTATTCACAACATTATTTAGTGTATGTGGGTTGAGGTTTGAGTAGATAAGGGTAGTATCGTCAGCAAACAATATAGGTTTGAGAATATTAGAGACATTAGGCAGATCGTTTATATATATAAGAAATAGAAGAGGTCCTAAGATGCTGCCCTGTGGCACTCCAACGGTAATTGGTAGAGTGGAAGAAGTTGTATCATTGATGGTTACATATTGGTGTCTGTCACTAAGATAGGATCGGATGTAGTCAAGGGCAAGGCCTCGGATTCCATAATGCTGGAGTTTAAATAAGAGGTAGTTGTGATTAACAGTATCAAAGGCTTTTCTTAGGTCAATGAAGAGTCCAATCGGAAACTCATTTTTGTCAAGGGCTGAGTAGATAATGTCAAGGAGACTAATGATTGCATCATTGGTACTCTTTTGGGACCGGAAGCCAAACTGGCAGGGGCTGAGTATGTCGAATTTTACGAGGTAGGAATAGAGCTGTTTGTAAATAATTTTTTCAAATATTTTTGATAGAATGGGTAGATTTGATATTGGTCTATAATTGTTTATGTCCGCCGGATTGCCTCCTTTATGGACTGGCGTTACTCTTGCTTTTTTGAGGATATCAGGGAAGGTGTGACACTCTATAGATTTGTTGAACAGTAGTGCTATGGGTGGGGCAAGGGCATGGGAGGCTCTCTTGTACACAATGGACGGAATTTCACTGGTGTTCCCTGCCTTGGTTTTTAGAGAGTGTATGATGGACACAACATCTGCCGGGCTGATTGGTGAAAGGAGAAGAGAGTTTGGATAGCTGCCTGAGAGATATGTGTTAATATGTGTCTAGCCTATTCCTAGACAAGAGACTCAACTTCAGCACCCACATTCAACACATAACTAAGAAAGTCTCTAAGACAGTTGGTATACTCTCCAAAATCAGATATTATGTTCCTAACTCTGCTCTCCTCTCACTATATTATGCACTAATCTACCCCTATCTTAATTATGGTATCTGTGCATGGGGGTCTACCACTGCAAACCACCTTAAGCCCATCATCACACAGCAAAAATCTGCTATCAGAATAATAACTAACTCTGCTTTCAGACAACACTCAGCTCCCTTGTTTAAATCTCTAAACTTGCTAAATATTAACTCCCTCCACACATTCTCTTGTGTCAACTACATTTACAAAACCCTGTTCTTAAATGCAAACCATGCTCTGAAACTCTCCCTGGACAGATGTAATAGGACCCATTATCACCACACCAGAAATAAATATCTCTTTGATATCCCCAGGGTCAAACTTAATCTGTGTAAACACTCTATGCAAATTAAGGGACCTAGTCTATGGAACTCACTCCCTAGTGAATTGAAAAACTGTAAAACTTTTGCCTTATTTAAAAGCAAAACCAAAAAGTACCTAACTTCATCTATTTAGTTTCCTACACTGAGCTTTAATTTGCTCTGTACCTAGTGGTACCCAATCTCCTAATTTTTATGTAATATCAAACAACCTTATCATTGTGTTCATTGCTGTCTTCTTTTATGTGCTAGCCATATGCTGTATTGTGACTACCAATTTTTGTCAACTACCATTCAAGCTGTCATTGCAATCAATCTTATATTGTTTCTGCTGTATTGTGCCTACCAATTTGTTGTCAACTACCATTTTAAGCTGTCATTGCAATCAATCATAGCTACCTATGTGCTTTAATATACTGTACCTATAATTTTCTCTCATCTTTTTTTTTTTCATTCCATGTAATCTGTTATCATTTTTTTGTCTATAAATTTTGCAAGTATTTACCTCCTTAAAATTTTCTTAGATTAAGGACCTGCCCGAAACGCTGCGCGTGCTAGTGGCTTTACAAGACTGTAATTACCATAATTGTATCCTCACATTCCTTATGTACATTCTTGTATATGCATAAATAAAATAAAATAAATTAATCGACTGAGCCACGACATGGTCAAAAGATTTTGACCTTTGTTATTCATTTGATATATCATGCTATTGTGATTTCTGTGCTTATTGTGATTGTTTTTCATTGTGATTGTAATTTGATTGTGGTTTTATTATGATCTGATTGTGATTGAAAAAATATAATAGAATAACTGATTTTTAGATGACTGTGTAGGGAGTAAACAATATATTCGCTCCAATCGTTAGTCTAATGGCAAAACTCATCAGCACTAATTACGAAGCTATAGTCTTTTCCTTAGTTACAGGTAACATTCTTTCAACCTATTTCAACCGTCCTTTCAACCTATTGGAGGATGGTGAGGTGTAGTCCAATCATATAAGCAATCGAGAAGCGATTAATATCAGGAGGCTAACCATAGCCCGTGCTTCTTGCCCCGCTCCTGTGTCAGGTAAGTTACGGGCTCACCATAGCCCGTGCTACTTGGAACTTGTTCCGAGTAGCTGAATCTATAACAACAACAACATATTAATATCAGCACGGGAGACATCTCCTGTCACGCAGGGTGCAGTTGCACCTCCACAGATCTCCAGTATCAGCTCTTGATACTGGTAATAGCTCCAAAGGGCCACCACTTACGGGCTATTCATGCCCGTGCCACCTTTTGGGTGGCTTAATCTTCATCAATCAATCAGCCTAGAGTACATAAAAAACACCATCACCAAAAAACTCTCACACCTCAACACAGCCCATCTACACCAGAGAGTAGCTAAAGGTTCGCCCTCTGCAATATGGTATCTTCAGGCGACCAAATTAGAAAGGTTAAATATCACAAAAGGAATCCACAGAGAAATAGCAGTTAGGTTATATAGACTACGTCTAGGTTACAGATGCAACTGGGAGATTGGTGAACTCCGACAGAGAGAATGCATCTTCTGCCAAACAGTCACAGAAAAGCCATTACTTCACTATCTTCTGGAATGTGAAGCAACCAACGACCTTAGAAGAGCTTTAAGAGTCCCTGAATCTTGCAGTAACCACCCTGAAGCCATCAACACAGCCACTCTCCTGGTAAAAAAGGTGTCCAGCAGCTGGACGCCCTGATAAAGACTGTCAAGCAGTATCCTCCCCCACGATAGCAGCTTTACGATTAAATGCGACCTCAGAACACTGAAAAGAATTACTGAACAAAAAATTGTACCACGTACGGGCTATTCATGCCCGTGCCACTTCTTGGATGGCTTAATCTTTATCAATCAATCATCAATCGATTAATAGCGCACCGCTCTTGTGCTAGGTAAGTCCACTACGGGCTCACCATAGCCCGTGCTACTTGCCCCGCTCCTGTGCCAGGTAAGTTACGGGCTCACCATAGCCCGTGCTACTTGGAACTTGTTCCGAGTAGCTGAATCTACAACAACAACAACAACAACAGATTAATAGGACATGCACAGATCTCCAGTATCAGCTATTGATACTGGTAATGGCTCCAAAGGGCCTCCATTTACGGGCTATTCATGTCCGTGCCACCTTTCGGGTGGCTTAATCTTTATCAATCAATCAATCGATTAATAGGACACAAGTTACAGCCCCGCTCCTGTGCCAGGTAAGTCCACTACGGGCTCACCATAGCCCGTGCTACTTGCAACTTTTGTTCCAAGTAGCTGAATCTAAAACAACAACAACAACAACGATTAATAGGCAGGATAATTTCCACAGTGATTCAGTTAACTTCATTCAGTACGGACGCTACGCTTGGGAATTACCCCATCTCTTTAACCTCAAGAATGTCGCACTCGGCGTGTACAGTTCTAATCAACCCCAAGACGCTACAGCTTCGACACAAAGCAGACAGCAGACAAAAAATAAAACGCATCGAGCTATCAAGCTCTCCGTCTCATCGAGTTCAGACACTCACGAACTCATCGAGTTCAGACACTCACCATTCCCCATCGAGCCGCCACACTCTCCCACATAGAGCTCCGCGACTCCGGCTTCACTCAGCTCTCTGCTCCAGGCTTCATCTCAACGTCTACGACACTGCTGTATCCAGGACTACTAAATAAATATGAAACCCACTAAACACTGTGTATCTAATCTACCCAACAACGTAACATAATCGTACGTTACCAATGTAATAGACAAAATGAGCGTAGAGTTTATTTTTAAAATTAAGAGTTAGACACAATAACGGAGAGAAGCTGCAGTTTGAGTATTTAATGACCATACTTGAAGGCAGTAAGGACAGTACCTTACACTAATCTAAGGATTGTCTGAAACACTGCCTGGGAACCCGGACGTGAATCGTGGAACTGCCTACCCGCCGAAGGCGTAAAGGCCGAAACTCTGTTACATTTTAAAATCCAACTGGAAAAGATTTCATCAGGGCAAATGGGGGGGGGGGGGAACTTTGACAAGCCTCCGGCTTCCTTTCCTCGTCAAGGCCATTAGTGTTAATGACCCTCAGGTAAATGTGATTACTGAAGCCAACAAACAAGTCATAAACACACATCCATAACGCCTAAGACAAATTTTAACACTTAGTGGGTCGACTAATTTTTTTTTTTTTTTTGCTATTTTTAATCTTTGGAAGTTATTTTAGTATCATCGGCAACATAAGGAACATGTTGGTGTTTATGTGTGTCCAAGTCGAATATATATATGGTGACGGTGAGAGATCACAGGACACAACCCGGGGGGCACGCCACTAAACTGTTTCTAACTCACATTTCATTCTATTTGTGATAACTGTTTTCTTTGAAACAATTAACCATGCCATAGTTCACCTTCAGATACTCCAGTCCCGGCCCAATACAATGCTCCTCTACCTCTGGAATCTCTTATATCAGAAAATCTAGAATCCCAGAGTCAAACTTAATCTGTGTAAACATTCCACTCAAATAAAGGGACCTAGTCTATGGAACTCACTTCCTAATAAATTAAACAATTGTCCAACCTATGCCTTATTCGAAAGTAAAACCTAAAAGTACCTAATTTAATCCTTATAATTTCCGACTTTGTGCTTTAAACTCACACAGTATTTTGTACTACTCTCTTCCCCAATATTAGTGCTTAAGACATATCTTCACCAGTGTAATCACCTCTGACAATTTATATTGGAGTTATTTGTTGATATAATTTTTTGCTACAATGTACCTTTTTCCCCTTATCTGATATGCTAGATTAAGGACCTGCCTGAAACGCTATATGCGTCTTAGTGGCTTTGCTTGAATGTGCAAACACCAATCTTATGTAATCTCACAAACCCATTGTACCTTCTTGTGAATAAAACTTTATTATTATTATTATATTATTATTATTATTATATTATTATTATTATATTATTATTATTATTATATTATTATTATTATTATTATATTATTATGTTATTATTATTATTATTATATTAATATTATTATTATTATATTATTATTATTATTATATTATTATTATTATTATTATATTATTATTATATGAAGAGTTAGTGTAGTCTATTATGGACTACATAGCCATGTAAGGTAATGAATGTAATAAATTTACGATCTCTGGTGTGTACTCACCTAGTTGTGCTTGCGGGGGTTGAGCTCTGGCTCTTTGGTCCCGCCTCTCAACCGTCAATCAACTGGTGTACAGATTCCTGAGCCTATTGGGCTCTATCATATCTACATTTGAAACTGTGTATGGAGTCAGCCTCCACCACATCACTGCCTAATGCATTCCATTTACTAACTACTCTGACACTGAAAAAGTTCTTTCTAACGTCTCTGTGGCTCATTTGGGTACTCAGCTTCCACCTGTGTCCCCTTGTTCGCGTCCCACCAGTGTTGAATAGTTCATCCTTGTTTACCCGGTCGATTCCCCTGAGGATTTTGTAGGTTGTGATCATGTCCCCCCTTACTCTTCTGTCTTCCAGTGTCGTAAGGTGCATTTCCCGCAGCCTTTCCTCATAACTCATGCCTCTTAGTTCTGGGACTAGTGTGTGTGTGTGTGTGTGTGTGTCTGTGTGTGTGTGTGTGTGTGTGTGTGTGTGTGTGTGTGTGTGTGTGTGTGTGTGTGTGTGTGTGTGTGTGTGTGTGTGTGTGTGTGTGTGTAATTACCTAAGTGTAGTTACAGAATGAGAGCTACGCTCGTGGTGTCCCGTCTTCCCAGCACTCTTTGTCATATAACGCTTTGAAACTACTGACGGTCTTGGCCTCCACCACCTTCTCACTTAACTTGTTCCAACCGTCTACCACTCTATTTGCGAAGGTGAATTTTCTTATATTTCTTCGGCATCTGTGTTTAGCTAGTTTAAATCTATGACCTCTTGTTCTTGAAGTTCCAGGTCTCAGGAAGTCTTCCCTGTCGATTTTATCAATTCCTGTTACTATTTTGTATGTAGTGATCATATCACCTCTTTTTCTTCTATCTTCTAGTTTGTGTGTGTGTGTGTGTGTGTGTGTACTCACCTAGTTGTGTCTGCAGGATCGAGCATTGACTCTTGGATCCCGCCTTTCGAGCATCGGTTGTTTACAGCAATGACTCTTGTCCCATTCCCCTATCATACCTGGTTTTAAAATTATGAATAGTATTTGCTTCCACAACCTGTTCCTGAAGTGCATTCCATTTCCCCACTACTCTCACGCTAAAAGAAAACTTCCTAACATCTCTGTGACTCATCTGAGTTTCAAGCTTCCATCCATGTCCTCTCGTTCTGTTACTATTCCGTGTGAACATTTCGTCTATGTCCACTCTGTCAATCCCTCTGAGTATCTTATACGTTCCTATCATGTCCCCCCTCTCCCTTCTTCTTTCTAGTGTCGTAAGGCACAGTTCCCTCAGGCGCTCCTCATACCTCATCCCTCGTAGCTCTGGGACGTCTCGTTGCAAACCTCTGAACCTTTTCCAGTTTCATTATATGCTTCTTCAGATGGGGACTCCATGATGAGGCGGCATACTCTAAGACTGGCCTTACGTAGGCAGTGTAAAGCGCCCTAAATGCCTCCTTACTTAGGTTTCTGAATGATGTACTAACTTTTGCCAGTGTAGAGTACGCTGCTGTCGTTATCCTATTAATATGTGCCTCAGGAGATAGATTAGGTGTTACGTCCACCCCCAGGTCTCTTTCACGCGTCGTTACAGGTAGGCTGTTCCCCTTCATTGTGTACTGTCCCTTTGGTCTCCTATCTCCTAGTCCCATTTCCATAACTTTACATTTGCTCGTGTTGAATTCTAGTAGCCATTTCTCTGACCATCTCTGCAATCTGTTCAGGTCCTCTTGGAGGATCCTGCAATCCTCATCTGTCACAACTCTTCTCATCAACTTTGCATCATCCGCAAACATCGACATGTAGGACTCTACGCCTGTAAACATGTCGTTAACATATACAAGAAATGGAATTGGTCCCAGCACCGATCCTTGTGGTACTCCACTTGTTACTGTTCGCCAGTCCGACTTCTCGCCCCTTACCGTAACTCTTTGGCTCCTTCCTGTTAGGTAGTTCCTTATCCATGCTAGGACCTTTCCCCCCACCCCCGCCTGCAATATGAACAATGTGTGTGTGTGTGTGTGTGTCCGGTTGGGTATAGGTGAGAGGTGCTCTGCATGGACCACTAGGCCTTTGCAACATCTTTTATTGTATTCCATTGGGTATAAATAGGTGCCTCGCGTGGGCCAATGGGCCTTCTACAGTTTCTTCCATGCTTATGCTTGTGTATGAGATAATACCTACACTAGGGCGGAAAATGAGATGGTGTAGCGAGGCAATGAGACAGTTGTAGCGAGTATATTATGTAAACAATGTACTCGCTCCAATCTTTCATTAGCTTAATGCGAGTAGCACAACTCTCATTAGCAATAATGACGAAACTCATACCTCTTCCCTAATTACAGTTAACATTCCTTCCAACCTATTGGAGGACGATGATGAACACTGTAGGCCACAAGGCTCCCACAGTCATCGTAACTGCGACCACAAGAACAATGGCGGGCATGCAGCAGCAGCAGCAGGTGTCCGGGGCCAGCCATGGCCGGCTAAATACCGTGGGAGACTCCTATGGTCACCTTCACACCAAACAACAAAACTTCCTAAATGTTTCATGTTGATATTTACAATGGCAGCTTGTAAATAACATTCTTGATTCTGGATATTCAATTATATAACAACTCACGTGACATATTTTGGTGTCATGCGCGCCGTTAGGCAGCCTAGTGGCGGTGACGTCCATATTAATGACGTCAGGGAAGGCGAGGAGGCTCTGACTTCTTCAGTCAGCGTTGAGTACTTCAAGCAACAGGCAGACGCGAGGGACAACTCACAGGTACAATTCAAAATATAATGTTTATAATGTGAGAGTCACTCTACAGTAAGGAAATTTGTAGACATGACAGATATTGTTCGTTACCGGTAAATGTGCTAATAAAGTCATCAACTACAACCAACAGTTTAGTGGATAGTAATAAGATTCCCGTTAAATAGCTAAAGTAGTAGATGACTCCTTAATATGGCCTGTTTAATTAACAAAAACTGTTAACTGACTCACAACCTATACTCTCTCCTGAAGCCATATATTATGTGATTCTCCGCAGCCGCTCGATCACAGCATAAATATAATGTCAATAATAATCTAATTAACCCCTTCGACTAACGTCCCCCCTGCAGGAGGATGTCAGTGAGCGGACGTCAGTTGAGGGTGGGCACCGGGTACTGGGTACCCTGGGTGGACCTCCACTCCCACCCTGATGGTACTCTAACAGCCGATGGCGTCGCCGTCACCATTCTTGACATTATTGCCAAAAAACTTAATTTCACGTGCGTCCATAACCTCTGACTTTTTCGTAGTGTTACTTAATAGAGGAAATATTTAATTACTCACCTAGTTGTGCTTACGGGGGTTGAGCTCTGCCTCTTTGGTCCCGCCTCTCAACCGTCAATCAACTAGTGAGTTTGGTGGTAAGAAATTAATTGTAGAGTTTCTTATGCTTGAAATATTGATACATGTGATAGACGCGAAGGAGCTCGCTTTGGGTAACCTTGACTATCATCTTGGGAAATTTAATAGGTTTATGGTTGTTTTGCATGCTAGAGTATCTCAATATATTGTATATTCTAATTTAATTATTCAACAAGTAGCATACAATAATTTAATTTTTACCATTGCTTCTACTACTATCACAACTACAGTACTCTACTTCTACACTACTCTACTACTACAATACTCTACTATTACTGATGCTACTTTTGTTACGACTGATATTGATACTACTACTACTTATAATAATATTAATAGTAGTAGTATAGTAGTAGCATAATAATGGTAATAATAATAATAATAATAATAATAATAATAATAATAATAATAATAATAATAATAATAGTAACCATGATAGTAATGGTAAAATTCTATTTCCAGGTACGTGTTGGTGGGGAACGCTGACATAGAGTGGGGGCAGGAGGCGCAGAACGGCTCCTTCACCGGCCTGATGGGCATGTGTGTGGGGGAGGTGAGGAGCCCGGCCCCAGAGCTAGTGTCTGGGGGCCTCTGAATTTTGGAATTTCTAGGACGGTCAACCAGAAATACAAATTATTCCAACCCGTCATCCATTATATAGTATATATGTATATATACACACACACACACATACCTATACCATTTTTACCAGTTGATTGACAGTTGAGAGGCGGGACCAAAGAGCCAGAGCTCAACCCCCGCAAGCACAACTACAGCAGACCCGGTATATTTTGTATATACGGCTCTCATTCACTAAATGTAATGTCTTACTTCAGGACCGGTTACATTATAGGGTAAGCCAGAGGGTGGATTCAGTGCATCAGGGTATACTCAGTAAGGAACTGCTAGGGTACTATTATGACCCCACAATTAATATAGATTCATACGTACACGTGTGACATGTACAATATAGTCTATAATACATTAACCTGACTTCTGCACCTCAAGTATCGTAGCTTATGCCTAAGACACTATGCATCATCTAGTTCCGACGTTCCTTAAGGCCATCAAATGTTGTATGTCAGTCAAGTGATGTGTGCCGGACATGTCAACCTTCAGTACAGGTTCACACAGCTCGTACTCAACATGGGGTTTTAGCCAACGATTAGACTTAATATAGGCTTACACAGAGATCAAACAGTACAGAGCTGCAAATATCAATCAGAAAACGGTCTCCCAGAGGTCTGACTAGCTACAGCACCACTCAGATGTGAGACTGAACAGGTCTAATCAAAATCAAATACTATGCAAGAATAACAGATCAGGTTCAGTATATGGTCATCCAAAATGTCAGGATCAACACTTATACATTAGCTACCAACGGTATATTCCCAGCAGGAGGTGGACGTTGCATTGGGACCTTTCGTCATCACCTACCGCAGGTCCCAGGTGGCAGACTTCTCTATGCCGCTGTACTTCGAGTCCTGGGGCATCTTCCTGCCTCGGCCACGGCTGGAGAGCGATCTGGCAGGTTTCCTCAAGCCCTTCACGTGGCAGGTACCAGCAATTATTACATACTCTATCCTTCCCACGGCCACCTACAGGTTCCAGGGGCGAGGCAGGTCGACTACAACTATCTGCTCTAATTCATGCCACATTACACTTTTGTATGGTCACTATTAACTTGACGATATAAAACTTGAGTATAATCAATCTTGATTATAATAAAAAAAAATCCCGTGCTGCGTCTCGCTCAGGCATATATCATGAGGTGAGCTGATTAAAAACAATTATTTTGGCTTCCTCAGAGTAAAACTGTTTGCCTGTAAATTTAAAGCCATTTTTTTTGTGTGTCTAATTGTGGTAACATTGATCACGTCATTTTATGCTTGTAAATACTTCTATTACATCTTATTCTTCTTTCAATAATGAATTCATTTTCTTTAAAAGGACTTTTAAGTGTTGGCATTTTATAATTATTGTCGCTCTGCGCCGGAAACCTTTTAATTTGTCACTGTGATTTCTCACATGTACACAATATTACTTAACAGTGAACCGTATATAACGGAGAGGAAGACTTCCTCGGAGTGAGACTCAAAATAATGAAGTCTAATATTCTATTGACATTTTTCCAGGCACGGTAAGTGTACGCAGGTTAGCCACTATATCAGGGGGCTTCTGATATAGCCATCCTCATTATAACCAGGCTTCTCTATCCATTCTCTGCGGATTATAGTCTGAAGCTAAAGGTGTTATGAGTGCTTGTATAGATCAATAATGTTAATGTAGCACATATAACGTGCTAAGACAGTGCCTGATGATGACCAAACCACACATCAGAAAGTGAAGAAACGACGACGTTTCGGCCCGTCCTGGACTGAAACGTTGTAGTTTCTATACTTTCCGATGTCTAGTTTGGTCATCATATGTTCAGCCACGTTACTGTGCCTCGTAGTGTGCACACACAGCATGATATCACCCTCCTGCAGGTGTGGGAGGTGCTGGGGGGAATGATCCTTCTTACGATGGTCTTGGGTGCTGTCCTCAACTGGCTCGCCTCTGGGTCATGGAGAGGGCCGGATGCTGGGATCAAGGAGGAGCCTTCTGGTGGAGTCTTCCGTCCCTCCTGGGTCCTCAGGACCCTTGTCAATGAAGGTAAGACCATGTTGTTGTTGTTACAGATTCAGTCACTGGGAACCAAAAGTTCCAAGTAGCACGGGTTATGGCGAGTCCGTAGTGGACTTACCTGGCACAGGAGCGGGGCAAGTAGCACGGGTTATGGTGAGTCCGTAGTGGACTTACCTGGCACAGAAGCGGGGCAAGTAGCACGGGTTATGGTGAGTCCGTAGTGGACTTACCTGGCACAGGAGCGGGGCTGTACGTGGCAAGACAAGTCCGTTCCTGAACGACTATGCTCTCATAATCTGCTAATTATTTTATTATTACTCCTAGTATGACGTTGCAATATTATCTAATGATGTTTACAATCTCATGATCTATACCATGAGGTAAGTACTCGCACATCTCTCTCTCGCTAACCTGGACATTATAATCACTCGCTGCGAGTCTGGCACTTGGCTATTTGCTCTAGTTCTGAACATCAAATTCCCACCAAAAATTATTATTAAATTACAGAAGGAATGCATAAATGGCTACCACTGGTTTTCCTTGTGAAACTACAATTAACAAAATGATCAACAATCAGTTATATAATTGCCAAGAAATATAAATAAGACTAAGGTATTATCAGATAATATCATAAGATATTATTATTATTAATAGTAAGATTATTATTATCGATATATCGAATTATATATTAGTGACAATGTTCAGAAGTCAAGTCTTTTTCTGACACTCCTGGTGCTGCCTAACACTTCTGGTGCTGCCTGACACTCGTGGCACTTGCCTGACATTCCTGGCGCCTGCCTGACACTCGTGGCACTTGCCTGACATTCCTGGCGTCTGCCTGACACTCGTGGCACTTGCCTGACACTCCTGGTGCTGCCTGACACTCCTGGTGCTGCCTGACACTAGTGGCACTTGCCTGACACTCCTGGCAGACACAAATGAGCTGCCGAGGACTGCAGTAGGACGGCTCCTCCTGGGGACGTGGCTGGTGGGTTCGTTCATCCTGTGCTCAGCCTACCAGGGCGTCCTCACCTCCCTGCTGACGGTGCCCCTCGTCAGCGTCCCCGTCAACTCCCTGGAGGACCTCGTCAGCTACGGCAAGATCCCCTGGGCGCTGGAGTTTGGAACCGTCATACAACAAGAGTTTAAGGTAATCTTGGGTGATCCACCCTTCATCCAGGTCGTGTAAATTACTCACCTTAAAGTCAGATATTGATCAATCTTTATCCAAAGTTTCCAGTCAGTGAGAGACACATTTAGCTACTATAAGTATGATAAATAATTATAGATGTATGGTACAATCAATACCACACGCACACTAACTGGACCATGACCAACACTAACTGGACCATGATCAACACTACCTGGACCATGATCAACACTACCTGGACCATGATCAACACTACCTGGACCATGATCAACACTACCTGGACCATGATCAACACTACCTGGACCACGACCAACACTACCTGGACCACGACCAACACTACCTGGACCATGACCAATAACAACCAGACATACAGTAAAGAGATACAAGCGTGAGGCATCATACCCACATGAGAGAGACGGGTTGAGTGAAGGAAGGTTGTGGTGGCTGTGCCGCAGGAGGCCAAGGCCGGGGTGAACAAGGTGGTCTACGAGGGCAGCAGCGCCGTCCGCAGCACCTGGGACGCCAGGGACAGTATCAAGGAGGGTAAACTCGCCATGATCGCCGACGACTTCTCCATGATAAAGGTAAGGAAGAGTCATGGTGCTGCGGAAACGGGAGACGTGCCTAACCATATCAGTCCGGCCTGGAATTCTCCACTGAGAGTCGAGAACCAACCTGATTGTACTACCAATTAACGTGTTGGAAATAATGGTGGGAACTTTGGAGATTAATGAGGATACTAGATAATTATGTGCAGATATATTGTGAAAGATAATGCAAGATATCAACTGAGGTCTATTTAAGACCCTTTGTGCCCTCTGTAATCCTTTTGCGATACCCCTCACGAGATGAGTATGAACAATAAATTAACCATCCACGGCAGAAACCATCATTGAGGTTATTGAAACCGAAAATTGACATAGTTGGGGATAGTCTTCAAGGTGCGGGAGATGTACAGCCCGTCCTCATCAACAAAGGCCAAACGTAATTCCATACAGCTCTTTATGTAACCTGTTCTCAAGCCAGGCTCGTTAAAGCTGCGGCCTTGGCATAAAACTAAGATGTATTCGGACATTTTTAACATACTGCTTTGTTAACTTTCACCCTGCAGCGTAAACACTATCCCTAAATCAACATAACCAAAATATCCTATCTAATCTAACTTAAACCTAACTATACATAACCCCACAATATATAATACTTACATTTCAGAATTTTGAGTTATTATACTGTATGGAAAATTCATCCTGTAAGTTGGTTGTCTTCTGGATAAGTAAAAAGCCGTACTAACAATAAAAGCGGTCAGCATTTGACTTATTGCAAGGCAAGAAGGATGGGTTGCAGGTACAAATAATTGCCAACAGAACCTAAACACCTAACCTAACCTAGGCTTGAATACAGACAATATGCTAATATATAATACTCACTTATATCTGAGAAAATTTCTATTTTATCAACATGTTAAAATTGATGAATGCGCCTCTGGGGTCGGCCGCTGGATGGAATGAACATAGCCTGAGGACGGGTTGTTCTGAAAGGTCTTCGTCTGGTCCTGTATTTAACTTTTTAGATTTATCTTGATTTACCAGAGGGTCATCATCTATCTATAGTGGCTTCAACAGGGACAGGAACCTGGCAACTTATCAAAGGTCTTGCATTTTTCCTGAGACTTTTTCCAACTGGGTTTTGAACTGAAGTTATGTCTAGGCATGTTATGGCTTTAGCAGGCGGAGGGTTCCATGGGTTTATAACTCCTATGGATGAAAAAGTATTTCTGTTTTCAGTCCTACATAGTAGCTTGTTGAGCTTGAAATTGTTGCCCTTTGTATGTTATATAAAACCCTTTAAACAAGTGGCCTGGATTAATATCCTCAAAATTGTTCAGTATTGCATAACTTTGCATGAAATCAGCCCTGTCATGTCTGGTTTGCAGTGCTGCTAGTCTTATGACCCTCATCTTTTCTTGGTAAGAGAGGCAACTTAGTTCTGGGAAGATTGTTGTCACACTGATTTGTACTTTCTCCAGAGGAGATATCCTTCTGAAGATGAGACCTCCATGCTTAGATACTATAGTCCAAATGTTGCTGCACCAGAGATTTGTAGTTGAATTACCACTTTCTTTTCCTTGACTGTTCGTAGGGTTTGGTTGATTTTTTTCATTGCAGCTCCCACTTGTTGGTGTAGATAAAATATAAAGTTCTTCTCTAGTAAATACCGAGACAAAATACTTATTCAGACCGTTTGAAAGATGTTTTTGTTGTGTTGAACATAGACCACCAGTGATGAGGCTCATGTCATGTAAGAATAAAATTAGAGTACTGCAAATTGTTGGGATCATTGTAAGTGAAGTTATGATATTTTTCCAGATCACAAATGATGACTACAGCAACACTGGAGAATGTCACTACTATATTGGCAAGGAGATGTTCAGGTCTGCCCCATTAGCATATTGCTTTCCAAAAGGCAGTCCACTTGTCCAGCACTTCAACAAATGGTCAGTAGCGGCACATAATTATCCCTCAAAATAAATTATAATTGCAGAACTATTATTTGTCTTCAGTATAAGAGCGATTCATATATAACCTGCTCATCTCGTGTGTGTGCAATTGTTAAAAGTTAAATTGCAGTATTAAAAGTGTAGTTATAGGATGAGAACTACGCTCATGGTGTGTGTGCACACGCATGTGTGCCCTGCAGGATAGCACTACTACAAGAGTCCGGACTGGTGAGCCGTAGCGTGCTGGCCCTCACCTCCAATGCTTCAGCCTGCCTGGTGCCACCCGGTAAGGAAGGGGGTGGTAACCAGTCCCTCGTCCTCACCTTCCCTGACCTCGCTGGGGTCTTCCTCCTCTTAGTTGCTGGTGAGTCTATCTGAAATAAAATTTTCTGTCTCCCAGAGTATCTCCCACAATAGAGCCGTAGCCTACAACATAATTAGCACTCTTATGGTGGCACTTAGCTTTGCAACAGTCATAAGATACAATGACAAATTCATGTCACTTATGTTAACTGACAAGCAGTGTATCATGACAAATCATTCAGTAAAGGCAACTCAGTACAGGCTGCCAAGAAGTTGATTAAATCAAGTTACTGAACAGGGTTCAATGAGCAATGTCATGCAGCTGAATCGACTAGTGATCACTTGGTAATGGTCATGTGAGAGGCTGTTTGGTGGGCCCTTTAATTGAAAAGTGTGTCAGTAAATGAGACCATACAACAGTCCACTGATCGGTGTTATTATCCTCTTAATTTATCTCCCACAGGTTTGGGTGTTGGAACTCTGGCTTGTGTTGTAGAGATGTTCTCTTCCTGCTGGAAGGTCTAACTAGAAGGGGGTGACATTATCACAGCCTCCACATGGTTTATCAAAGATGCCACATGGTACTACAGTAGCTTTCACAAGGTCGCCTCCAGATGATCTACTGCAGTTTCTAGATGGCCTACTAATGCCACCACAGTCTACTACAACCTGAAATAGGCCTCCACAACCTGCAGTGATTAAATACGGTCTGAAAACAGCCTACCACAGACTGCAGTGATTGGCTCTGGTCAACCAAATCCTAGACAAAGCCAGGGGTACTGTGAAGATACACTTCATATTAGAACAGATACAAGTACTGCACTATTCAACTACAGCTGTATAATAACATATAAGTTAATTCATGACATTTATTAACCCTTTAAGGGTAAATAAAAAGACCTCAACCCACAAATAATATGGTCATCCTAAATGGAAATAAAACTGACTAGAGATAGGTGGAGAGGGGGCATTGCAAGATCCTGTTTTGAGGTCAACCCTTTTTTTTTGTCTTATACATCCATGACAGATGAGAATATTACACACCACATCAAATTTGGAGATGATACCCAAAGACTTATAGTAAAGTAGGAAATGATATCGAGGCCCCACAGAGAGATAGATCTACATGAACTCTACAAACGGTCAGAAGACTAGAAAATGATTTTTAATATAGATAAATGCAAGACCTAGCATGTGGGGCAAAATAATGCATATCACAACTATTCTATTAAATAAACATTACTTAAAGAGGGCCACAAGGCTAACAACACCGCAAACCAAACATGACAAGGCTGATCTCATCGAACCTTTTAAAATAATAACAATATTGATCCAGACCACAATAGAATTCATTGCACACATCTCAAAATGACTCCCTTCTCAAACCTAATTATGATAAGAAGGGTTAATTAAGAGAATTCTATTTAAAAAAAAAAAAAAATCATTGGACTTGTTTTGCCCGAGGCCTCATTATTTTCCAATGCACATGATCACAATTAACTTGCAACCAAAGCAGAATCCTTCTGTTACATGTGCATTGCAGGTGGACCAGATTCCCGTGTCCCAAAGCACTTACTGGTGTGATTTTTGTCACAAATTTGGAATCTTATAACACATGGTGAGCTGATAAAAATATAAACAGTATATGTATGTGTTTCATTTTTGAGAAAGGAGAATTAAATTCAAAAAATGTAATATAACCCATAGCATTATTTACACTTATATTTACAAAAAAATAAATCCATATATTTGAAAATCAATTCATGAATGTATATACGGCAACAAAAATATACTTGCGAAGTTACCCATACTAGTAATAAATAAAATTTTGCTTGAAGCAACAGGTACACTTATATTTCAATATTTTCCGTTTGACACACACTTGATTTTATTTCACAACCTAAGAACAAACAGTTAAAAGAATACCACTCGTCAATCAGTTTTATGACCTTTTTCCCTATCTGAAACAGGTCCACCATTATATGGTTGAAATTCAAAACATTAAAGTTTCACAATCTTTCTTTTTGAATAATCAAAGGGATATTTTTTGCATCGTTAAACAAATTTTGTCAGGTCTTATAGGGGAAAAGTAGCTAGTTGGACCAAAGGATATATTTTTTTTTTTTGGGGGGGGGGGGGGGTAAAGAGGAAGGAGAGGCATAAGTGAAGGGAAGTTCAGAAGTGGGAAATATAGTGAGAGGTATGAAAGCAGGCGGCCTGTCCGCCTTGCTGACAGCAAAGGATAAATGTTTCAGAAGAAACAAATACAATTAGGTAGACAAACACCTCTCTCAGCGATACGGAACATTAGAATCTTAAGTGTCAATCTACTATAAATGGTTATTCTATATTTGAATCATTACAATGCAATTTGTTCACATTCTAACAATGCTACAATGTCAAGATTTCTACAATGTTTATTAGTATGAGTGCTGACCAATAATATAATGCACGATGACTACTCACTTACATTTACAATTACAAAATGTCAACAACATCCAGCGCAGTATAATGTTCTATATATAAATGAAAAGCACAAAATATATCCTGAATTCAAACAAAAATAAAAGGGTATCCAGACACTTATATTTTTCATTATTAGGCCTTTTCATTTTTATGTAAACTTAAGGTTTGATCAGGTTTGATTTAATTATTATTAAATTTAATGTTTGGAAACTATCATTTAAAATTGAAAGTAAAAATACACACAAAAAGTTTGAACCAAGATATGTAATTAATAAATTTGTAATAAACACAAAAATTAACCTTAAATACATTTCAGAAATAACTAAGTTCTATTAAAAAAAACACATAAAACAACTTGCTTAATTCAAAAAATTAGGTAGACAATGAGTTTGGCTATACAAGGGAATTTATTGTATACTCGTCTCAAAACATATACTGTACAGGTACAGTACTGTACTTGTAAATTTTCACTGTAACGTTATCTGTCCGACATTCAGCACCAGAATACCTGAAAACGTACGTAACGAAATTTGTCCTAGCCATTAACTGCAAAATGCGTATGATATGAAAAACAAAAAACTTTTAAGTTAATAATAAATTATCACCGACTTTAATACCACATGACAAACATTTTAAGAAGCTGAAACTTTTGTAATTTCAGTATCTCAAATTTGCAATGACAGCTTTAGAAAAGTCAAAGGTAGTTGAATGGCCTCCCATATCCTTCGTCCGAACCTAAATGAAAAAAAAGGGTTGAAACAAATATAATTGAATCTGATAAATTAAAATGTATTCTATGTACAACAACAACTTTGAATCTAATAAACAGTAACATAATAAAAAAATAGTTTATTTAGTAGGTTACAATTAGTCTACTAAACATACAAAAACTAGTACAGAAGATAATCTGATGTCTAAAATTGTCGAGTCCTAGTGAATTCCTGATACCTTAATGCTCGACCACCTACTGTATGCAGATTTTGCATCAAAAGTTTTAATGATTCAATATTAGATCAACAAAAGTAATTATGTCAAAGGAGGTACCAAGCCTTGAATGACTCGATACAGCTATTTTTTTCTTCCTTTATTTCTGTCAACTGTTCTGTTAATAAAACATGTATATTTAAAGTTGTTTCTAGGTTAGAAGTTTGAAGACATTCAAAGTCTGGATTTTCAATACTACTGTTGATAACTGGACTAACTAATAATTGATAACTAAGATAAAAAAGGCAAGATTTTTTTTAAGTATGAAGATAAGTGATGAAATTTAAGATAAGATATATTGGAAGTTTAACAAACTGCTTTCTGCAAGAATCTTTACAGTTTTGCTTTAGTAGGCCTCTATTTACACGTGCAGTATTTAGAGTATTATTTATTTACCTTCCTTATAAATAAGTGGATTTATCATAAGACATGTTATTTAGGTAAACTATTTTTTATGGACTATACAATACCCTGCTAAAAGGAGTTTAAAATGTAAACAAAGAATACATCTGATTACAGCACTTACTAAAGTAATGCTCTGTCACGATTATATATTCATATAGCCAGATACGAACCTGGGCCACATATCAAAGTCAATATACAATACTCAAAATGCTATTACTGTCAACTATTGAAAGTACTGAATGAAATATTATGAAAAACGAATCAAAGCAAAGTAACAATGTAAAACTGAATTTACATTGCATGTAAATTACAATTACCCAAGTTATATCTTATAAGTCATAAGTTAATCTTATGCAGTTAACTTTTGGATCTACGCAAGTTTGTATTGTGATTTAGATACAGTAATCAGTACTCTATCTGAATGATCAGTACCAACAGCATCATGTTATTTTCAAAACTTTATTTTATATAGTACTTTAATAGCATTAATACTGAAAGCCATACAAAGTCTTTAAACATAAAGGCATTTTTGGGTGTAGTGAAGCCATGGAGCATATTTTTAATAATATGATGTTTTTCAATCATTGTTGAATATAAATTAAACTTTGACATCCCAGACCACTGTTGTCAGCTGCATGTACTAACCAACATACATACATCAGTCCCAGAGCTGAGAAATAAGTTATGAGTAAACTAAAAGAACAAACCTTATGTTGCTGGAGAAGAAAAAACACACAATCACAACATACAAATATAGTATACAAAAGAAAACATTAATCCAAATGTAGAGAAAAAAAATCACACCATTTAAAGGTTGAGATGCAAGAATCAAGTTCTGAAGCCCAATGCCTACAAGAACAGTTATGTCAATAAATGCACTTTCCACCTCCACACTTTACCCACCTGCACCCATTCACATCAAGAATGGAGAGAGCCAGACAACTATTGATTGTTGACCAAACCACAAACTAGAAATTGAAGAGCTGACGACGTTTCGACTTGATAATGGTCCAGGACGGACCGAAACTCCGTCGTCTCTTCAATTTCCAGTGTGAAGTTTGGTCGACATTTTTCAGCCACGTTATTGTGACTTTTCATCTGCATCTATTGACTGCCAGTGGCAAGTCCTCAAAGGGAGACCATGGCCAGCCAGGATGCACACACACACACACTTTCATAGACCCTCAAGATTACTTCTTTTAAATGAAGAAATTACTCTTCAACACTTTAAGTCGGTCTACTTCTAGGTGTATAATTTTTCAGTGCATTTTTTTAGATGTTTTGGTTTAAACTACAATAAGGAGGTAACACTTTTGTCTGTATCTATGCAGTTTTATATTAAAATCTAAAAAAAATGTATCCTAGAGTAAAATTTCAAGTCGACTACATGTTTAGTAATTGCAAATTAATTTTTTTTATTGGGTATACCCTGATGTCCCCCTTTGTCAAAGTTATGCAAAATTTTAGTAATTATAGAGTATTTGAACTACTAAAACAATGAGTAAATGCATTTTAAAAAATAATCACCATAGTTAATTATTAACAAATCAAAACATTTAATGCAAAATAGTACAGTACTCACTCTACATGCTGTAGCGAGTGCAATTACATGAATTGTTGTAGCAAACAATAAACATTGAACTAAAGTGATTCAAGTAATTTCTCTAGATTATGGGTGCTTTTCTAACAACAATAATCAAGACAAATTCTTTATGCAAGTAGACAATATAGAACACATTTTTGAGATCATTTATTTAGGCAATGTAAGGAAGGGGAACTATAAGAAGATATTAAAGAACTACAAGGTAAAAAGTCATGAGCCTCTCAATGAGGAGTTGGAAACTCAGAGATTTAAAAAAAAGTTGGATTTTTACCACCTAACTAGGCAAGGTGAGAGTGCGGGCGAGGCGAAGGTGTGAGTGGGGTCAAGATGTGGGCGGGGCGAAAGGTGTGAGCAGGGTGAAGGTGTGGGCGGGGCGAAGGTGTGAGCAGGGTGAAGGTGTGGGCGGGGCGAAGGTGTGAGCAGGGTGAAGGTGTGGGCGGGGCGAAGGTGTGAGCAGGGTGAAGGTGTGGGCGGGGCGAAGGTGTGAGCAGGGTGAAGGTGTGGGCGGGGCGAAGGTGTGAGCAGGGTGAAGGTGTGAGCAGGGTGAAGGTGTGGGCGGGGCGAAGGTGTGGGCGGGGCAAAGGTGTGAGCAGGGTGAAGGTGTGGGCCGGGCGAAGGTGTGGGCGGGGCGAAGGTGTGGGCCGGGTGAAGGTGTGAGTGGGGTGAAAATGTGAGTGAAGGTGTGGGCAGAGTGAAGGTGTGGGCAGGGTGAAGGTGTGAGCAGGGTGAAGGTGTGGGCGGGGCGAAGGTGTGAGTGGGGTGAAGGTGTGAGTGGGGTGAAGGTGTGAGCAGGGTGAAGGTGTGGGCAGGGTGAAGGTGTGAGTGGGGTGAAGGTGTGGGCGGGGCAAAGGTGTGAGCAGGGTGAAGGTGTGAGCAGGGTGAAGATGTGAGCGGGGTGAAGGTGTGAGTGGGGTGAAGGTGTGGGCGGGGCAAAGGTGTGAGCAGGGTGAAGGTGTGAGCGGGGTGAAGGTGTGGGCGGGGCGAAGGTGTGAGCAGGGTGAAGGTGTGGGCGGGGCGAAGGTGTGAGCAGGGTGAAGGTGTGGGCCGGGCGAAGGTGTGGGCACGGTGAAGGTGTGAGCGGGGTGAAGGTGTAAACATGGCAAGGATGTGAAATGATGTAAGAGTATGCATGCAACATACAAGATTCTAAACCAAGAACAAGATAATAATAAAAAGATACCACTTGTTGCAAATACAGTAATTATGTTTTCACCTCAAAATTACAGTACTATAGTTCAATTTGAAACGTTTTAAAAACTACTGTACTGTAAAACTAGACGATAATATTTTCAGTGCTTGAGGCTGGCGATGACTGCATTTGCGAAGGCCGAAGTTGTGGCAAAACCCCCCATGTCCTTCGTCCTCACCTAAAGGTACGCAAGGATCAAAGTGAGATAGAAAAAAGGTAGAAAAAGAAATATGGAAATTACTAGTTGAAGAGATAAAGTACAGTAAATCAAAGTATAATTTCAGGTGCAACCACCTAAGTTGCCAGTTAGTTACAATACAATGAAGAGCAACTAATGCAAAATCTCATAGCATAGTAACGTCACCATTAACCATAACGTGGCATATAAAACTGATATACTGCATATATAATTACATATATGGGAGGAAGAGGAGTAAGGAGAAAGATGTAGAAGAATAATCAGAAAGAAGAATAGGAAGAGGCAGAAGAAGAAAGAGATAGAAGAATAGTAAGAGGCAGAAGAAGAAGAAAGAGATAGAAGAATAGGAAGAGGCAGAAGAAGAAAGAGGAGGACAAAAAGATAAAGAGGATGAAAGGGAGGAAATACAGGGTGGTGGTGGTAGCTGGCCATAACAAGAGACTTGCTTTGCACCAGAAATTTCGTAAATCAAACGATAACTTCACAAAACCACATGGTCTCCGTGTGTGTATTGTAAATGAGTACCCAATTTTTTTTTTATTAATGAAGCACAAATTTATTAAACAAATATTGCCATTTGGGAAAACTTACCTTTCCAATCCGAATAACTCTGTCAACAGCATTTTTGATCATGTCTCCATAATACTGGAGATTAAGATGATTCAGCATGTTAGCAGAGGCTAAAAGCATTGCAGTTGGATTTGCCACATTCTTGCCTACAGCTTCACTAAATGTGTGGCGTGCTCCCTGAAATAACACATGTACATTAAAATAATCACAAAGTTATCCCAATTATCTATACTAATTGAAATTTTGCACGGCAACCAGGGACAGTTTGAATTGACTTTTTTGTTCTTTCTCTGTGTAATTAACATTTTTGCTTAAAATTAATGAATTAATTTATTTATACGTATTTTCATACCAAAATTACATGGAAAAGAAAATTTTTAACCGATTGTAACCTCATATTCTAGGCTATATCATTCTGGACTGATCCCTATACGTGTTGTTTCCAGATTTCATAAAGTTGTTTTATTATCTTTTTTATTTTGGGGGGAAAGAAGGGGGTTATGTAAATAATATTAAATATTCTTTTGTCATATATGACACAATGCACTATACCATGTACACTACATATCAAAATGAATAACTTATTGTAGTTGTAAAAACAAAACTATTTTTGAGAGTAATATTTTCTACAGCAGGGAAAATAAAAAATTTTGAGGATAATAGGCAAGTATTAATGTTGCACAATCAATGGGAGTCAATTGTTTCTACAAATACCTAACCCATAAAACAAGTCACATGTGACTGTAACCAGATCGGATTTTGTCTGTTGCATCTTTACATCCAATTCACAAGGGGCTCATGGAATTGGATTATAATCTATTCATAAGCCCCCCCCCCCAACAGCTGAGTAAACAGCACTTGGGATTAGTTGTCCTGAGGTTCCGGGTTTGATCCCTGGTGGAGGCGGAAACAAAGGGGCAGAGTTTCTTTAACCCTGATGCACCTGTTCACCTAGCAGGAAATAGGTATCTGGGAGTTAGACAGCTGCTACGGGCTGCTTCCTGGGGGGGGGGGGGGGTGTAACAAAAAAGGAGGCCTGGTCGAGGACCGGGCCACGGGGGACTCTAAGCCCCAAAATCATCTCAAGATAACCTCACGATAAACTTTTAGGGAAAAAATCCAAAACTAGGTATTTATAAATATGAACAATCATCTCTGCCTTCCCAATATGTTACTTTTTAACTTTTCAGCAAGTTACTGAGTAGATCATTGAGCAATAGGACATTAAGGCTTGCACAGGATCTGGACAGCTGCTTTTAATACCCAAGGTCCCAGGAGTAATGCTCAATACACAGACCCAAAGGAGTGATGCTCAATACACAGGCCCCAGGAGTAATGGTCAATACACAGGCCCCAGAAGTAATGGTCAATACACAGGCCCCAGGAGTAATGGTCAATACACAGGCCCCATAAGTAATGGTCAATACACAGGCCCCAGGAGTAATGGTCAATACACAGGCCCCAGGAGTAATGGTCAATACACAGGCCCCAGGAGTAATGATCAATATACAGGTCCTGGAGTGAAGTTCAAATTGATTTTTGACAATTTCTGAAATGGACTGTTGCACAGATGAAGAGAAACACATTTGCTTGGAAAAGGTAATAAGAGAGAGAGAGATGGATTAGCAAACATTAATAACAAAAGGAAGAGGAGATAAAACAAGCAACTTACAGAAATAATTAAGGTGGCACGAACATGCAAGTACAAAGGGTGATATATTGTAGTGGCAATGAAAGGCTAGTACATTGACCTTATTCAAGGAAGGGCTTCTGCAAGCAACTAAGGTAAACTAGCATTTAAGCTTAAAAGGTTGAGAGTCGGTTCCCAAATGTTCTTAATTCTAGATGCATGCTTCACAAAAAATGCTTCGAATGATAGAAAAAAAAGGCTTACTGGTTTCCACGTTTGCATTAGAGCCAATTAGGTAAATTTGTTTTTGCCTGCACCCATCAGGAGTCAGTCAAGTACAATAACTTCTTTGAACAGATAATCAGATATTTATCAATTTATTGATTTCCATCAAATTAAAAATAGTTTTTAATGTACAATTTTAACCCTTGCACTGCTCACCTATTTTCGGCAAAAACGTCTTGGTGCAATTGTCAAGGACATATTTTTGTTATTTTTACAAATGTTCAGGTAAATTTAATGTCAAAATGTTTCCAAAGTCAACTATTTCCATTTCAAAACACAAATAGTAATGAAAACATTAAAAAACATTAAAATATAGCCAAATTAAAAAACAAAAAGCACAACTCTCTGAGCGCCTGAAGGCGCTTTGCGCAGTGCAGTGGTTAAGTATTGAAATAATGCTATTAGCAACTATTAATGCAAGACCATTACATTCAGCAATGAAATGCATTACTGTTAGCTTAAAGTACTGTAGAGGGCTGCATACAAAGTACTGAATGCTTTATATCTAAACTTATTCCAAAGCCTATCCAATACACGTAAATTTGCCGATGACCAGATTTCTTATACCAACTCCCTAAAAGTGTATTGCCCAAAATTGTGTGCTGTTCAGCAATTACTAGCACACTCGCCTCACAAGTAAGATGTTCAATGTTCAAATCTTGGATGGAGTGGATGATTCTGGCCAAAATTCCTTTTCTCTACAGTACTTGCCCATTTGTACTCTGCAGTAATTGGAGACCTGGTTGTAAATCGATTAGTGGATCATAGTCTGGGGAGGGACACAATATTAAGAGTTAGCTTTAAGATTAGCTGAGAAAGGAAATGGTTCTTAGCATGCAAAAATACAGGAATAGACAAAACTTTCTTTCAGTGTCAGTATATTACAGAAGATAGTAACAAGGTAGTTTAAATTGTGTAAGTTGTTGGAATGACAGATAATTAACGATAATTTTGAATAAAAATACCGGAACATCATTTGCATTTGTAAGGACCCTCGACCTCAAAGACGACGACGATATGCAGCATTTGGGGAAGCCTTGTAGGGCACCCGTGTACACATATTGTCTTCTAACACCCCCCCCCTTCCCCGCAATATAGTGTGTATTTTGTCATATATTATATAAATATATACAGTACTGTATATATTAAAGTATATACAGTACATTCTCCCAACATATATGTTGGAAGAGTTGAAACAGTCCTCAAGATATTATCACGACACCAAGCTCCCATCTACCTTCACCCTACAGAGACAGGCACCTTCGCATATAGTCTTGCTAACTAAGTGGGGCAGACAGCTGCTAACACTGTTGGGATGAGGTCACACTAGCAGAAGACAAGTGAACACATACAAAGCCTCCAGTTTTAGGTCAAATTTAGAAAACATCAGGGCACTAAAGGAACCTCCCAGAATAACAGGGGAATAAAGGATCAGGATAGGCACACAGCACCCATGCAACATTATAAAGTGGGGGAAGAATAGGGATAGTGTGTAGTGAAGACACAAATGGTAGCCAGTTCCCAAAGAAAGAACTGTGGGGCAGATGACAAAAGTGGTCAGGGAACACAGAACCCTACAAAGATAGAAGACTTTAAATGGGTTAATAGTCACACCCAGCCAGAGCCAAGAAAAGCATGCCTGAGGTTGACATACATCTCCCTCTCCTGGAAGCTGTAGAGAAGGCCTCGAGAAAAAAAAAGCCACAGGCAAACTCCCACTGGAGAAGATGTCCATCCACTAGCACAGAGTAAAACAGAAAAAGCACCAGGTATAACACACACTCCACACCCAACAAAGTGTGACAGTGTGAGGGACTAGTAACTGCAGGAACACAGAACCATACAGAGAAATCCACAGGGGTGATAAAAGAAAAAAAAATTCTTTTGGGAGCCGGACGCAGGGAAGGAGGAGCAGGACTTCCCTGAGGCTCTGTGATCTGGCTCCATTCGAACTGCTCCCCTGTGGTTCATTGTCTCAACCAGAGAGAAACTCTCCAGTCCGTTGCACATTGGTGCTGGTCACTTTGGGTTGCTCTTTTGCCAAGTTCTCAGGGTTTAGCTCTCCACGCCGTTCACTGTCAAAGAGCCAGAAGCAGGGGAAAGGAGCAGGGCTTCCTCGGGGCTCTGTGATCGGGTCCATTCAGACTGCTCCCCCCTGTGGTTCATTGGGGGAAAGGGGTGAATAGAGGTGGTGTGGGGGGAGTTGGGAGGATGGCGGGGGTGGTGTGGGGGGAGTTGGGAGGATGGCGGGGGTGGTGTGGGGGAAGTTGGGAGGATGGCGGGGGTGGTGTGGGGGGGTTGGGAGGATGGAGGGGGGGTTGTGGTGGGAGTTGGGAGGATGGAGGGGGTGGTGTGGGGAGAGTTGGGAGGATGGAGGGGGTGGTGTGGGGGGAGTTGGGAGGGGGTGGTGTGGGGGGAGTTGGGAGGGGGTGGTGTGGGGGGAGTTGGGAGGATAGACGGGGGGTGGTGTGGGGAGGAGTTGGGAGGAAGGAGGGGGTGGTGTGGGGGGAGCTGGGAGGGTGGAGTGGGGTGGACAGTGGATGGAGTGAGGTCTGATGCAATAATAATTCTGATAAAATGAATCGGGTGTGCCCAATACAGTTTGCATGAGCAAGGTTGTACTAACCAATGAACATATTTGTTTTTACACTAGTGTTATGAATGGAAAGTTGTTGCTCTATACTATAACAACATAAAACCTGTAGTTGCAATACTTGTCCTCAAGAAAGTCAGTGGTACCAAGGAAGCTTTGGGTATAGGTGTCTCAAGCTACACAAGGCCTTTTTATTCCATAAATTTACTATTATTAAATAAAATATACAAAACATATACCCTGCACAGGTAGATTTCTTTGTGACAGTGATGAGGGTGAAACAAATACAACTCATATATTATATACCAATTAAAATGTAACAATGTTTCAGTCTGTCCTGGATCAGTATCAAGTTAGAATGAACCGATATATCACCGATATATATATATATATCATATACTTTCCATTTCCAATGTGAGGGCTTAGTGTTTTTCAGCTCCTTTACTTCCTAGTAATAAATACTTGCTGGAAAGAAACAAATAGATATAAATAGTGCCATACCTACCAACACTCAATTTGTTTAGCCATGTCACTATGGTGATACAAATGTTGGAGGTACAAGGGGAAGTTAGTGATGTCTAGTGGTGTGCTCTACCAAATATTGCCCTTGTAGGCTAAATAGTGCAATCCTGCATACTGGCAAAATTTGGGAGAAAAATAGTATATTACACAAGTTTAACACTAGTTAGTGATACTAGTTCAGAAACTGAGCTATTATGTGGTTAGTTTACAAAAAACCAGCGTTGAATGTAATGAAACGCCATTTTCTGGGCGAGTCCCAGAGGCTCCCCGGAGCTATCCCAGGCTGATATGCTAATGTCAGACTTTGGCATCAGTCATGTGTATGGAGTTCTTAGGCCTACCGGGGACCACGGCCAGAACCGGGCCCCCTCAGAGAGGCAAGGGGAGCAATGGCCTATAGAAGCCCCCGTGTGGTTGGAAGCATTCTATGGTTGCCATCGACCGGAACAGGCACCCAGAAAGGTAAGTGCCTCAAAACAAACCCCTATTCTGGTTAAAATTGCTACCAAAAGCCGAACTAGTGGATAGAACTCCCCAACCGAAAACAAGCAAACTAGTGTGACGTCACACACCGCCGCGCCGCTGTCTGCGCAGCTCCCCCCTCCCCGGGAGGGGGAAGGGGAGCCCCAGACCCCCCACGCCGGCTACCAACACCTCAGTTCTTGAGGCTGGATGTCAAAAATGCGAAAAAACGCCGACCGGAGGGAGGGAGGGATGCCGGGGAGCCTCCGGGACTCACCCAGAAAATGGCGTTTCATTACATTCAACGCTGGTTTTCTGGGGGAGCCCCGTTGGCTCCCCGGAGCTAACTACCCACAGACGGAAAAAAGAGGGACTTACCCGGGAGGCGGTCGTCGCTCACTCCTCAACTCGAAGCCGAGACAACTGGCTGCAACCGCCGACCCAAAGCAACACAGGCCCGACGGGGCCCAGGGACATTCACAAGGTAACGAGCAGCCAGGACCCTGTTCGACCGCCAAAATCCCCGCGCCCGAATATCAGACCAAGACATATTCCCAAAGACGGAAGCAAGAGCCGCGAACTTACGAACGTCATGGGCACGGGGATAGACCGCAGGCTGGCTGGACTTGATACCCCTGCGGACGACCTGGGAGACCCGAATCCGCGAACAGGGAAGAAGGGAAACCGGATCAACCCACAGCGCGTCCCCGGACACAGAAGCTGTGGCGCGCAAATAACGGCGAAGCGCCGCAACCAGACACAAAACATGATGCACACGACCATCGCCTATAGCATCAGCCTCAAGAACCGAGGTGTGGGTAGCCGGCGTGGGGGGTCTGGGGCTCCCCCTACCCCCTCCCGGGGAGGGGGGAGCTGCGCAGACAGCGGCGCGGCGGTGTGTGACATCACACTAGTTCGCTTGTTTTCGGTTGGGAGTTCTATCCACTAGTTCGGCTTTTGGTAGCAATTTTAACCAGAATAGGGGGTTTGTTTTGAGGCGCTTACCTTTCTGGGTGCCTATTCCGGTCGATGGCAGACATAGAATGCTTCCAACCACACGGGGGCTTCTATAGGCCATTGCTCCCCTTGCCTCTCTGAGGGGGCCCGGTTCTGGCCGTGGTCCCCAGTAGGCCTAAGAACTCCATACACATGACTGATGCCAAAGTCTGACATTAGCATATCAGCCTGGGACAGCTCCGGGAAGCCGACGGGGCTCCCCCCAGAAAATTCCTTGAAAATGTCATAAAATCACTGAAGATTTTACTTTTTATGCTTCTCCTTAAAATGGTATACTTTATCAATTGTTTAAGGTTTACCAATAATTATGTTATACTTAGAAAATTGTCACTATTAATTTAAATGGGCCTTTCATCTTTAAAGTTATCTATTATTATCCTGCATTTTTTACATCCCAACTTTTCATTAAAGATAGGTTACAAATTCTGTTGTATCTCCATCTCTGGTAAGGAATAATTTCAATGGAGATTTATCATCAGTGCCTCTTAAATTTTTCCCAGATGTATAGAGTATTATAATGCATCTCTTATACCTGCACATCAAGGTGTACAGCTTCTAGGGCTTTTGGGGAACTTTCAGAGTTATTACATTTGATCAAGTGCATGCAGGTACATGCTCAATGTTCTCTGCATATTACTGTCACTATTGTCACCAAACTTAAATGGGACTGTTATAATTCAATAATATTACAAATTAAATAGTAACAGGCTTGGCATCCAATTTTTAAATTTCTTCCTATTTTCTTTCTAGGAGTTATGACTGGTGAAGCACCCACTTGAGCAAGAGGCCAAGGCAGTAAAAAATTTGCACAGCAATGATAACGTAAACTATAGCTGCATAATAGTACTTCAAACTGTACACTTAATACACAAATTGCATAGCTGTTGATAGATTTCTAATTTAAGCAGAAATAAATCTGAAGCTTTTTCCAAAATAGGCCTTTAATTGCATTGAAATACGACATAAAAGTTATACTGTATGCCTATTTAAACTCTTTGCCATCTGCTGTATATCTGATGCCTTATTTTCTCTGGAACCACACATTTCTCAAGGATGGTGGAGTGGGGAGGGCTCGGTTATCTTTTTCCATATATTTGAGGCGTCTTCAAAAGTTAAAACTTTTGTAAAAACACCAGAAATGTTTGCCAAAAAAACCTATACATCAGAGATGGAAAGTAACTTCCGATTAAATATTAATCCTTTTTCTTTAAGACAGGATTAAATTTAAAAAGGGAAAATGGGGTTGTGCAAGAATTTAAATTGTGTTTTACTGATATGTAATTACACTTCTGTATATATATTATATATCACTATATAATTTCCTGTACACCAAATTTAGAACATACTGCATCTACTGAAATGTTTATGTAGCAAGGTATATGAATTTAGTATTACATGAAGCAATAGGGCTAATGCATCCATGAAGCAATCATTACTAGCTATTGCAGACAAGAAGCCATCACGGCTTGCTAACATTGGCCATTACATACATACACAAGTCACTACTTGCAAGCATTGTTAAGTGCTTGCAATTTTTCATGCAAGTGCATGAAAAATTAAAACTGCCTTAGCAACTAGTATAGAAGAAAAAATAATAGAAAGAGAAAGCAAAAAGAGGAACTAGTATTTGAGACAGAGCAAAATAGAGATGAGCAAACTAAAGTGGACTACTAGTTGATTCAGCAGCAAGTAAAACTAGAGCAAAATGAGACAGAAAAGAGGGGCAAAATAATAATAACCATTTGGGGGGGCATATTATAAATACTGAACATTACAATATTGAGAAAATGTATTTAAAAACACAAGTAAATATTCTCTCTCAATAATGTTTCCAACCACCTCGGTTATAGGCAAAACTGGCTGATAGTCAAATGAAATGCAGTACTTACTGGTTCAAATACGACACATTTATTAGAATACGAAGCTCCAGCAACAACACCTGCTCCACCGACCAGTCCCGCAGCCAGGTTGTCAACAATGTTACCATAAAGGTTAGGTAGAACCAGGACATCAAACTGATGTGGATTTGATACCATTTGCATAGTGCAGTTGTCAATGATCATGTTATTGAATTCAATATTTGGGTACATTGCCGCAATCTGAAAATAAAGTGTTGATTTAAATATTTCAGTTATACTGTAGGTTCTGGGTATATATATTAGTTGTAGTTTGCTAAGGGTACATAGTAACTACGGGCTGCTATGTATATATAGATTAGCTATAGACTGATATTAGCTCTGGTCTGTTATGGGTATACTGTACAGTATATTAGCTCTGTGTTGGATATATTGTACATAAAAGATGAGGACGTGTAATTAAAAGTAAAGGAGCTAAAAGGATTCAAGAAGCACATGAGCTGATTGTTGCAGAGTACATGTAGTATTTAATATAAATCCAGATATTTATATTAATGAATAAAATAATTTTTGTTGCCAAACAGTATAATTTATAAAGAAGCTTAACATACCTCTTCACATTGTCTAAGAAACAGCCCATCACCAAGTTTCATAATATTAGCTTTGTGAACAGCCGTCACCTTCTTCCGTTCATTCTTGGTGGCGTAGTCAAAGGCAAACTTAGCAATGCGTCGGCACTTATCACGGGTCATAATCTTTAAACATTCAATAACACCCTTCACACTCTCATGCTCGAGAGCAGAGTACTCTCCCTCGGTCTGCTCACGGATGACAACCATGTCTACATTCTTATGGCGAGAAGTGAGACCACTCAGTGACTTGACATGCACTACATTTGCATACAGGTCAAGATCATCTCTGCAAGGCGGCAAAATGTTAATCCTTTAGTATGAAGCTTACTTAAAAATACATTTAAATTTTTTTGCAGTCAATACCACCAATGTTATAAAATTACCTAACTTATATTTGTATATCCGTTGGCATCAGACTTGCTTTAAATATTGTGTATTATGGGAATTTCAATTAAAATTTGTTATACTGTAATACAAATTTCCATTATAATACTTAATATAGTACAGTATATTGTTAAGTGTTATTATTTCTTTTCAACTGACCATCCCTAACAAAGCATTTATTTAACTGCCATAAGAGCTTGCAATTCTCACCTTAGCTTCATATTAAGAGTCTTGAGCTCTCCACATGAGCTGTGATCAGGAGTGGCCAAAATGCCTTTCAAGCAAATTCTGTTGCGAGTAATGCTCTCCACAACTTCATCAAGGGATGCTGACCGGCCACCGTACAACTCTGTTAGATAGTGTTCCTCGAAGTCAACAGGTACACCAGCATTTTTGAAAACATCTAAAACTACCTGACATAGTTCTGGTCCAACACCATCACCCGGAATCAGTGTCGCTGTAGTGCGTCCTTCTGGCTTGCTGACTGGAGCTGGCTGTCGACAGAAGACAAAATAATTAATACTTTATATGTACAGTGTATATATATAAAAAATAGCTTCCATAATAATAAATTTATTAGGGATATAATGAGATGAATAATTTGTACACACACTTTATGTATGTATGGATGGATGTACTCACCTAGTTGTGCTTGTATGTGTGTGTATATATACACAGTATATACAATATAATGTACTGTATTATGAAATAAAGACCAATAATGTAAAACTACTTATTATGTAAATTTAAACACATATTTAATGCACTATAGCCTTATATATTTAATGTATACCCTATATGTATAACAAATATCACACTGGGAAGCCTGACGGCTGAGTGAACAACACTCGTGATTCGTAGTCCTAAGGTTCCGGGTTTGATCCCAGGCAGAGGCGGAAACAAATGTTCAGTTTCTTTCACCCTGATGTCCCTGTTTACCTAGCAGTAAATAGGTACCTGGGAGTTAGACAGCTGCTACGGGCTGCTTCCTGGAGATGTGTAACAAAAAGGAGGCCTGGTCAAGGACTGGGTCGCGGGGACGCTAAGCCCTGAAATCATCTCTAGATAACCTTTCAAGATAATCTGGCAAGATAATTTTCAACAAATTTCAAATTAATTAAGCTGCCCATCATAAAAATATATTTTTTTGTATACTGTACAGTACTTACATTCTAAATAAATAAATAAGATCCTAACAATAATCATGTGCACAAATTTTTTATTAATATTTCCATCTGGATAAATCAATAAAGATCTACTGTATTTGTATATACAGTATAATATGGCTCTTCAACATGAGAAGCTTGACTCTTTACAGTATTACTATTGTATTGTATTAAAAATGTAGAAGTCAAATCAATACTCACAACAGCTGAGGTGACAGGAGCAGCACCATGAAGACCTCGGGCCTGGCCTGCAGTCACCAGGGGCCGAAGCTGAAATTGTTTTTCAAATCATTAGTAATCAATATTTGTATTTAACTTTAAACTAAAGTGTTATACATAGTAATAAAAAAACGTTTCGATCAATTTTCAAATTGCATCAACTCTCTTTCTTGATATTTTAAATACAATATGTTGAAAAACAAAGCTGTAGAAGGCTTAGACAAGACATTAATTAAGAATAAGAATAAAGGTAAGTGCAGAAGGCCTATTGGCCCATACGAGGCCACTTACATTAACTTGCAAACTTAATAATTAATGTGTTTTCTTGGTGGGCATGAAGCCTGTAGCACAGTTCAGTTTGTTCTCGACTCACAACTGAGAGTCTGGGCTTCAAATTCCAGATGGGACAGATATGGATGAGCATATTTTTTTATCACCTAATGTTTCTGTTCACCTAGCAGTAAATAGGTACCCAGGAGTTAGTCAGCTTGTTGTGTGGGTTGCATGCGAAGCGAATTACACAATGAGCACGTTTAGGGTCCCAGTAGTACAGTCGTGTTTGTTCCCACTCACAATCAAGAATTCCTGGTTCGAATCCTGGGCGGGACAAAATAGTTGGGCGCATTTCCTCTCGCTTAATCCTCTTGTTATATAAGCAGTAAACAGGTACCCAAGAGTTAGACAGCTTGTTGTACTCACCTAGTTGTGCTAGCGGGGATTGACCTTTGGCTCTTTGGTCCCACCTCTCAACTGTTAGTCAACTGGTGTACAGATTCTGAACCATATTGGACTCTATGAAATCTACGTTTGAAACTGTGTATGGTGTCTGCCTCCACCACACCACTGCCTAATGCATTCCATCTGTTAACTACTCTGACAGTGTGTTGTGGGGTTGCATCTGGAGGGAGGGGGGAAGGGGGGGGGCAGTAATTTGACCCTGGGAGGGACCGCGATATAAGCCTAACATATACTTTATGTATATACTGGCTGCCTGTCCCCCGGCACAATAAATTATGTTCACCTTCACCCATGTCTGCATCCAAATGATAAATCTGACTATGACTTGGGTGAACAAATACACAATTTGAGTTGACTATGAACATGCCCAGATTATTGACAATTTCATTGTAGGAATACCTACCCGAGTGAGGTCCCACTGTACCAGGTACTGTAGCTGGTATAAAACATATGAGACTTCCATGTCATATTACATGCAAAAGTTTTTCAGTTTACTTCATTTCAGGGATCATGTGACTCTTTACTAATATTTTTCTCTCGGTGAAAAATGTGATTGTCTACACAGTAACTAAATATCAGCAGTGGCTGAAAAACTTAGCCTAAGGATTACCACCTCGTAATTGGTATAATTAAATAAATTCATTTTACTTTCCCTTGTATGCTTTTGTAAATACAAATCAACTGACTGGCAGTCAAATCATACATAGGTGCTTGCACGTAGTGTACTGTAGCTCACCTTTCAACTGTGAAAAACTGCATACTGTATATTGTTACGTTAGGTAGTTATTGTTGCTGTAATGGACAAAGTCAGAATAAAGTTTGAGTACTGCCAAACTGTTTCTACAGTAAAGGCTACAACCAAGAAGTCCAGGGTTCAATTCCCACAGCAGGAGAAAGACATCTGGGTATGTTTCCTTTCACACGATGCCTACATTAACCAAGCAGTAAATAGGTACCCAGGAGATAGTCAACTGTTGTGGGTAGTAGCCTGGGAAAGGGCAGCAGTTGACCAGAAAGGGGGGGGGGCCTCAAGCCTTAAAAGTTTTCTGTTCCCATAAATAATAATATTTTATTTGCAAGAAGGTACAATGGGTTGGTGAGATTAAATAAGTTTGGTATTTTTACATTCTTGCAAAGCCACTAACATGCAGAGCGTTTCGGGCAGGTCCTTAATCTAACATATCTATTTTTCTGTGCAGACAAAAGCATTTAAATCGTTTATTTTGTTTCTTAGTTCTTAGTTTTTACTGTTCGTGTGATATACCCTAAGCGACTTTTTTTTGAGGCCCTCCTCTTTCCCTGTTCATTTTGCACATGAGGAACATAAATGGGAATGGTAACCATAAAATAAATAAATAAATAATATAAATAAATATGTTTATTCAGGTAAGGTACATACATACAAGTGATGTTACATTAATGGATTGATATATAGATAGAGCTAGTACATACAATGCCTAAAGCCACTATTACGCAATGCGTTTCGGGCAAGAAAAACATTAATATCTAGAACTTAATACTAATTGAGCATAAAGAATAAAAAGTGTTGAAAACAAATACAAATAAAGATAAAAAAAAGGGGGAACATGACTGAAAAAGCAGCACAAATACAATAGGTTGACAAACAGTGTTGATTAAAAAAAAATAATAATAAAAAAATAACAGACATGGGTTGACAATAAAGGAGTGAGGTGGGTTACAGGGAATTTATTAGGTAGTGTTTAGTTTTTATCTTAAACTGGTTGAGAGAGGTACAGTCTTTAACATGGTTGGGAAGGTCATTCCACATTCTGGGTCCCTTGATTTGTAGAGCATTTCTAGTTTGATTAAGTCGTACTCTAGGAATATCAAAACTGTATTTATTTCTGGTGTGGTGCTCATGGGTTCTGTTACAACCTTCTATGAAGCTTTTGAGATCAGGATTGGCATTACAGTTCAGCGTTTTATATATGTATAATACACAAGAGAGAATGTGCAGTGACTTAATATCTAACATATTCAGAGATTTGAGTAAGGGTACCGAGTGATGTCTGGGGCCAGAGTTGGATATTGTCCTAATAGCAGCTTTGTGTTGGGTAATAAGAGGACGTAAATGATTTTGGGTAGTAGAACCCCAAGCACAAATACCATAGTTGAGGTATGGATAGATGAGGGAGTAATAGAGAGTAACCAGGGCAGGGCGGGGTACATAATATCTGATCTTAGAAAGAATGCCAACAGTTTTTGAAACTTTTTTGATACATTTAGAATGTGACCCTGGAAATTCAGCTTGTGGTCGATGAGAACGCCAAGGAATTTGCCATCTAATTTGTTACAAATTTGGGTATTGTTTATTTTGAGATTTATCTGATTAGAGGATTTATTGCCAAACAGAATATAAAACGTTTTGTCAATGTTAAGGGTGAGTTTGTTGGCAGTTAGCCAAAGATGGACTTTCTCTAGCTCAGTATTTACTGTGGCATTTAGAGCAAGGGGGTCAGGACTGGAGTAAATGAAGGTTGTGTCGTCAGCAAATAGAATTGGTTTGAGGTGTTGGGAGGCATTTGGAAGGTCATTAATGTAGATGAGAAAGAGGAGAGGGCCAAGTATGCTGCCCTGAGGAACACCAATGTTGATGGGTAGGGTGGGAGAAATTGTATTATTCACAGAAACATACTGGAGCCTGTCAGTAAGATAAGATTTGAGGTATTGCAGGGAGTGTCCTCTGACTCCATAATGATGTAATTTAAGAAGAAGGTTTTGATGGTTGACAGTGTCAAAAGCCTTACGCAGGTCCACAAATAACCCAACAGGAAACTCCTTTTTATCAAGAGCTGCGTGAATTAAGTTAATCATACTAATAAGTGCATCGTTAGTGCTTTTTTTGGGTCTGAAGCCATATTGACAAGAGCTAAGTATATTGTGTTTGGCTAGAAAAGAGTAAAGCTGCTTGTAGATTAGCTTTTCGAATATTTTTGACAAGTTAGGCAGGATTGATATAGGTCTGTAGTTGTTAACATCAGTGAGATCACCACATTTGTAGACAGGGGTTACTCTTGCTTTTTTTAGAATGTCAGGAAAGGTTTGGAGTTCAAGTGACTTGTTGAAGAGCAATGCAATAGCAGGGGCTAGAGATCTGGAGGCTTTTTTGTAAATTAAAGTTGGTATCTCCTCGAGGGCACTAGACTTAGTTTTAAGGGAAAGGATTATTTCATTGACATCAGTGGAACTAGTAGGCTTTAGGTACAGAGACTGTGGATAGTTACCTGTAAGATAGTCCTTAACATCAGTACAGGAAGATGGAATATCATTTGCAAGGGATGACCCAATGGAAGAGAAGAACCTATTGAACTCAATAGCAGAATCAGAGGCTGAAAGCTGACCAACGTTATTGGAAAGGAGTGTTGGTTTGTTATTTAAAATCTTCTTTGATCCCAATATTTGTGAAATTGTGCTCCAAGTTTTTTTAATGTTGCTCTTTATTTGGGTAAATTTATCTTCATAGTATTTAGTTTTGGCTCGTCTAATTATTTTAGATAGCAATAACGAGTAATTCTTTGAGAATTCTTTGGAGACTGTTCCTAGCCTATACTTCTTCTCAAGGTCATGTTTTTTGTTAATGGATTTAAGTATTCCCTTTGTAAGCCAAGGATTGTTAAGTCTTTTGCTTGTGACTTGTTTTGTAAGCATAGGACAGTGGGTGTTATAAAGGCTAAGAGTTGTTTGTAGAAAAGATTTCACTGCTAGGTTGATGTCCCCTATGTTACCTAACTCGGACTCCCAGTTGACATTATCAGCAGCAGTTATAAAATTGTTTATAGCAGTTTCATTGTGCAGCCTAAAGCTTAACTCCCTTGTCTCTAGAGGTGGTTTGCTAATGTTAGATAAGAGAAATGTGGGGTAATGGTCTGTAGTGCTATCGGTGATTATACCTGAAGTAAGCGGAGAGGTTATGTTGGTCCAGATGTGATCTAGAGTCGTAGCAGTACTATCAGTGATTCTAGTTGGTCTAGTGATTAAGGGTATGAGGAAGCAGGAATTCATACAGTTGAGGAAGCTAACAGCAGTAGGGTGTTCAGGCTCGCAGAGGTCAATATTAAAGTCCCCTGCGATAATTAGATGGTTTTTGTTCAATCTGTTATCTAGTATTAGATTTCTAAGGTTTGAGTTGAATTCAGACACATCAGTGTTAGGAATTCTATAGACTGCACCCACAGACAGGACAGACTCGGCACCCTTGACTCTGAAACTGGCGAAGATATACTCCCCACAGCAGTCTCTAGTTCTAATTATTTTTAAGCATGTTAGTTCTTGGTGGTAGTAAAGAGCAGTACCACCACCTCTCTGCATTTGACGACAGTTGTGAATTGCCGAGTAGTTAGGCATGTTAAAGAGTTGAGTATTATCCTCTTTCAACCACGTTTCAGTAAGTATAATAAAAGAGAATTTGTTGTCAATAGTTTCAATCAAGGCACTAACATCATCGAAGTGTTTACCTAGGGATCTAACGTTCAAGTTGATTACAGAGATATTGAGATTATCTGTTAATACATTGTTTACATCATGTGCTGTAAAATATCTGCAATTTTGATCATTGAAGTGATGATTGTCATAGATAGTGGATAAGAGGTTTAGTTCTGGGTCTATACTTGTCTGCATAAAAAGGCTGTTTGCAGGAAAACAAGGTAAGAATGGCAAATTACAAAATAGAAAACAAAGAAAAAAGTAGATTAAAAATTCTAAAGTAAAATAAACTTAATGGTAATTTTAAGTAAAAAGAAAAAAAAAAAAACTTAATGGGAACTAGGAATGTAAAAAATTAACTAAAATAATTAATAACAATAGATGACCAAAAAAGTAAAAAAAACAATTATGAAATCTATAAGATGAAAAGCTTGCTTACTATACTATTATAAGTACACTATAGTTGAATACTAAAGTTACACTAAAACAAACTGAGGTAGTTTAAATAGAGATACACTCAGGAACACTGGATAATGAAGTTAATACTAGAGGACACAGGCAAAGCCAGTGTACTATGGAACATGGGAGTAAAAAGAAAAAAAAAGACAATAATAAAGATGACAATATTATTCTTTTTATTATTTTTTTTTTTTCTCTTTTAAACTAAAGTTAAAACCTTTTGAAGGGAAAGGCAGAGCTAGAGTACACAAAGGTAGTTATATGAGATTATAATCTGAATTCAGGCTATACAGCAGCTAACCCACAGTCACTGAGGAAAGAATTAAGGTGAGCTTCTGTGGTTATTGAATAGGTTTTTCCAGTGTCAGTCCTCCTAGCTATAATTTTACCATCTCGCACAAAACAGTGTTTAATTGTAGGGGAATTTTTGCAGAAGCCACGCAGTTTAAAAAAGAGATTTTGCCTGCACCTGGTCAGACATTCATTCACATAAACAGTGGATTTACTAGCAACTGCAGATGAGATAAGATCAGTCTTGCGGGAGCAGCTATCTAATTTTAAACGAATACGCCTATTATTAGTACCAGATGATTTGGTACCCACTCTATAAGCTGCTTTGATGTCATTTTTTTGGATCGAATAATTTAACTTATCCTGCAATACTTTGATCACAATGGCAGCACAGTCTTCACCATCAGTTTCTTGGGGAAAATCACGTGAAGAGATAATTACCGATTCAAGTAGTTTATGTTGGTCTGTCTCGTCTTGGGTAACAGTGTGTTGTTGTTGAAGGTTGTTCAGATGGTTCTCAAACTGTTGCAATATTTCTTCCTGTTTTTTAGTGGTTGCATCTGGATTAAAGTTTTTAACTGTGTTCTTGAGAATGCTTAATTCTTGTTCGAGGTTGACGACTGTGGTAGATAGATCTTGATTGTTCTTGTTTAAGTCTACAACTTCATTCTGCAAAGATAATAATGAGCCTTGCAGGTTCATTATTAAGGCCGACTGCTCTTTGATTACTGTCATTTGATCTTCATGTACTTGAGTTAATAACTTGAGCCAAGGGTTATCAGCAAAGCGCTTGAAGTCAGAACAAGGGGCAGTAGCTCGTTTAAGTTGATCCATATGGCTACCTAATTGTTGCATGGCCCGTGTCAGAGACGGCGCTGCGCCCAGCTGAGATTGTTTGTTATTGTTGACGGGGGGAGAGTCGGTACCCCCCACGGCGGCCACCGAGGGGGAGATAGCTGAACTAATCATGTTGTTAGCCTGGCTAGTAGGGTTATTCTTGTTAGGTGTGCTATCTTTCTTAAGGGTCTTACCGGCCTTACTTTGCATGATAGCAGGATAAATGTAGGCAGGAACAAATAGGGAAGACTCGTTGATAGGCAGCAGTGAACGTCGGGTACAGCTTCTTAGCTCCAGGGAGCAACACTAATGTGGTCGAAATGAGAGAATTACGGGTTGGTCTTGTTGGTTTTTTCAATCACATATAGGTCACTGTGTACTTAGCTGCCTTCGGGTGATGCTACATCATTTGTTGGTAGCCGAGAGCTCAAGGAACAGCTGATAAAAGAGGAGGGAGGGCCGACAGGTGTTGTTGACGTTCGTTGACGTTCGTCTAGGAAGGTCCTAGGTCCTTGACGGTCCTTGACGGTCCTTGACGGAGGTCCTTGACGGGTCACACATCAATTTTAAAACCTTAACCAAGCCAACAACAGCGTCATGTGTGTATGTAGTGTAGTGTAGGTGTAAAAAGTTAACAAGTTTGTATAACAGTTTTGAGGGAATACTACCAAGGGTGATGAATGACCTTAGACAACCCCACCACATCACCATATCCCTCACGGTGCGGACTGCCAATCATCATTACAATTTACCTCTACGTAATACTTATTTTATCTATGACCCCTAAAATCATCCTTATCCTATCTATTTAAAAAAAATCTACGATTACACGAAGATACAAGATGATTTTTTTCCTAGAATTGAGACCTGCCATGACCATGTGATCATGCAGGTCTGAGGAATATCATATGCTATTACTTAATTTGTAGACAAATTATACTATAATATATTGAACCTCAGAAGCTACTTGAAGGTGTGTGTTACATATATATAAAGATAATCTTACCACAGTAAACCTAGAGAGAGCCTGCCTGCTGAAGTAAGCCATTGCTTCGTCTGCGACGGGATGCTGGTAGCGAACTCATAAATTATTTAACAATACTATATTTACATGAGACAACAATGGGTGTTTTGTTTTCTCCAGCAAAATAGTTATCTAATCATTTAAGTTATTTGATTTTATACATGTCACAATATATTAAATGTGATGGGAGTCGAAAAGAAGCGAGTTAAAACAATATATATCCCGCTGCCCCTGGCCAGAGCAGACCACATGCCGACCCGGCCAAATATGAATTGCTTGCCTTCAAGAACATCAATGGAACTCATTAGTTCAAGTCCATTTATTAAACAACTCAATACCCATCCTGTAAGTGAGGTGGAAAGTTTACTGGGGCACATAATGAACTCAAGAACTAAACCCCAATATTCGTTTAGCTAAACAAGTTACAGCTTAATTAAGGAGAAAGGTCCTTAATTTATATTTAGTTATTTATATATAAAATATATACAAGTAGGTACATTGGATTTATGAGAGTACATAGCATTGGTGACTTTACATTCTTGTAAAGCCACTAGCACGCATAGTGCTACTGTACTGTAATACTGTATTGATACTGTAAACCATAACTACCTCTTACTTAAACTTCACCATTATGGAATCCAAGGCCTTGCCCTAAACTATATTCGATCTTATCTTAGTGACAGATACCAATATGTATATGGGGGGGGTTGAAATAGCCTAAGCTACTCTATCTCTTTGAGATGTATTTCTTTCTTGTCTCAATAAACATACTTGAACTTGAACATGTAGCCATCAAGGATACTTTCCTATTGTAAGAATAGGTTATATTCTATTATAGGAATAGAGCAAAACTTTCCTATTATGAGAATAGATTCAATGAAGCAAAAGGCAACATAAAAAGCACATGGAAAGCCATCTCTAACATCCTAGGATCTAAATAACAATCACATAACCAGATACAACTCTCCAAGGATGGTTATACACCTGCAACAGATTTAGAAACGGCAAATGAATTTAATAGCTTCTTTTCATCGGTTGGTGCTAACCTTGCCAGAAAAATCCCACAGACCCAGACACATGTTACCATATATCTTACAGACAGCTATCAAACCTCTCTTCTCCTTTTACCAGTCAGCCCGACAGTTGTTATATCATCATTCACTCACTAAAAACCAAAGCTGGGAACATTAGTGAAATACTATCTATGGTATACAAGCGTGCCTCCCATACCCTTAATTGCATCACCCATAGCTCTGCTGTTCAACACATCTCTAGTGTCAAACCTTCCCTGATATCCTTACAAGCACGAGTAACGCCAGTTCATACAGGGGGCAATATGGCAGACATACTTGAATCCCTTGGAACCCCTTGGAACCCCTTGGTTCCAAGGGGTTGTCATAGCCAGGGGGTGGTAATGGGGGACGAGCTCCCATGACCTATAAAATGCTCCTATACGGCATGCGTCTCAAATAGCCTCTGACAACCAAGTCCAACTCCTGGCCTGCACGGGTGGCTGAGTTTTTAAGTCCGGCGGAACTGCTTTTACCGACAGGAGAAGGGGCGAGGGCGTGCCTCTGGCGCCTTAAAACCAGCTGCTCCGGGTAGATGGGACTCGATAGCCTGGGAAGGCAGCCCATCTAGGGGAAGGAAAACCCTGATTTTAAACCTCCGCTGCCTTGCGGCCATACCCCTTTTTTGGGAAAGGCTTCAGGAGTCAACCTCGAGGAAAAATCCGGAGTTGGAGCCCCTAAGGCAGTTCGTTGTTGATGTCGACCTCGTTCTGGCAGCTCCTGCGACGTTGTTGGAACCATGTGTATTGACATTTGCCTTTCTATTGGATAATTTCAGCAACGTGGAGAGGGGGGACCTGCTGCATGGGTAACAGCTTCTCCTCCATATCTACCTACCCAGGCTTTGCGCCCTGTCAGGACACAACTCCATAGTCTTAGACTGAAGGATGCCTACTATGGCAGACATAAACAATTACAGATCAATATCAAATCTACCTATATTTTCAAAAATATTTGAAAAATTATTTACAAACAACTACTCCTACCTCGTAAAATTCTACATACTAAGTCCCTGTCAGTTTGGCTTCCGCTCCCAAAAGGGTACCAACGATGCAATTTTTAGTCTGCTTGATATAATCTACTCAGCCCTTGACAAAAATTAGGTCTCGATTGGACTCTTCATTGACCTGAGAAGGGCATATGATACTGTTAACCATCAATACTCTTCACTTAAACTCCAACATTATGGAATCCGAGGCCTTGCCCTGAACTATATTCGATCCTATAATTTAATGGTAGAATGGTAGAATATAATTCGATCCTAAGAATTTAAAACAAAAGGATCAATGCATAAATGTTCGTAATAAGGCAAATCGGACACTTGGATTTATTAATCGCAGCGTTAGTAACAAGACACCTGGTGTGGTTCTCAAGCTATATCTTGCTCTAGTTAGGCCCCATTTAGATTATGCAGTTCAGTTTTGGTCGCCATATTATAGAATGGATATAAATTCACTTGAACGTGTCCAGCGTAGGATGACTAAGTTAATTCCCCAAATTAGAAATCTTTCATATGAAGAAAGATTAACAAAGCTTAAGTTGCATTCACTGGAAAGGCGAAGAGTTAGGGGTGACATGATAGAGGTTTACAAGTTTGCAGTCTCCGTGGTGTAGTGGTAAGACACTCGCCTGGCGTTCCGCGAGCGCTATGTCATGGGTTCGTATCCTGGCCGGGGAGGATTTACTGGGCGCAATTCCTTAACTGTAGCCTCTGTTTAACGCAACAGTAAAATGTGTACATGGATGAAAAAACGATTCTTCGCGGCAGGGGATCGTATTCCAGGGACCATAGGATTAAGGACTTGCCCGAAACGTTACGCGTACTAGTGGCTGTACAAGAATGTAACAACTCTTGTATATATCTCAAAAAAAAAAAAAAAAAAAAAAAAAAAGTGGATGAATGGACATAACCGGGGGGATATTAATAGGGTATTAAAAGTATCAACACAGGACAGAACACGAAACAATGGGTATAAATTGGATAAGTTTAGATTTAGGAAAGACTTGGGTAAATACTGGTTCAGTAACAGGGTTGTTGATTTGTGGAACCAATTGCCGCGTAACATTGTGGAGGTGGGGTCCCTCGATTGTTTCAAGCACGGGTTGGACAAGTATATGAGTGGGATTGGGTGGTTATAGAATAGGAGCTGCCTCGTATGGGCCAATAGGCCTTCTGCAGTTACCTTTGTTCTTATGTTCTTATGTTCTATCTTAGTGACAGACACCAATATGTAGCAATCAATGATATAACCTCTCCCACTCTACCATTAACCGTACGTAGGAGTGCCACAAGGCAGCATCAGACCTCTCTAGAACCTCTTCTATTTTTTATAAACATCAATGATCTACCTAATGTCTTTAACATTCTTAAACCTATGTTATTTGCTGACGATACTATCCTCATCTACTCAGATCCCAACCCACACACACATTAAATAATGCTGTAAATAATGAATTAAAAAAAAGCCCACTTATGGATGTCAACGAACAAACTCACACCAAACATAGAAAAGATCTACTATGGTAGAGCAGTGGCAGTTTTTGCTAGTGAGTCTGCCTTTTCATTACCATCTATGCCAATGTGACTTGGTATCCAATTTAGGGTGATTGACAGCCCTAGATTATGGCTTCTTTTCCAATATTCTTTTCCTATATGTTGGATTTCTGTGAGGAGTTGTTATATTATCATAGCAATATGGAAGTTGTAGTGAAGGACCTGGTGACTCTAGTGGGAGCCCTGAGGACAGAGTTGGACTCTCTGCGGGAGGAGGTGCGTCAGCTTAAAAAACAACGAGAAGTAACGAAGGAGGAGACCAGCAGTAAAGGGACCTCGTCTTGGAGAGTTGCGAAAGACAGGGGCCTTAAGAAGACTTTGATAAAGCCGCCTTCAAACGCCATAGCAACTTCAAATTCATTTGACGTTTTGGAGGACGAGTGCTGTGGAGAGACTGTGGATCGCGCAAAAGGGAAAGCAACGAAGAGAAAGGAAGCGCAGGCCCCTCAGAAAGTAAAGGAAGTACCTAAGCAAACATTAGTTGTGGGAGATTCCCAGATAAGGTATTTGGATAGAACGTTTTGTGCTAGAGATAGGGGGAACAGGTTAAGGGTTTGCTATCCCGGAGCTGGCATTGGTGATATTATAAACAACATGAATGATATTATGGCTGGTAATGGGAACAATCCCATTATTTGCATTAGCGTGGGAGGAAATGATGTTGGTCGAGTCAGGAGTGAGGAACTGATTCAGAGGTATAAAACAGCCATAGAGTTAGTTAGGAGCAAGGGAGGAATCCCGATCATATGTGGCATTCTTCCAAGAAAGGGAGTGGGAAATGAATGGATATCGAGGGCACTTGGTGTCAATTGCCGGCTGGAAAGATATTGCAAATCAAATGCAATACCTTTCATAGACAACTGGGAACACTTCTATGGAAGAAATGAAATGTATGCTCGTGATGGGGTGCATCTATCGAGAGCTGGGGTTGTTGCTGTTGCGAACTCGCTAGAAGAAGTGGTCAGAGGTGTTTGTTTGGGTTTAAACTGTTAGTAGATAGAGGTATGGGAATTGATTTGGAGGAAGGAGGTAATAAAAGTATGTGTTTGTGGGAGAAAGGAATTGGCAAAACGATCAGGGAAAGAGAAGGTCCGCAAAATAACAATTCACTTAGGGTATATTTCACTAACAGTAGAAGTCTAAGAAATAAAATTAACGAATTAAATGCTCTTGTCTGCACAGAAAAAATAGATATTATTGCACTTACCGAAACGTGGATGAATGTAGAAAATAGAGAACTATTAGCTGAATATCAAATATATGGATTTAAACTATTTCACACAGATAGATATATTAGACGAGGAGGTGGAGTAGCCATATATGTTAGGGACAATTTGAAATGTAGTCTCAAAGAGGGAATCAAAACAGAGCCACACACAGAAACTATTTGGATTGAATTAAACGAAAAAGCTAATAATATTATAATAGGAGTAATATATAGGCCACCAAATTTAGACAGAATGGAAGCAAAGCATCTATGGGATGAAATATCTAGAGCATCTAGATCTAACAGTATTTATGTCATGGGTGACTTTAATTTTAGCGGAATAAACTGGTTGAACAAAACAGGGAATAGTGAAGCAGAAGATTTTCTAGAATTAATTGACGATTGCTTTCTTACGCAACACATTAAGGAACCAACACGGGAAAATAATATTTTAGATTTAGTGTTAACTAACAGGGAAACGCAAATTAATGACATCGAAATAGGGAGTGAGCTAGGGAGCAGTGATCACAAAGAAATCAGATTTAGCATAGAATGGAATAGACCAGTAGGAGAAAATTCTGTTAAAGTGCCAGATTTTCGAAAAGCTGATTTTAATAGCCTAAGAAATTTTTTGGGTCAAATTGATTGGAAAGGCTTGGGTATGGGGTGTGGGCCGGTCTTGGAGCGAGACATGAACCCAGCGATAGGTGACTTAAATGGGGATTTCGATGTGGATTCAATATATAACTTATTTAAGAATATTCTAAACAAAGCACAGGAACGTAGTATACCATACAAATTGAATAGATCGTATACTAATGACCCAAAGTGGATAACAAAGAATTTGAAGAACCTTATAGGTAAAAAGAGAGCTTGGTACAAAAGGATTAAAAATGGGGAGGTCACTTTAGAACAGGAATTCGTACAACTGGTTAGAAATGTTAAAAAAGAGATAAGGAAAGCAAAAAGAAACTATGAAGTTCGCATAGCAGGGCAAGCAAAGACAAATCCTAAAGGGTTTTTTCAGTTATATCGTACTAAGACTAGGGAAAGGATAGGTCCATTAAAAACTGAGACAGGTCAAATAACAGATAGTGATGAAGAGATGAGTAGTATTTTTAATAAATATTTTGTATCTGTATTTACTAAAGAGGAACTTAACAATATGCCTTCAGCCGAACAAGTCTATGTGGGTGGGGACGAGGACAGGTTGACGAGTTTAGCAGTTACCAGGGAGGATGTTCTTAAACAAATAGTAAAACTCAAACCAAACAAATCCCCAGGGCCGGATGAAGTGTTTGCTAGGGTGCTTAAAGAATGCAAAGAGGAGCTTTGTGACCCACTGTCAACCATATTTAATAAATCAATAGAGTCAGGCAGAGTGCCAGAGTTTTGGAAAGTTGCTAATGTGATACCAGTTTTTAAGAAAGGAGATAGATCACTTGCGTCTAACTATCGACCAATTAGCCTAACGTCTATTGTGGGAAAGTTACTCGAATCTATAATAGCAAATAAAATTCGTCTTCATCTTGAAAAACATAAATTAATAATTGAGTCGCAACATGGTTTTATAAATGGCCGTTCATGTTTAACAAATTTGTTATCTTTTTATTCTAGCATTGTTGAGGCAGTTGATAGTGGTAAGGATTGCGATGTTGTATACCTTGACTTTAGCAAAGCTTTTGATACAGTGCCACATGAAAGACTGATTAAAAAAATAGAGTCTCATGGTATTGGGGGTGCTATATTAAGCTGGATTAGGGCATGGCTATACCAAAGGAAACAGAGAGTTAGTATAAATGGAATCAAGTCAGAGTGGGAAAATGTTGTAAGTGGAGTGCCTCAAGGCTCTGTCCTGGGACCTCTGTTGTTTATAATATATATAAATGATTTAGATTCAGGTTTGAGTAGCAACATTTGCAAATTTGCCGATGATACGAAAATCGGTAGGGAAATTAATTCGGAGGAGGACTCACTATCACTTCAAGTTGATCTAGATAGGGTTTTGAAATGGTCAAAGGATTGGCAGATGCAGTTTAATGCTGATAAATGTAAAGTTCTGAGGTTAGGTAATGATGATAGAGTTACAAGATACGAGCTAGATGGTGTTGTGATTGCGAAGTCGGATTGCGAAAGGGATCTGGGAGTTATGATTAGTAAGAATTTAAAACAAAAGGATCAATGCATAAATGTTCGTAATAAGGCAAATCGGACACTTGGATTTATTAATCGCAGCGTTAGTAACAAGACACCTGGTGTGGTTCTCAAGCTATATCTTGCTCTAGTTAGGCCCCATTTAGATTATGCAGTTCAGTTTTGGTCGCCATATTATAGAATGGATATAAATTCACTTGAACGTGTCCAGCGTAGGATGACTAAGTTAATTCCCCAAATTAGAAATCTTTCATATGAAGAAAGATTAACAAAGCTTAAGTTGCATTCACTGGAAAGGCGAAGAGTTAGGGGTGACATGATAGAGGTTTACAAGTGGATGAATGGACATAACCGGGGGGATATTAATAGGGTATTAAAAGTATCAACACAGGACAGAACACGAAACAATGGATATAAATTGGATAAGTTTAGATTTAGGAAAGACTTGGGTAAATACTGGTTCAGTAACAGGGTTGTTGATTTGTGGAACCAATTGCCGCGTAACATTGTGGAGGTGGGGTCCCTCGATTGTTTCAAGCACGAGTTGGACAAGTATATGAGTAGGATTGGGTGGTTATAGAATAGGAGCTGCCTCGTATGGGCCAATAGGCCTTCTGCAGTTACCTTTGTTCTTATGTTCTTATGTTCTTATGTATATTATCTCTGTGCTGACTGGATAACAATGCCTGAAGCGAAAATTTAGAGTCGGTATGAATGATGACATCATGTAAATTATTCTCAATTGTATAATTTATGGCCTCCTTCAGGGCATATAATTTGGTTTGCAATGTTGAGCACCCACTATTCATGCTTCAGTAAGCTTCATGGTTGTTAGTGTAAACTGCTGCCCCAGCAGAACCTCTTTCTTGATTAACTGATCCGTCTGTGAAGATGTGAGTCGTTGTAGGTCTTGAGATGGTTTCCATTTGTTGTTCTATGACTGCTTTGAACCTCTGCGAGTCACATGCTGATTTTTTAACTGGTATTCCTTCAATTATTATCTTTAGATTCGATTCTTCCAATGGAGGAGGCTGCCGAAAGTGCTGATATGGTCTATCTTCCCCCTTTCTTTTTAATGGTCCATAGTGCTACCCAATCCCCCAATATATGTACCTAAGCCATACAACTTTACCATTGTAATCATTGCTATCATCTTATATCATGGTTGTTATATTGAACGCATGTTTTACTGCATTATACCTTGAAATAATCCTCAAAATATACTACAATTTGACGAAGACTAATCTTCGTCAAATTTTCTTATAATGTACCTGTTAACATTTTTTTCAAATTTTCTAGAAATAACCTACTTAAAATTATCTGTTAGATTAAGGACCTGCCCGAAACTCTATGCGCGTTAGTGGCTTTACAAGAATGTAAAAACATCAATGCTATGTACTCTCATAAACCCAATGTACCTTCTTGTATATATATATAAATAAATACATACATAAGTCAATCAATCAATCGACTGAAACTATGTTGTTTGTTTGAGGGTGACGTAACAGGAGAGAGTTGCGTGAGACGTAGTGGTAAGTGACTAAGTGTGGTCAGTGTACTGGTGAGAGTCGTGGGTGGTGCTGCTGCTGCGTCCCTCTTCCCTCCTCCCTTGCCTGGGCTTCACGGTTTACACCATTGTGCTTCACCAAGTAAGATCTTCGCTATATAATTGTCTTGTTGAGTGATTTGGAAGTATTATGATTGATGTGTACAGTCTAGGGGGCACCGTTGTTACAAATAACAACAGACGAGGGAGCTAGATTGTCTTGAATTCTTATAGGGCCGGGGGCACAGTGCCCCTGTCAGTGGTCCACACACTGGGCACTGTGGTTAGAGGTGCTAGAAAGGCTTGTTAAAGTAAGGTGTAGATGTTTACTGGTCATTCCTGGCCGGGTTGTGTTGTGGGGTGGTTGGGTCGTTCGAAGGCGGTTCCAGAAGGCTCTTAATTGTTCAAACTGTGTCGTAATGTGAACTTTCTAAGTCGTTATAAATCTGTAGAATAATAAACCCCACATTGTTGAATTGGGGAAAATATCATTTGTCAAATATAAATACTGTTATTAAAAAGATTTCCCCCATTTTGCATCCGCAAGATAAAGTACTTAGCTTCGGGACCTGCCCCAAACGCTATGGTGCTATAGTGGCTTTACAAGAATAAAATCATCATTACTATGTACTCTCTTAACCTCCAATGTACCTTCTTGTATATATATACAAGTAAATAAATAAAAAAATAAACTTGAGGGTTGACAAATGTTAATCTTGTTTGATAAGCTGTTCACACTTGGGACAGTTAGGCAAGTCCCAGCTGTGTCTGGGTACAAGTGACAGGATGAACAACCCAGCGGGTTTTCTTCCTATTGGGGAGTGTTGTACATGCTCCTATGGCGGTGTGTCCACTCACAGGATGAGTGGCGCTGCCCAATACTGTCACTATGGTGGTGTCCACTCACAGGATGAGTGGTGCTGCCCAATACTGTCACTATGGTGGTGTCCACTCACAGGATGAGTGGCGCTGCCCAATACTGTCACTATGGCGGTGTGTCCACTCACAGGATGAGTGGCGCTGCCCAATACTGTCACTATGGTGGTGTCCACTCACAGGATGAGTGGCGCTGCCCAATACTGTCACTATGGCGGTGTGTCCACTCACAGGATGAGTGGCGCTGCCCAATACTGTCACTATGGCGGTGTGTCCACTCACAGGATGAGTGGCGCTGCCCAATACTGTCACTATGGCGGTGTGTCCACTCACAGGATGAGTGGCGCTGCCCAATACTGTCACTATGGCGGTGTCCACTCACAGGATGTGGCACTGCCCAATAAACTCGCCCCTCAGGGCAAAATTAAATTAAATGGGTAGACAACCTACTGCATGGGATGGAAAATTAAAGGGTTACTTTGAATGAATAATGCACTTGCTGGTATAAGGGAAATAGATCAGGCCTTTCTTTCAAATGAAAATGGGGTGGGGTAGAACGAAGAATTTTGGGGTATTTACAGTAATGTAGCCAATAAAGGTTACATAATCTGCAATAATTGTGACATGGATTGGTACTTAAAATGTTTTTGACAAGTACATTTCAATTATTTTTAATTTCAGAATTTCGAAAATGTTTGTTGCAAGATTATCAACAGTGGGCACCACTTGTGCCAGGGGATTCTTGCAGTCCTCTAGGGTGGCAACACTGAAGTCTCCATGTACTCCATTAACAAGAGGATACAGAGAGGCTGGACGAGGTTTCACTCGAAGGTCTCGAGTTAAAGAAGTGCAAGCACAGACCATAGAAGTATCCAAAAGTATCAAAGGGAAGATTGGACGTAAGTGATGTTTTGTTTATACGTGTTAAAATCTTTCAGTACTATCATAGAACAGCACACATGCACAAAATAATTATCTTTATATTTTATGGAAAGTAATAAGCTACATGTATGGTAAATACAAAGTAATGCATTTTTCATATCCTTACATATAAGATTTAAATTATCCTTTTTATTCATCATGCCTGAATTAAATAGAAACTTAACCTTTTTCCATCAGCAGACAGCTTAGCTGTGAGTCTGGCCTCGCATGCACTCCAATTATTATTCCCAGTATTGTCTTCAAACTTTTTCAATAATTGTCATTTTATAATAATCTTTGTGTACTGTATGCTCTTGCCCTCAGACCAGCTCTAAAGTTTTGATTCATACCCAGACAAACTTGAAGGAAATGATAAAATTTTCTCGTGCTCCTTCCATCAACTCGACATGTATTATTCTATAATATTTCCTTGGAAACCTTATGGGCCAATGATGATCCTAGTAGTATAGTCGGGTTCGTTCTCGACTTTCAATCGAGAATTCCGGGTTCAAATCCTGGGTGGAATAGAAATAGAAATTTCCTAGTGCCTAATTCTGCTGTTCACCAAGCAGCAAGTGGGTACCCAAGAGTTGTTCAGCTTGTTGTGGGGTTACATCCTGGGGGAGGGGGACCTCTACACAAGCCTAACATGCATAATAATTAATAATTATAATAATCATTGTTGGGACAGGCAGCCAGCCAGTGTATACAGTATTCATACATGTTAGGCTTATATTGCGTCCCCCCCCTCCCTCCACTCTCCGAGGTCAAATTATTGACCCTTCCAGAAGCTTACTCGTGGGTACCTACTTGCTAAGTGAACAGGTGATAAGAAATCACCCAACCATTTCTGTAACGCCCGGGATTTGAACCTGGAATTCTAAATTGTGTGTCAAGAACGAACCCGACCGTACTACCAGGACCACTGACTTTAATAGGGAAACCATTGATAAATGTAAAAATATGGGATATAAATGACTACAGAGCACAAATTCATAAATATATTGGAGAAATGACAGCAGTCGACTTGCAACCCTTTCTCTGTTGTAGAAGATAAAGGTTTAAAAGACTTGTGAACCACTGTATATTTGGCCAAATTCTAAAATTCGTTCCAGAAAGTTGCACCATCTTATTCTCAAGAGTAGTGCTTGTGTGTAGACACCTTGATTATACAAATTGGAAATTGGTGCCATGTCAAACAAATAGTGTGGTAGGATATTGTAAATGCATTGCTTGCATTTTAGCATTTTTGGGGGAGACCTGTGATCTTTAGTTTCATTTTGACTTACGCCTCTCCATTGTGTGATTAGGAGAGCTATAGAGCCATGTTAGATAGTAATGAACCGACTCAACACACTGGAGAAAGGGCCGAGATACTGCATAAGATTTGTAGATGTCAATTTCACTATTACAGTACAGTACTGTATATATATATCATCTTTTTGGCATAGCACTTCTCCAAATGAAATTTCTTGGAATTTTAGTACACTAAATTGCATTTGAGTGAGCATTATATAGTTATTTCACATGATGGCAATGTATCCAGAGGCTATCTTTACCCTCTAATCATGCAGTCTTAACATTTACTGCTTTATAATTTATGGCAGGCTATTTAGATGTGAAGTCCATGACTTGGTAAATTTAATTTGAATAGTGAAATTAAATGGCTATAAACATGCAGGAAAGCTTACTCATGGACATGAATTGTCAGATTTTGCCTGTATGTAGGTCATACATGAATTGCTTAAAGTATTTTCCAGCACTTTACAACATAAACTAAAGTATTTTTGCATGTTTAAAATGCAAAGAAATGTTAAATATATTCTTCCTGATTTATGAAGAAAAGAATACCATAATTGTTGTAAATGGACAAATTAAAGGTAATTATTGTTCATTGTTTCAACTTTCAGCAATGGAGGTAGGACAAATTGCTGTTGCTGGAGGAGCTGTAGTGGGGCTGGGTGCATTGTGTTATTATGGGCTTGGCATGTCCAATGAACCTGGAGCCATCGACCGAATGGTGTAAGTTAAAAATTATCCTTCCTGTTATTGGAGTGTGGGTAGCTATTTGAAGGTACAGTACTTACTGTAATTGCATAAATATTCTGGTCAGCCTCTAGACATTTTGCCTGAATCTGTATATTGTTAAGTTTAACATATGTCAACAGGTACTGAATATTCAGTATTGCTCTTCTTTTGAAATGTACAGTACTGTACTCTAAAATATTTCTCCACTGAAGTGAACTGCTTATATCAGAATATTAGTGTAGGAACTTGTAGTGTAAAAATACTTCCAAAGGAGTTTAAATCCCACAGGTGTAGTATTAGAAGTAAAATTGAATTTCCCACAGGGGGTGGCCCTTCAAATTAATAGTAGTTTTATAAAAAAAATTCCCACAACATGCTGCCAGGTGTTTGGTTGTAGTTGCAGAAATGTTAAGATGCTAAACTTAGGACAGTTGTACAATAATCATGTACTACATTCTTAGACATCAGATTTCTTGAGCCCTTTGAGGTTATTTCACTGTTAAAATTATTCATTATGCATCATCACTTGCACAGCACTTAAATGTCACGAGCCAATGTTTTTAGTACAGTTCTCATTAACCTTGCTACCTGGTTTTAAAAAACTTCAACAATACATCTTCTGTTGGCATCACTTCTAATACTAAAGCCATTACTGATTGGAGGTTACCTCCAACCCTGGCAAACAGTTTGTCAACCACTGCCGATTACCATGTCACTCTTGGCGCTCTTCATGATTGGAGCAAGGGTGATGGTTCCATGGTATTTCAGCCAGGCTTCCAACACTAGTGAATTCTTCCCTCGTAAAGGAGTTTTGAAAAACCAGTCACCTGTCAAAATCTCTTGCTCATCAGCCACCATGAGAGGTCCAAGCAAGGGGCTACCTTGTGGGGACTTCAGGCATAGGGAAGCAGTTTTCCCGAACAAAATGGATTCTTCCATTGCCAAAAGGGAACTTCCTGATTAGCCATTTGAAGCCTTGCCTTTCTCAGTTGGTCAGTTATTATTTTTTTTGAAGCTCTATCGTCCCTGATGTCACGGCTTCGGAAACACACACTTTACGTTACTCAAGCCTTCACTATTGACTCCTCGCATAACTACAGTACTGTATATATATACACACACACACACACTGTATTTGTCCACCAATAATTCTGCACAACTGTAATGACTCTTGAAACAAAACATTTTGCTACATAGCCTTAGAGGTTAAATCATGTTATCTGACAATTAAACAGTGTACCAGTATTTAGTTTTTTGAATGCCTTTAAATTTGGCAAAGTCTCTAAATTGTTTTAAGAATTATATTGTCTGTCAATAACTTATAAAAAAAAATTCATTTGATAGTTATGCCATCCTGTGACTATCTTTCTTGGTCACTCATGTGCTATCAAACAGTTAGCAAAAATTTAAGTTCTGTAATAAGTAAATCAAATTATATTGGTTTGAGAACTTTCACAGCAGATGCAGTAGAGCACACTTTTCTGGAGAAAAGTATAATTATTACATTAAAAAAAATATAGATTGGCATGTTACTGTATTAAGTAATTGGGTGTTGTCTGAAAATGCATCTTTCCAAATGTTTTTTCAGAGTATGGCCACAGTATGTACGTGATCGTATTCGTGATACCTACTCCTACTTTGGGGCTTCATGTGTTGCTACTGCAGCATCTGCAGTGGCAGTCTTTCGTTCACCCCTTGGACATCGTTTCTTTGCCCTGTGTTCCCGACATCCTATTTTGGTATGTACAGTACTGGTATTTTGCAAAGCAATTTTAAGTTATCAAATGTCATTCTATTCTAATGATAAAACCCCAATTGTTCTATAACAATATTGATATAAAGGAAGTATATTATATAGTGGCTCATTAGTCAGTATCCCCTTGTTAAAAAAGTGGGTACTCTGTTTAAACGCTTGGACCTCAAAATAATTGACTAGAAAACACAGATAAATTTACACTTGGAACCTCCTAGTGGGATGTTACAATAATGGTATTTTACTTAACCTAATATAGTAAAGACTAAGAAGAAAATGAAAGAGGTAAAAAGAGAGCCCCACAACTTTGTCTGACCAGCCCCTAGTGTAGTTAGACTAAATTTTCCCGTGCAGCTTGCTGCCTGTGTGAACAACTGATGGTACAGTAATGATTACTTACCCTCCAATCCAATATTAAATTGCCACTATGCAGTTCAAAGTATAACATCCTAGCTTTACAATACATTAATGGAATATTAAGTGGAGAGCATCTAAAATGCTCTTACGTTTATCAAGGAAATGATCAACCGCCATTGCAAAATGAAGAATAGTTCTCTTGTATATAAAACTGCCAGAGATTTCATGCCTTCATAAACCCAAACCTATCTAAAAACTTCTATAATTTAACTAACCAAAATCTCCCACACAATCCAAAACATTCAGGATCAATCACTAAATACGGTGTACTGTACTTATGAATGGTCCCTATTACATGTATAAACAAGTGCTATGATCCCGAGTTCCTTTGCAGTGTGCCAATCTTAGACCCAGGGTTGTAACACTCTTAAAGAATAATTAAATTGCAAAAGACAAAAGGAAATGGTTTGTAATTCCAAAGAAAATGGGAGTTCAAAACTAAGGCTGTCCGTGTGAAATGGATAATTTCTGTACAAGACTGCAATTTTAAGAATGTGAGGCTATATTGACATATAGAATATGAAACAAGAATTGTACTGAATAGTGCAGACTTGGTACATAACTTGCAAAAATCACGGTGCAAAAACATAATGGGGTGGGGGAGAGAATCAGTAATAAAAATGATGGCAAGTTTCTTGGCCTATTCCTAGACAAGAGACTCAACTTCAGCACCCACATTCAACACATAACTAAGAAAGTCTCTAAGACAGTTGGTATACTCTCCAAAATCAGATATTATGTTCCTAACTCTGCTCTCCTCTCACTATATTATGCACTAATCTACCCCTATCTTAATTATGGTATCTGTGCATGGGGGTCTACCACTGCAAACCACCTTAAGCCCATCATCACACAGCAAAAATCTGCTATCAGAATAATAACTAACTCTGCTTTCAGACAACACTCAGCTCCCTTGTTTAAATCTCTAAACTTGCTAAATATTAACTCCCTCCACACATTCTCTTGTGTCAACTACATTTACAAAACCCTGTTCTTAAATGTAAACCATGCTCTGAAACTCTCCCTGGACAGATGTAATAGGACCCATTATCACCACACCAGAAATAAATATCTCTTTGATATCCCCAGGGTCAAACTTAATCTGTGTAAACACTCTATGCAAATTAAGGGACCTAGTCTATGGAACTCACTCCCTAGTGAATTGAAAAACTGTAAAACTTTTGCCTTATTTAAAAGCAAAACCAAAAAGTACCTAACTTCATCTATTTAGTTTCCTACACTGAGCTTTAATTTGCTCTGTACCTAGTGGTACCCAATCTCCTAATTTTTATGTAATATCAAACAACCTTATCATTGTGTTCATTGCTGTCTTCTTTTATGTGCTAGCCATATGCTGTATTGTGACTACCAATTTTTGTCAACTACCATTCAAGCTGTCATTGCAATCAATCTTATATTGTTTCTGCTGTATTGTGCCTACCAATTTGTTGTCAACTACCATTTTAAGCTGTCATTGCAATCAATCATAGCTACCTATGTGCTTTAATATACTGTACCTATAATTTTCTCTCATCTATTTTTTTTTTCATTTCATGTAATCTGTTATCATTTTTTTGTCTATAAATTTTGCAAGTATTTACCTCCTTAAAATTTTCTTAGATTAAGGACCTGCCCGAAACGCTGCGCGTGCTAGTGGCTTTACAAGACTGTAATTACCATAATTGTATCCTCACATTCCTTATGTACATTCTTGTATATGCATAAATAAAATAAAAATAAAAATAAAATAATCAAGAGGAGAACTTGATGTAATGTGGCAGGGGGAAAATAAAGTAGTGGCTCGTAGATGGAATGGGTAAAATGTAGTGTCTGTGGATAAGAGGAATATTTTGGGGGTGGAATAATGTAAGATTTTTTTGGGTAAGAATATAGTTTGGTCTCATTTCTGAGAATGATTAATCAGTTGAAATGATTTGTGCAAAATGTTGTGGCATTTTTGAATAAGAGTTTTGTTCTATATTTGAAAAGTTTTCAATCTCTCTAGTTTTATACTTTACAATAAAGTACACGTGAAGGAGCTTTACCGATTGCTACTTTAGTGATGTTTTGAAGAATTTTATTGTAAGGTTACATATTAGGCATTTTTTTTGTTTAACTGTAGGCATCTATTTTGTTGGTTTCACTTTGTAAACAGAGCTAAATTTTAGTCTTTATCACACTACCTCACTGTTTTATAAACCCGGTTAGCCAAGTATGTTCAACTACTAAAAAATGCTTACAAGTGTTAGGAGCCAAAGGTCTAAGGAATTTGTTTATATGTAAATATTTTATTAAAAAGTGATTTCAGGTTACAGTAGATTTATTGCAAAGGAGTTTCTTCCCATCATAGTAGTTATAAATTGAGCACTGGGAAAAAATTGTATGCTTAAATTCCTCGTCTGTATTTAACATTTTTATATACTGTAGAGTATAATAAGGAATCTTAAATAAGCTAATTATGTGCATTTCTTGCAGTCGACTATTGGAATTCTTGTAGGAATAGTAGGAACAGGACAGGCAATGATGGTCATCCCATATTCCCCTGGAGTGGGAACCAAACAGATGATGTGGCTCGTCAACTGTGCCATGCTGGGCCTTGCTGTGGCTCCCATTGGTGCCCTGGGAGGTGCTATTGCCATCAGAGCAGCATGGTACACTGCAGGTATTTACCACATAAGTGTTTTAAAGGGTTATCATGCAAGTTAATTGTCAATGAATATTACTGTCTCACATACTTGAAGGTACATGAAGCCATTTAACAGTCTGTTAGAACCAGAGTTGTTGCTGCATGTATTTGTCTTCAATGTTGTGTACAGTATACGTAAATAGCTCTGACGGGCATTGTCATGTAAATTAGCTTGAAGTTACTGAATTAGCAAATGAGGAACAGTATATGCATCACTTGACCAATTGCTGCTGCCCTGCTGACTCTAGCAAATCTGGTATCAAAATTCTTCACTGTTCACATAGTGAAGCATGAAATTTTATAGCATTTGCATGCATTTTGAAAAGTAAAATGTCAGCCATATCTGTACAAAAATAACGAAGTTGGTAAAAAACTAAAAATATAACTGAATATAAAATTTTATTATATACTGTATTTCAATATAATGGATAACTAATTAAATTTTTGACATTAACCCTTTGGCTGCACATTCCCATCATATGAAGTATTGGGGAACTGCATAAGAATTAAATTTTGCACATGCACGGGGCTCGGTTGCTTCCTCAGGCCTCCAGTAACACTCCCCCATTTTGAAAAAATTAATTCACTCGCTTTCCTTCTAGGGCCTTAGTGTGAGGGAAGGGGGGGGGGGCATATTTAGCAACATGACCACCCAGTGTGTGAATATGCAGGGGGGCCATACTAGGAGCCACTCAACTTTAATAAACAGTAAACAAGTGATTGCCATTTTATATTTTAGGCAAAATGGGTGCTATGTCCAATTATAAGTTTTAGGCCTGTATGCTAGCATGAATGAATAAATGGTATATATTTACATACATGTGTACTTGCCTAAATTTAAATTATATCTAATGAACCCCATCATTTACACATCAGTAAAACTGGTAAGAACAACTATATAAATTGAAACTGAAAATAAATGACAATTATTTTCATGTGGCATCTTGCCTCATTTCTACAATAAAAAGAATCTCTGGCCCACTATGGCTAAACCACAAGATATAGACATTCTACTTAGATTTCAAACTGCCTGGATGTTAATTCACCATGTCAAGAGGAGAAAATTTTTTCGGATCAGTTTATTTTATATGCTCCTAGGTGTTGCATGGTAACATTGCGTGCACAGCTGAAGGGTTAAGCTATTGGAACTACAGTACCTTGGCATTAGTTGTACTCTGGAATTTGTCATAAAGGTAGTGACGCTAAATTTTTAGTGGCACAATAAAATAGCTTACCACTCAATCCAGCAGGAGTAAATCTCCTGAGGATTAAATGTCATAAGTGTGCAGCAAGCAAAAGTTCCTGCTGAGAAACCATTAATGTTGCAAGAGGGTACCAACTGTACTCGAATTCTGTAACACAAGAGCCTCATTAAGTTTGAATGAAAACTGTCTTGATTTGAGAACCTATTCGACAGTCTGATCATGCCTGATCTGTTCTCTAAAAATGTTATTAGATTTAAATAAATTGTAACTAACATAATAAATATTGCATTTCAGGCATTATTGGGGGTCTAAGCACTGTGGCTGCGTGTGCCCCAAGTGATAAATTCTTAAACTGGGCTGGGCCACTTGGCATTGGTCTTGGAGGTGTGTTTGTGGCATCGCTTGGCTCTGCCTTCCTCCCACCAACGTCTGCCTTGGGCCTATCTCTCTACTCCATCTCTCTCTATGGTGGTCTACTACTGTTCTCTGCCTTCTTGCTCTATGACACTCAGAAGGTAAGCAAATAATAAGGTTGATCGTTTTCTGTGGAATGTGTAGTATTTCTAAATATGCATCCAATATTAATTATTTTAGGTTTAAGCTTTAAATGGTTTTTGTTGGAAAGCTCAAGCAATCTAGGTTTAATAATTTAAATTGTCTGTGGATATCAGTGTTAATAATGAACGAATTACAGGGGTATAATTTATTTAATGCTTTCTTTGGTATTAGTATTTAAACAGATTCTCCTTTTTAAGGTGAATATACTAGATTGCTTTATATAAAATAATTAATATTTAGAGGCTGTGGAAATTAAATTCCTTAGTCTTTGAAAAAAGTATTGGTTGAAAAGTGTGGCTTTGTTATATAGTATTGTAATAATGGTGAAGGTTGTTTGGAAAGTGATACCTGCTTATAAGAGTGAACTGCAGATGTATTATTTTGTGGTAATAACACAAGCATTACGGTGCATTGGCAAAAATAGAAGTTTTGGCATCAAGGCCATAGGATGAGCTGACTCTTTTGGATAGAAATAGAGATACAAAAGGTGTCCTGTGAAAGGCTTGGGAATTGTTAATACTTTTTTGACTAGAGCTTGTACCACAACTTTTTGGTAGAAGGGCTAAAGGAACAGGTATTATTGACACTTTCTGGCTTCAAACCTGAAATAAACCATTTTAGAAGGGAAAGAGTTTTAGCTTTGTTGCTAGTCATGTGTGAATGTTTAATAAAAAAAAAAAATCTTGCCAATTTGTCACATTTTAATAGTGGGGCCTCGACTTACGACCCATCTCTGGGAACTGATTAAATTTGTAAGTCGAAACAAATTTTCCCATAAGAAATAATGAAAGTTGAATTATTTCGTTCCAGACCCCCCAACATGCCAATCTGATATTAGCATGTTGGCAAAAATATTAACTTAAAAATACATTTTATACAGAGTACTGTACAATTTTTTTTTGTTCCCCCTTCTCTCTCTAGTTACAATACAGTATGTTTATCTTGCCTTAACTTTATTGAGGACTTGTTGGTGTATGGAAGACGGTGAGGAAATTTGTAGAAAATTAGATTATAAAGTGTGGTAATTCACAGTAAGTACTGAATAGTAATGCTTAGTTTTTCCAAATAATTGTTCCATTGATCATGTTTTCTAAAAATGTAGTACTTTAGTTCCAAAATTTTCTTTTCAGGTGGTGCACAAGGCTGAAACTCACCCACAGATGTGGGGTGCAATGCCATATGACCCCATTAATATGTCGCACCACATTGTTATGGATGCCCTCAACATATTCATCCGTGTTGCACAGATTCTTGCCATGGGAGGTGGAAGAAAAAAGTAAATCTGAAATGCAATACAGTAAATATAAGAATTAATGCAATCTGTTATTTATATATTATTTAGTCTTGCATCAACCTACTTGGTGAAAATATTGTAATGTTACTTTCACTAAAGTTGATCAGTTCATGTGATATGCATGTTAGCTTATAATATTGACTGGATATTTTAGAGCCATTGCACTCTCCCATGTGCTTATTACACTGAAAACTAAGATGCTAAATCATATTCAGTAAATGTGGATGTTATGTGGCAGTTTCCTACACATGTCTAGTTGTAAAAGCTGTGCTTCATTTACCAAATTTTCCTGAAATCTTAGTTGACATCGTGAATTAACTAGTAAATAAAGATCTTGCAAGAGCAAGCTGCAGAGCAAAATGTTTTATCTTGTATAATTACCACACTGATTTTCATATTTTAATGTTTGAGCTGTTCATGAAGTTGAATACTAAAAGGTTCTTGTAATATGTAATTACTATACAGTATATATTTTTTTCCTTGAAACTAATCAGTACTCAATAAAAGTACTAAAGATATGATGGTTCTCATTGTTTAAGCTGTATAGAAGGGCACCAGTATCTTGATCGCTCCCCTGTACAGATAAACAATATATCAGGATATTAGTCTAGCCACAATATATCAGGATATTAGTCTAGCCTCAGCAGTTTCTTACTCTGTAAGTTTTGGCTACAAAAGGGTCTTTTACCTTATTACCTCGCAACCAGAAAGAATTGTTCATGTTCTGTAGTGTGAAAGGTGTTAGTCAACAACTTGTCAGAATTGCACATTTGGTCTGCATGACAAGTGCGCAGTTTTCAAATTGCTGGTTATGGCCTTAAATTCATAAGAGAACTGCAAACTGCCACCAGGCAGCTCCTATTTATTTCCAACTCCCACACTTGCATACATGTCTAAATACACCCAAAAAAGTTTAATAGCACTTCACCTGGCAATGCGTTCTGTAAATCTGTACCCCTATTTCAAAGTCAGTTTTTACAAAAGACTTTCCCGAATCTAAATTTTCTAATTTGAGACAGGAGCTTGAGAAATTGGTCCATAATTATATGTATCCAAAAAGCAATACACTGCATTGAAATGTACCTTCACACCACATGTACCCACCTCCTGCCTATTTATACAAATACAATGCCAGGGCCTTCCTTGAGAATGATGTCAATTAATGTTTTGTAAAAACTTTCAGGGGAAACCTCTAGCTAGCCAGGCAATTCTGTGTTGGCAGGAATTTATAAAATTTATAGTCATCTTGTTATTCTACCAAAAAGTAAATATTTTTAGCTTTTTATTCACCTTAGTTGAGAGATCTTGCTGGTTGACAATTTCTCCATTATCTTAAACCTTCAAAGATCTAAGGAATATACATGTATTTAGCTCTTATTTTGGGTATTTGTATTATTATTTATTGTACCATTTTAAATTGAATGTTACATTATTGCTTGTTGCACAGTTGTAAATATGTCAAGCAGAACTTTAATATTAATAAAAAATAAGTTTTATAGCATTTTTTTTTTCCCCAAAATATAAATTGCATTGTTCCCAGTTTTTCACTTGTGTTGAGGACTTTGTCACTAGCTGATGAATAATATAGCAAAAAGATTTTATTAATATAATGGCTGTAATCTACATTACAAATATTGTTTTATTTCATTATATCCACAACTTAACACAAGACCAGCTGTACACCTTAGGTAAATTGTATAATATTACATTCATCAAGGGTGTACAGCTGGCTAGAGTTTATTTTTCCTGATGAAACTTTTATGCCACCTTTTCCTAGACTTGTTAATATTTGTTTTTCCAGCCCTTCTCATCCTGTGGCAAAGGAATTTGAATGGTGGATGTATATCCAGGTAGCAGGTATATCATGGCAAATATCGCTGGGTTCCCCACCTAGCAGATGCCACTGCTAAAGCTGCTCTTCATACTTTCGATCTCCTAGAAGCACTTTACACAGTTGCTCTTAATGACAACTGGAAACTATTGTAGAGTGGGATGGAGGGTTATTTACTACAATTTATAATACTGTCAAATGTGGTTACCCCTGTTATTGAAATAGGAAATATATCTGGCTAGGTTATGTATTGGTTACGCATGATCAACCGTTGATCAACAATTAGGTATAGGCACGTAATGGATCAGACCTGCACATTGCTGTCAGAACCTCGTAGTTCTGCAGGCGTGCATTTCAAAATGTTCAAGATTTTTCGAACGATCACAAATTTTGCTTTTCCTGCTTAATCATTTTCTCATGGTGAATTTAAAATCACTCGTGTCTTTGTTTACATCTACTTCTCTCTTCACTCACACCTCTGCCTCTCCTCTTCACCTCCATACTCTTGCCTTAACTTCATCCACACCCCCTTCACTCACCCACACCCCCTGCCTCCCCTTTCCTCACCCACACCCCCTGCCTCCCCTTTCCTCACCCACACCCCCTGCCTCTCTTCTTCGTACCATGTGGAGGCAGTCTCTATACACGGTTTCAAATGTATAGCCTAATAGGCTCAGAAAAATGTATACCAGTTGACTAACAGTTGTGAAGCGAGACCAAAGAGCCGAAGCCTACCCCCACAAGCACAACTTGGTGATTGATGAAGATTAAGCCACCCAAGAGGTGGCATGGGCATGAATAGCCCATAACACAACTAGGCGAGTATCATGCCTGCCCCCTCCCCCCTTTTTTATTTGGGGGGGGGGAGAAGGAGAGGCATAGGTGAAGGGAAGTATAGAAGTGGGAAATACAATGAGAGGTATGAAAGCAAGCGGCCTGTCCGCCTTGCTGACACCATGTGTGGGTGTTAGCAGCTAAGCTAAGCTTGCTCTCTCTTGTCAGGGAGCTGTGAGTGTGCGAGAGGTTTTTCACATGTTTCACCATATATGGATGTCTATAGATGAATACTGTGTAGCATTCATATATACACACTCCCTGATGCTTCCACAAATGTTGTTCTGTTTAAGTTCGTATATGTATACATATATACATACATGCTTTATATATATATATATATATATATATATATATATATATATATATATATATATATATATATATATTATATATATGTGTGTATATCACGAAAATAAACACGTGATTAAGAATGTGACAATGTCAGACCACGAAGGAAAAATGAAACAGGAAATTTCCTTAAGTACTTTCGTATATTAAATACATCTTCAGAAGGTCCAAACTGAAGGACCTTCTGAAGATGTATTTAATATACGAAAGTACTTAAGGAAATTTCCTGTTTCATTTTTCCTTCGTGGTCTGACTGTCATATATATATATATATATATATATATATATATATATATATATATATATATATATATATATATATATATATATATATATATATATATATATATATAATAATATACCCATATACATATGCAAATACATAACTATACACATATCTACTAAATTTTTCAATTATGGGGGGAAGGATATCTGGTTAGTATATCATCTGGGAATTATGTATTGTGGGGCGGGGTTTTCATCTAGTGAATCGAGGCTCTTGGGCCACCAGCTGTGGGAGCGGGGCGTCTCATCTTGGAGCAATCTTTCAAATATTGGGTCCTCTAACATTTGGATGGTGTTCCACACCCTGATGGCCTGGTGCTGCAGTCTGATGTTTAGTGCTGTATGTTCAGGAGTTCATAGAGCTCCTGGATTGTCTGATCATATGGTGGACGGTGTTTTGCTGCTCTCCTTAGCGCCTTATTTTGCACTGCTTGCAGTTTCTGCATGTTAGTTTTCTTTATGGTGTGTTGTGGTACTGGGGGATACTATAGATGCGGCCGAACTAGAGCCTTATATAGGTGGATCTGAATGTTAGTACTGAGGCTTCGGAATCTCCTCAATTTTCCTAAGGCTGCTTTGGCTTTGTTTAGTCGGTCCCTTACATGAATTTGTATCCCTGTTCTATTTATCATAAGTCCCAGTATTCTGCCTACCTCCGCATATTGGATCGGATGGTTGTCAAGGATGATGGGGTCCGGGTTTCTTTTCGCAATGTGTATTATCGGAAACTTTTATTTGTTGGTGCTAATTTTCCATTGCTTCTCAAAATTGTTTATGAGTTCAATTGCAGCCTTGGTCTTGTCGGCTAATAGCGGCTTTGATGGTCCCGGTTGGCAAATTATTTGGGTGACATCGTCAGCATATGTGATGTATTCTCCATGTTGGGGTTGGGGTTGGGGTAGGTCAGCTGTATATATGTTGAATAGAGTGGGGGAGAGGCAGCTTCCTTGTGGTACTCCACTTTTCAGTTCTATTACGTCACCCAAGTAGCTGCCGATATTAAGCCTAGCAGTTCTGTTGTCTATAAAGCTGCAGAGAGTAGCAGTAAATCTCTCAGGAAGCCCTGGTTCAGATATCTTATATTTTAGGCCTGTGTGCCACACTTTGTCGAAGGCTTTCGAAACGTCTCTAAGCACTATATTACACTGATCTTTTTTCGACATTGCGTTGGCTATATGCTCGTAGATCAGGGCTATAGCTGTATGGGCCCCTATGCGGTGTCTAAACCCATGCTGCCTGGTGTTGTACTTCCCTTCCTCTTCCATGTACTTCACAAGTCTCTGATTGATAATTTTTTCGAATATTTTACCTGGTACTTCGAGGAGGGAAATTGGCCTGTAGTTTTCAGTTTGGGTTGGGGGTTTACCTGGCTTGGGGATTAATCTTATTGTGGCATTCTTGAAGTATGTGGGGAATAGTCCAGATGCAAGAGCTGCATTTATTATACATGTGTACTGATGGAGTGCAATCACTGGTAGGTTGGATAATATCATCTTATTTATCCTGCTGTTGCCCGGCAAGATAAATAAGATGGTATTATTTTTAATTACACCCGCCCCTCCCCCCACCCCTTACGTACACTCGCCCCTTCCCCACCCCACCATTACACCCGCCCCTCCCCCACTCCTCACGAACACCCGCCCCTCCCCCACTCCTCACGAACACCCGCCCCTCCCCCACCCCTCACGTACACATGACCCTCCTCCATGACTTCCCCACCTCTCATACACCCGCCCCTCCCCCACCCCTCTCGTACACCCGCACCTCTCATACACCCGCCCCTCCCCCACCCCTCTCGTACACCCGCACCTGCCCCACCCCACCATTACACCCGCCCCTCCCCTCACATACACCCGCCCCTCCCCCACCCCTCACGTACACTTGCCCCTCCCCCACCCCTCACGTACACTCGCCCCTCCCCCACTACTCACGTTCACCCGCCCCTCCCCCACCCATCACGTACACCCTCCCCTCCTCCACCCCTCACGTTCTCCCGCCTCTCCCCCACCCCTCACGTACTCCCGCCCCTCCCCCACCCCTCACGTACACCCGCCCCTGCCCCACCCCTCACGTACACCCGCCCCTCCCCCCACTACTCACGTTCACCCGCCCCTCCCCCACCCATCACGTACACCCTCCCCTCCCCCACCCCTCACGTACACCCGCCCCTCCCCCACCCCTCACGTACACCCGCCCCTCCCCCACCCCTCACATACACCCGCCCTTCCCCCACCCCTCACGTACACCCACCCCTCACATACACCCTCCCCTCCCCCACCCCTCACGTGCACCCGCCCCTCCCCCACTACTCACGTTCACCCCGCCCCTCCCCCACCCATCACGTACACCCTCCCCTCCTCCACCCCTCACGTTCTCCCGCCCCTCCCCCACCCCTCACGTACTCCCGCCCCTCCCCCACCCCTCACGTACTCCCGCCCCTCCCCCACCCCTCACGTACTCCCGCCCCTCCCCCACCCCTCACGTACACCCGCCCCTCCCCCACCCCTCACGTACACCCGCCCCTGCCCCACCCCTCACGTACACCCCCCCTCCCCCCACTACTCACCTTCACCCGCCCCTCCCCCACCCATCACGTACACCCTCCCCTCCCCCACCCCTCACGTACACCCGCCCATCCCCCACCCCTCACGTACACCCGCCCCTCCCCCGCCCCTCACGTACACCCGCCCCTCCCCCACCCTCACATACACCCGCCCCTCCCCCACCCCTCACGTACACCCACCCCTCGCATATACCCTCCCCTCCCCCCACCCCTCACGTACACCCACCCCTCACATACACCCTCCCCTCCCCCACCCCTCACGTACACCCGCCCCTCCCTCACTACTCACGTTCACCCGCCCCTCCCCCACCCCTCACGTACACATGACCCTCCCCCATGACTTCCCCACCTCTCATACACCCGCCCCTCCCCCACCCCTCTCGTACACCCGCACCTCCCCCACCCCACCATTACACCCGCCCCTCCCCTCACATACACCCGCCCCTCCCCCACCCCTCACGTACACCCGCCCCTCTCCCCACCCCTCACGTACACCCGCCCCTCCCCCACCCCTCACGTACACCCGCCCCTCCCCCACTACTCACGTACTCCCGCCCCTCCCCCACCCCTCACGTACACCCGCCCCTGCCCCACCCCTCACGTACACCCGCCCCTCCCCCCACTACTCACGT